AGATCAGTAAAATATTGAAAACATTTCTGAATAAAAAGGTCTCATTACCTGTCAATCCAAAAATCAAAATGGAATTGGATATAAGAGGTAATCCACTAAATCGAGTAAATAGGTTATCACAATGGATTAATTTGAGTCACTTGGCAATTCCTGATAGAATATTATATAATAACAGCAAAGATTTTCGAAAATTGCTTAACCTCAAAGTAATTACAATAGGAAGATGTGTACATGCTCCTATGGAAGAATTTGATAAGTTAGTTGATAAATTTCCAAACTTCAAATTGACTTGCCTTAAGAGACCAAAAAAAAATATTTGGCTATTCTCAACTTTGAACTGTGTTAGATAAATTGCCTCTAACACAATAGCACTCCTCCTACTATATCTGCTGTCCCTAGTGTCTCAACCATTAATAGATTGTGGTTGTTGATCTCGAGAAATATCTCGACACCAATTTATCTATATCATCATTATTACCATTTTTATCACTTTTATCATTTTTGCCTTCTCTTTTTGGATTCAAATTTCCTAAAATATTGTTATTGAAGCCTTCATTTATATGCAGTTTTCAATTGTTATAGTCTTGAAAGGATTCATTATTATTTCATCATTATCATTATTACCCATTCTAATTAAACTTTAAAAAAATTTTATTTGTATTTTAGTTACTCTTGTTATGTGCAAGTGTGAACTTCAAGTACTGTTTCTGTGTATCTCTGAAACCAGCATTCGGAATTCGAAAAAAGATGCTGCTCCGAGAAAGTTTCCGGTTTTGCGTGGTCGAAATACACGTGCGTATGCAATTAGTTTCCTAATCGGGTGCGCGGATGCTCCAAGCAGCAGAGAGCAAAATAGTTGAGAAGAAGATGGTGATGGTGGAGCATTGTTAGCCACTTTTACTGTTTTGTCTTACTGTTACTGCTGTTGTTGTGCTATTGCAGACCATGCTCTCCTTCAGAACCACTGGGTATAGTGGGTATGCTACCAAGTACTCCTGCTTTTTCGACAACAAGATAGCTGTTGCTACCTCTGCCAACTATGGTTTGGTTGGAAATGGGAAACTATTTGTTCTCTCTATTGAACCTGATGGAACTTTGAAGTCTGATATCGAGTTTGAGACGCAAGATGGGTTATACGATTTGGCCTGGTCTGAAGTTCATGAAAACCATATTGCTGTTGCCTCTGGCGATGGGAGCATTAAAATTTTTGATATCTCTTTAAATAATTTCCCCATAATGATGTGGCAAGAACATAAAAGAGAAGTCTTTTCGATATCTTGGGATTTAGTTGACAAATTGAATTTCAGTTCAAGTTCCTGGGATGGCACAATAAAAATTTGGAATCCAAATTCCAAAAAAAGTTTAATGACTCTATCACCAATGAATATCGATCAATCTGTTAATATTGAAAGCAATCCTAATAATCTGAACAATCTAAAAAAATCCTCGATACCTTTATCTAATTCCAAAAATGAGTCCATGGTTAATACAACAACTCAAGAATGTATATACCAAGTGGTATTTTCTCCACATACTCCAAATAACCTTATCTCTGTTAATGCTTCATCTCATTTGCATCTTTGGGATATTAGATCTCCCAAGCCAAAAGTAATGGATTTTGTAGCTCATGGTGGTTTGGAAGCATTAACTTGCGATTGGAATAAATATAGACCAACGGTTATAGCATCTGCTGGTGTTGATAAATCAATTAAAATATGGGATTTAAGAATGATTACCAATATAGATGGATCGAGTGCTAATAATTCAATTCCAAATCCAACCAATCAAATGTTGGGCCATGAGTTTGCTATTCGAAAAATTATTTGGTCTCCTCATAATGGGAAAAATATTTTATCATGTTCGTACGATATGACTTCAAGAGTATGGGACGATATTACCGATGATAATGCTAATTATCAGAGCTCGAGAAGAATGAATAGTGCGAACTCATGTAGAGGGATATTTAATAATCATCAAGAATTTGTTTTGGGTGGTGATTGGTCACTTTGGGGTAATCCAGGTTGGGTTGCGACTACTTCTTGGGATGAAATGGTTTATATATGGGACACCAATAGATTATAGTAGATGAGTGTTATAATTGTTATTTTTAATTTATTGTTTTATTTTATTTTTTTTATTTTTTTTTTGTTTGTTAGTTTATTTGTTTCTTAATTTCTGTTTTACTTTTGTTTTTATTTTTATTTTTGTTTTTATTTTTGCATATTATCATTAACAATTTTATACTAAAACTATTAATTGATATCTTTAATTTTGAATATTATTATTGTTTGTAAACATAATGAATTTGTTACACAAAACCGTTTTTTTTTGTTTTTTTGCGTTTTCAAAAATATAAAAAGAAACATATAAACAAGTTGATAAGGAATAAGAAGACCGAGTAAGGATTGGTATTAATGAGATTTATTATAAAATGAGGAAATACTGTTTAAATTTTTCAAAAATAATAGTGATATTATTAGTATTGTTAAGCGATAGTTTGAAGGTTGAAAGCAAGAGGATTGGAACATTGAAAAAGTATAATGAAAGGAAAATTTGTAAAATCAATTCAAATTTGGAGAAATCGTTTTATGGGGTAACAGTATCAAGACAATATATAATTTTGAACAATGAGGCGCCATTGAATAATTTCAATTCTATCAGTTTATGTTTAAATAACGAATTACAATGGGAGGTTTTAAATTTATTGAATAACCGGAAAAAGTTGTTTGAGTGGGACAAACCTTATTGTTCATTAGTTAATAAAGATAAAGATAAAGATAAAGATAAAGATAGAAAAATTAATAGGAATCTTGAAGAATTTTTTAAGAAAAAAAAGGTTAATGATATTAAAAATGTTGAGAATCATGCAAGACCATTGATAACTATAAATAAAGAAGTTAGCAATAAGGTTAGTGATAAAAGTGATAAGAATAAGATTGATGGGAAGTTGGAAGTTTCGTGGAAAAGTGTAATAGAATTAGATGGAGATGGAATTAATAAGCGATCTAAAGACAGTGAGCAGTATGAAAATAAGGATATTGAGTGTTACAAATTTGCCAGAAGAAGAGAGTATGTTAAAAGAAGAGACGTTTGGAGCCCAATGGAGTGGATTGGAGGATTGTTTAAATGCGAATTGAGAGAGGAGGATAAGATAAAGTTATATCAACGAGAAAAGTTGAGTGAGAATTATCAAGCAGTTGGTAATTTAAGGTGTTCCAATAATTTGACCAAGGGAATAAGTCCCTTGATTTCGGAAGATTTAAGTTTACAATGGATCGAGAAGATGAAGGGTGATGAGGGCGAAGATGATGGTGATGGTGATGGTGATGGTGGTGGTGGTGGTGGTGGCGAGGAAGATGAAGGCGAAGAGTACTATCAAGTAAAGAGAGTGCCATTATTTTACACAATTGATGAAGAGGTTGATGAGAGTTGGAGGGAGGGAATCGATGTTAATGAGGAGTATAATTTTGAGGAAGAGGAGGAGGAGGATGGTGAAAGACGAGTTGAGGTTTTGTTGCGGTTGATGGATAGGATCATTGAGAAGGATGAAGTTGAGTACTTGCCATGGAATTTAAAGAAAAACAATGATAATTTAAAAAGTAGTAAGATGTCGTGTTTATTGTCGAATTTGAATCTCGAGCAAAAGTTTGTGAATCTTATGGGGACTTTGCCCAGCTGGCGAGTGGAAAGGTATTACGAGGAGATAGAAGGGATATGGCGAGGGTATTTGGAATTGAGAAGATAATCGTATTCGTCATTATATATAGATAGAAATATAGATATAGATATAGATATAGATATAGTAATTAATTAATCAGTTAAATAAAAGGTTGAAAAAAAACGGAAGAAGTGAAGTAAAGTGAAAAAAAAGCAAATGAATTAAAGGAGGTGAGATGAGATTAAATTGGAGTAGTGTTTTTTTATAACTTAGATAGTTAATAGTTTTTAACGAAATTTATACCCTTTGTGATATTTGGATACAACTGGTCCACCGAGACTTTGATTAGATCAGATTCATCATTATTGATTTTATCCAAGATGGAGGAGTCGATTTCTGTGACACCATTAGGACCCAAAACACAAGGAACCGAGAAGAAATTAATGTCAGAGTTTAATTTCTGTTTGAAATCAGCAGCACCATTGATAGAGTCGGCCAAGTTGATATAGCAGCAGGCAGTGACTGAAGAATCTGTTGAATTCGAGGAAGATTGAACAGCTAATTTGATAATCTTTTCAGCCAATTCGAAGCCAGCGTAGGCCATCGACAAAGTGGCCGAGCCCTTACCATCTTTCGCTTTGACGACTTCATCACCGGCGTATTGAACTCTGTTTATTAGAGAAGCCTTTTGCTGGGAGGAAAGAGAGCTGTAGATTTGAGGAGCACCAATGGAGAATAATGGAACAATAGTTTCGCCACTGTGACCACCAATAACTGGGATATTAAAGTCTTCGGGCTTGGATTGGTTAGTGGAGTCCAACTGTGAGATAAAAGTGTTTGATCTGACAATGTCCAAGTTTGTGACACCAAAGATTTTGTTTGGGTTGAAGACGTTGTATTTTTTCAAGACCTCGCAGACGATTGGAACAGTTGAGTTGACAGGGTTGGAAATGATCAAGACAAAGGCATTTGGACAAGTTTCAGCGATACCAATGGTCAAATCTCTAATGATACCTGCGTTGATTTTGAATAAGTCGTCTCTGGTCATACCAGGTTTTCTTGGAATACCGGCAGGTATTATGACCAAGTCAGAGTTTTCAAGAGATTTTTTCAAACCGTCGTTAGCAGGCAAGTAGGAAGAGACTTTGCATTTAGTGCAAATGTGAGCCAAATCAGCACCGACACCAGGAGCGTTGACGACATCGTATAAGGAGAGCTCATCGACGTATGGAGAGAGCTTGAATAGTAAAGATAATGGTTGACCAATACCACCGGCAGCACCACAGACAGTAACCTTCATTTTTAAGTGAGATGAGATGGAGAAATTAAAAAAGTAGTAATATAAGTAGGAGAATCGAATAGAGTAGAATGGGATTATAAGATCGAGGAAATTATAATAGCGACGTTGTGATTATAATGTTTATGATTTGAAAAGGTAATATGTGGAAATTGGACAGGGAAGAGAGAATATTTATATAGAAAATGAGGTAGAGGATGAAAAATTTTAAAAAACAAATGAGAATACATCAAAATAACCTTTGAATTAACATTTGAAAGAAATATTAAAAAAGTTTATCTGATTAATAATGCATTAAGGTTAATAAGCTCCAAAACATCAACAGCGCTAAGAAAAGTGAGAGCACCAACAAGAGACGACAAAACAAGCCCAGAGCTCTAATCTTGCAGCACTGGGAATCTGATCAGCTTTGCTGCTTTTTTGCTCTTTTTTTGCTCGTGAGCTCATCCCAACCAGTTCTCTCCCTCCTCGTGCGGAGTAGTCACGCACCTGCCCAGGGACTCACGCCCGCTCCCACGGGGTCAGCACCCAAGAACGTTCACTGTTGCTACGCCCCGTCCCACTCCAGCGGGGGCGCGCAACCATCACCTCCCAGGCGCTGATCGAAAGCAGAAAAAAAGCACGGGTCCTGGCCATCAGTTGATGGGGCTGTTTCAGGCCAACGCACAGGTCCCGCGGTGGTGATTTCGGGGCCTCTGCGCTGCGTGACCCCATGTGGGTGCTGGCGATAAGAACACACCGGGCCAGCCTGGCTCTTTTGCCACCCACGTGCTGGAGGCAGGGTGTGGAGGCAGGGCGTGGAGGCAGGGCGTGCGGGCCCCACTGCGCAAGCGGTGGACGGGTAGCGGCCCACAACACTCTACCCGCGACTTCCGGTGAGCGTGACAGCACTTCCGAACGTGCTCCGGCCGGCGGGCATCATTCTACGGCGGGGCTTGCTTGCTATGCTCTACGCAGGCTTTTGGGTGTGCGAGTGTGCAATATTCGTCGGTATTCTCTTGTGCTCACTGAGCCATTTCCCAGCTTTCTTTGTCTCTCTTCGTCGCTTCCTCTACACCTCTTGAATAACCGCTGCCTCTACCACTAACTGCAAACTGCTACAACTGCTCACTGCTCCAACTTCTCAGCTCCCACAACTCCATGCCTGCTTTCTACATCGCGCCTGTGGCGCTTGGTGTCGCCCTTACCATCGGCATTTCCCTAGCCCTTTACGAAAACAAAGAATCAATAAAGGAATCCATATCCAACACCGTTGACGACTTTAAATTCACCTACAACTTGTTAAAGAAAAGGAGAAATGACAGGTTACATTCAGATAATATTATGATTAGCGCCAATGGTCCTAACACCCCAAACTATCCAAATTCCCAACGTTCTTCAAACGACAATTACAACAATCTTAACACTCTCGATACCAGTAATATCTACCACCATGATAACGATAGCCCAACTGATACCGAAAATCCCTTTTCTGACGCTTCCACCCACTCCCGTGGTCTCGCACGCAAGCTTTCTGGAAATTATATCACCGGTAACGTCAGCCAAATTTCTACCAACCAAAATCACATTGCCGATTACAACCATCTTGCCACCTCTGATGACAACAACAACAATAAGGACGACTCAGACGATGATATCTACAATTCTCAAAGAATCGCCCTTTTAGAAAATAATTCCCAATCTTATTCAACCGCTTCAATCTTCAATAACAACGCTAACACCGCTATTATCACAAAACTTAACAAAACACATACAAACGATTCTCACATTTCCCATAATTCTTCGCTTTTGTCAAACTCAACAACATCCTGGAATCTCATAAATCAAGACAACCACCTAATTGATCATGACACTGAATCCGAAACTGCCTCAATCATCAATTCTGTCTCTTTTTCCGATTCGGATGTGGATTACAACCATATTCAAACTCACAATATCATTGCCAGAAATTCAAAAAAATTAATCTAATTCCATCTCTCAACTCGTTTTTTCTCCTTTTTTTTTCTTTATTTCGTTTTATCTCTCTCTTACGCGTTTTATTTTTTGTTTTCTTGTTTTCTTGTTTTCTTTCCATTTATTTCTTTATCCTGTTGTTTTGGTCATACTCTAATTTCTCTCTCTTATTTTTACTTTTACTCATACTCCTTGGAATCTTCATTGCTTATTTCAATACACACTTTATTTCACCTATTCTTAATTAAATACATCTCTCTTTCTCTCTATAAATATTAATAAATATATAATCACGTGGTCGGGCTTTTTTCCTTTCATTTTTCTTCTTTCCTTCCTCTAATTCAACCAATCAAATTCCAATAAAATGTAAGAATATACAATACCTTGACATTTACCTCGAACTACAATATATTAGATCACTCTCTTTCATCTATTCACTCCATATCCTCTCAAAAAAAAATGTTTTCTAGATCCATACGTTCTTCCTTCATTAAACCTTCCTCTTTGTTACTTTCATCCCCTCTAACAAAACCATCTCTCGCCTCACCTTTATCCCTAATTTTATCAAAAAACGCTTCATCTTCATCTTCTTCATCTCCATCTTCCTCAGAATCTTCTGATCCACAACAAATAGAAAGAACAACTAAAGATGGCCTTCTATTAGGTGACTATCCTGACCTACCTGTCAAATACTTTTTTGACAAAGACCCTTATGCCAAATATGATGACCAACAAAATCGTAGAAATTTTAATGAACCTCTTCATGCTGAAGATGACATGTACAATATGTGGTCCCCAGATACTTTCCCAACTGATTCCTACTCCTACGCTGTCAAAGCAAATTTAATATTCTTATCCTTCTGCATAGTCTTTTTCGGTGGTTTGACTTATATATCTTACGAGCACAAGCCTGCAATGCCCAGAAATTATCCTCATGGAGGTTTAGCTAAGGATTTAGGTGCTAAAGATGAAAATGATGCTCATTTGTATGCTGCTTTCATTGATCGCGAAGCTTCATAATCTCTCTTATCAACTTATCACTTTATCAATTTATCGATTTACCAATTTCAATTATTCAATTATTCAATAATTCAATTATTCAATGATTTAACAATTCAATTAATTTTATTATTACTATTATTATTCTATTTATAATTATATTTCCTATTCGTATTATACATTTTATATATATTAAATGAATAATCTTTAAAAATAATATCATTCATCATCTGAATCTACACTTTTTCGACTTTAACTTTTTTATCTTTACTTTTTTTTTCTTTTTTTTCTTTTTTTTCCTTCTTTTCCTTCTTTTCCTTCTTCTCTTTCTTCTCACTCTTTTCCTTCTTTTCCTTCTTTTCCTTCTTTTCCTTTTTCTCTTTCTTCTCTTTCTTCTCACTCTTTTCTTCATTTTTTTCCCTTTCACTTCTCTTCTTCTTACTAGCTGGCTCATATTTCTCTTCTTCTGGCGCAACAAAATCTAATTCTCGTTTTCTTTTATTAGCCTCTTTAACTTCAGCTTGTTTCTCTTTAATCTCATTTATTTTCCTCATTTTTTTCTCTCTAGGTTTCAAAAAATATTCACCACTCTCAATTTCGAGATCAATCTTTCTAGGCGTTTGTGCTGGTGGAAATATAGAAGACTCATTCCCACCTTCTGCTTTCCTCTTTTTGGTCTTCTTTGGTTTCTTTCTTGCAACATTTTTCTTTCTAAAATTCGGTAAAAATCTATCCCAACTTTCATTCGCCAATTCTGGTTTCTTGCTCAACTCTTTTCGTATCATCAACTCTTTGATACTATATATAGGATGCACATTATTCATACAATCTTCAACTACCCTTCTTAATGTTTTTAATCCAGTGTATGGCCCCATACAACTAACTGTATTACCTTGAACTAATATATAACAATTGGTCAACAACTCCAACGCCTTCAATGTGTTTCCCTGTGGTCCAACCAACCTTTGTCTTCTTTTAACAAATCGTTCTTTGCTATTAACAAATGAATTGATCTTGATAATATCACATGAAATATCATCCTGAAGAATCTTGATAGCTTGTGGTAATGGCACAGATCGAGCCAATAACTTGATTAAATCTCTAGCCTTCAAGATTATAGCAGGATCATATGTCTTTAATGTCGTTTGAACTGTCATTGATCCCTCCACTAAATTTAACTCGCAATCTAAAAATTTCGTTTTTAATACTTTTGTCAATTCTCCCCAAACTTGTCTTAAATAATTTGATCGATAATTAGGAAAGAAAACGGTAAATGATGATTGTTCTAAGAATGATCCAGATCCATCTTCTGGTTTAAACTCTTCAATAGCCCACTTATCTATATCTGGGGTATCCCATGGTTTATCCTTATTATGTGTTGATGGCATCTTTTCAACTATTAAAAACCAAGAAATTTTAAATCTATTTTAAACTTACAAAATTATGAATTTAACTTTTCAATTCTTTCATAAGTAAAAAAAATAAAATATGAAATAAGTAAATTTTCACAGGTTACCCTCCAATTAAAAACAAAATCCAAAAATATGGGTCCAACTATCAAAACAAAATTAAAAAATATTAACACGTGACAGATTTTTGATGATTAAGCTTCTTTATTAAGAATAAGGAAATAAGGTTTTTGTGCCGAGGTTAATTTTTGGCAGTGAAATATCCAAAGGTTATAACAATAGTTATCTTACTAGAACGAAGCAGTTTAATTTATTATATTTTACAAAAAGATATGAGTTTGTTCAAAAGAATACTATTTGTTTAATTTTATTTATGCTCAGTAAAATCCTTCATAACAGTATCTTCATTTGAATTCTTTCCAAATATACTTTCAACTTCTAGTGTTTTGAAATTTTTCTTTTTATCACCAGACTTATTTTTCCTTTCTTCTTGAATCTCTAATTCCAAACCTTCCTTTATAATTCTTTCCTCTTCATTATTTATTTCTTGCTGAACAATATAATATTTACTAAATGGCGTATCCTTTTTCTCAAAGTCAGTTAATTTTTCTAAATTTCCAATATTTCTTCTTGATACAACAATTTTTTCTCTTTTACTAATTATAAATTTAGAATTTTCCAATGTTTTACTAATTAATTGATTTAATGATTTTGACAATTTTATACTCAACTTGCTTCCATTACCATGGTTCTTTTTAAATGCTTTTAGTGATTGTACAATAAAGGCTGATAATTCTGGAAATGATAAATTATCGCTGTAATTATAAAAGAATTTTACCAATGTACTAATAAATTCCTCGATTAAATAATTTTGATATGGTATTGATTCTGAGATATTTGCTGGTACTTTTAATGAATATTTTAATGTTAATTTATTACTTTTATTCATCTTGTTATCTTTAGCAGTTTTTCTTATTTGTTTATTAAGAATTTTGGAGTTTAAAATCTCATATAATAGCGGATAAATTGGAATATAAACAGAGGTCTTGGAAGATAGTTCAATCATACAATTTAATAAATAAAATCTCAATGGGAAATATTCAATTGAAGAGTTTAATTTAATTGTACCAATAATTACTTGAATCAATGGATAATTTAGTTCAGCTAAAGCTTTATTCTTTTCATTTTTCGAGGAATAAACTCCTAATAATTTTGACCAAAAACTTAATCCTTGAACAAATTGCCAGTTGTAGATTAGTCTTAAATTTGCATCTTTAATAGAATTGTTTGTATTTGAATTATCACTGCTTTTATTTTTATTATTATTTTTATTTTTATTTTTGGAACCGATTTCATTTGAATTATTGGAATTTGAAGAAATTGATTTTAATGAATTTCTTAAATGAATAGCTAATTGTCTAATTGATTTGTAACCAAATGTGAAACAAAATTGAGAATCCAAGCTGAATAGTTCAATTAAACAATCTTTTAAAAATTCAATCAACTGAAATTTTTTATATACTTGTAATGAGCTTTCTAATGAAGATATTGGTAATTGAAAACATTTTTTTAAAAATGTTAAATAGCATTGATTGATGGTCAATTCTAACAAATCCGGATAATCCTTTGATAAATTTAAAATAAATGAAAAAATCAATGCATTACTATTCAATTCTGAAGTCAATAAAACTTTTTTCATATTATTTTTCTTTGAATTCAAATTTTTTAAAAATTTTTTTTGGTCATCGTTATCATCATCATCATTTGATGAAGTGAGTGAAAAATTTGTTGATTGAGATGCCCATAAGTTAACAATCGAAGTGATTAATTTTTTGGATTTTGATTGAAACTTATGTGCTTTGTAAAAAAAAGGCATAAAATCATAAACAGATGCTAATATTAAAACAATAAATTGATTATTTAAATTGTTAAGATTTAGTGTGATATCATTTAATAAAATAATCAATGAAGAGATATGACTGCTAATTAATGAAATCAACGATTGAAATACAGATTTTGATAATTGAGATTTTGGTTTTTTAGTTTTAGGATTTATTGGTGAAAAGGCTTTAACCGCTTTTGGGAAATCTTTTAATGTTAAGGATAATAATTGATTAAAAATACCTGGATCAGTTATTGCATATTTAAAGACAATTTCATTATTTTTGTCATTATCGTTTTTTTCGTTATTATAGATTGCAGATTTAAAAGCAGAAACGATATTTTTAAACAATTTGACCGAAGGACTTGATTTTAAATCATGAAACCATTTTTTTAATATTTTAGCAGTTAATTCAGTTTTACTTGAATCAATTAGATCATCTGCATAGTCTTCGTCAATGTTTCCATTATTATCGTCCATCTGTTCATCGTCACAGTTTTCTCCTTCTTCGCTTTTAAAGTCTGAATTGATTCCCAATTTTGAGGTTTCTTCGTCATCACTTTCTTCATCTTCACCTTCACCATCGCTTTGACCTTTATGATCTGAAGTTTCATCATTTTGTAATGCTTTTTCCAATTTGGCAAAGATATCTTTGTCAAGTTGACCACTATAGTCATTGTCGTTGCTTTCGTTATCATTATTGAAATTTGGAAAATCATCATTCTCCTCTTCTTTTAAAGATTTATTTTTTTTATCACTTTTCTTGAGATCACTCAAAACATTGAATTTGTCGTAATCATTATCGTAATCCTCCTCAATCAACTGGTCGTCTTCGTCGAATATTAACACTTTATCGTTTTTCACTTTACTGCCTTTCTCATTTTTGGAACCTTTCAGAGTGTCGAGATACTCTTCTCTTTCTCTAGATACCTTTGACTTATTGCTTTTTGCCGTCAATTGCGTGTGTTTCTTGACCTTTTTTCTGTGCTCAAGAGTTTTCTTAAGATGCTTTGACTGAAACTTCTTTGTCGACTTGGATGTTTTCCCCATGTTGGCTGATTGCTCCCAATATCGTCTTCTCCAACACCCAAAATAAAAATTTTCCAAACTGGAAAGTGAAAAAAAAAATTTAAAAAAGCTAAAAAGGGCCCACCCACACAAACGGCCTCAATTATGCTGACTCAGCACTGACTCACAACACGTGAACACAAACCAACCACGTGTATGGCTCACAGCACTGGCAGTAATGCGGGTGTGCATTGACCGGCGTGCTGGTTTCGGAACAGTGCGGCGGGTCCAGAGCGTTCCTTTGTCAAACTCAGCCAACTTTAATTCGGCCTCTGTTTACCTTTGGATGTTATAAAAGAGGTATGCTTTACAGCGAAGTTCACTCTCATACAAATCGCTCTACCAACTCTTGCTCTGTGATTTGTTCTTCATCTGCTCCATCTACTCCATCTGCTCCATTTCTCACCGAAAGGAACAACTTTTTACTACTGCTCTTTTTCACCACCAACCACTTTCTCTACTTCTTTCTAAAGGCTCTCCATTCTGCTTGGAGCTTATTGCCTCGATCATCTCTACTTAACTGGTAGCATAATAAGTTGTTTCAACTCACGTATTGTGATTTGTTGCTGCTGATCTTCGTGATTCTCTTTAGTGTGATTCAATCAAGTCTCTCATCATAATCCAAATTTCTCCTTTTTAACACCTCATATACAATATATTATTAAAAAAAGTACTATCTTTAGTCATCTGTTCTGTCATTTTATTCTATTCTCCAGTCTTCTGTATTCTTATACACTCAATACTATTTATTTTCAAATATTTTTAGTATATTGGCGGGTATCGTGAGATAGTCTCAAGTTTAATGGACATAATTTTGATTTCCAATCCAAAAATCTCATAAATTTTCTATCAATTAAACGTTTTTCCAAAAAAAAAAAATGTTGAATAATAACCCATATAATTCAAACAATCATAGTTTTGATTTGTCTTATATTGCTACTGATCCATTTGCTATTTCAACACTATCTCTAGCATATTTATCATGGATAATTGCACTAGCAGGCAGTGTTTCAACTACTTTTAAAACATCCATATCCTTTCCAAGATTTACCTGGTGGGGTTTAGCATTTGAATTTACCTTAATAGTTTCATTGACTTTATTTTATTGTTTCAATTTAGTCGACAGCTATAGAAATTTTCTATCTTCAGCTTTTGCAGTTGCATTTGTTTATACAACAAACTCAACCAATACCCTTGTCTATGTAGGTGATTCAACTACCTCTGCAGCAAGTGCTGGAGTCATTTTATTATCAATGATTAATATAATTTGGGTTTTCTACTTTGGTTCAGATAACTATTCTCCAATTAATCAATGGATTGATAGTTATTCCTTGAGAAGACAAAACTTGTCTTTAATCACAAATGACAATATCTATAATATGAATCATCAATCTCTATTAATGAAAAGCGCCAATAACAACAATAGTAACAATAACAACAATACTAATAGTCTCAATCCAAATCTATCAAACATTCAAAACAATTATAACAGTAATACTTTTAGTAACAATTTTTCGTCTCCATATAATAATAACAACGATTTTAACACTGATTTAAGTCAAAGATATGCAGATTTTTCCAATGATTTCCATGATATAACAAGAGGCAATTCCATGAGATCTCGTAATTCAAAATACATGAATCACCAAAGTGCTGTTTCTCCCTTAAATGGTTTTGAAAAGACAACGAGCCCAACTACTTTATCGCCCAAATTAATCAATGAAACAAGAAATAGTTTAAACATTTTAGGTGCTAATAATCTCAATAATCTTGATAGCGCCATAGATAATTTCAATGAAAAAATGAATAATAACAATAATAATAACAATAATAACAAATCAAATCACAAAAAAACTGAATCAAATGATGGAATAACAAACACAATAGTCAATGGAGATAACAATGAAGAAGATACATATCCATATAGAGCCATCGCATTGTATAATTATGATGCAAATCCTGACGATATTAATGAAATCAGCTTTAAAAAGGGTGAAATTTTGCAAGTTAATGATATTCAAGGTAGATGGTGGCAAGCTAAAAGAGAAGATGGTAGTGTCGGTATTTGCCCAAGTAATTATGTTGAACTAGTAAAATAATTAATTTATAAGTATTTTCAATATTTTAACTACTTTAACTTATTTTAATTTTTATTAAAATGGATTGATTTATTTGATTTAATTTTTTTTTTTTTCAAGGGATTTAATTTGTATTTTACGTTGCTTTAAATTTATACTTATTTTATTTTTATTGATACTTATTTTACTTTTTTATTTTATTTTATTTTATTTTATTTTATTTTATTTTATTTTATTTTATGTTATTTTATTATTATTTTGTTTTTTCATTTCATTTTTTTTATTTTTTCTATATAATCAAAATTTACCCAGGTAAACAAACTCAAAAATTTAGTTATGTTATCTATTTTTAATTTCAATTTCAATTTTATTTCCTTATTTATAAAACTATTTCAACTTTTTATATACATTTTTAGCCTACTATCTGTTGTTTGATCATTTATTACTGTTTTTTTTTAGTTTTTTTTACTTTGACATTTTATCAAACATCTCTTCATATTCTCGTTTGAATAATTTAATTGATTAGATTCGTTTTGGTAGAAATTTGCCTAAAATAGTAGTGAATCAAAGTTCAGTCAAACATAAGTTTCAAATCTATACTCTCTTGCTCTATCTTGGTGATGATCTAGTTTCATTATTAGTTAAAACGAAATTATCCAGAATTCCAGGAAAATGGATTTCCCAAAGAAACAACGTTATTGTCCATTGTTTGCCATTTTGAAACAATAACCAGTGTCTGGCTACTCGCCAATTTGACTATCCTCTGGAGTGCAAAACTGGTAAGCGTCGTAGGAACAAAGCTGTTATGAGGTTTACAATATTCATTTCACCAGCATCCAAACCTGGTTGGACATTATTCCAGAGTATCTTTCCAAATCATTATCTGCACATTGAAGTTCTTTGGTTTGAGATAAAGTTTGGAAACCCAGCACATGAATCAAGCAGAAACAGGGTAGAAACAGGACAGAATCAAAACAGAATCTACGCCCTCCAGAAGAGACAGGAGCCAGTCGCCAGGCTGCTGCAAATGCTAAGCTGACAGTATCTGGAGCTGGTACTAGCCCTTGAGGCATCGCAGGCAAATTCAGTTGCGAGAGGATTGGCATTTTATGGCCTTATGCTGATGCTTTAACATCCTCGGACCCTGAAAACCACCTCCACAAGGAACCTGTCATTTGTGAAACATACTTTCCATATGCTGATTCTCTTTCTGGGGCGCCCTCTTTTGGTGTTTCTGTTTCTCTGCTTTTCCCATAGCACCAGCTTCTGCTGTCCTCCAGCTGGAGCATTTGCTGTTCTCTCTGTCCAAACAGCAGTGCAATGCCCCAGTGCCAGTAAACACCATTGCCCACGAAACAGCCAACTCTGCTCTTCAGCTGGCCTTGACCTACTTCCCCCCCCAGCAGTTCCTTGCCCCAACAGCACTCCCAGCACTTACTCACTCGCCCCAAAAGCACCACTGTCGCCAATACGTTTCTGCTGATTTTCAGCTCTGTCTCCATGGGTTCGGGACCCACTCAGAACCCTTCGAAAACGGAACTGACTGTACTCTGCGTGCAGAATTCCGTAGTGTCACCCCCGTTCAAACAGCACGCATGTCCAAACCTGAGAAAGGGTATAAAGACGAGACTTAAACACTCCCCCAAACCTTTTTGGCTCTCTATTATCTCTCCATTTTCTCTTTTGTTCTTGCGTTGGGTGCTGTTGAATGAGAAAGAATTTTGAACAGTATTAGCAGAGTCTTTTGCAGTGTTTTTGCAGAGAAACTCAGCAGAGTAATTGCTTTGATACTGTTTCTTTTCCGTCTCATTTGCTCAGCTTGTTTTAGAACCTTTTTGTCTTCGTTTTTAGTCTCTTTCTAAAGTGTTTTGAGGGCATACTTAATTTTAAATTGGCATAGAGAGATTTCTTTCTGCTCTAATTTTTTTTTTCTTTTCATTTCTTTATTTGGTTGCTATTCTATTTACTGGAAACTATTCCAAATAGTTTTTTTCTTTGCTTCATTTCATTTCCAACCATATTAATTAATCAAATTTTTATTATTGTTATCACCATTTATCGTTCGTTTTCCTTTATTTTTTGTTAAAAATTACCCAATTTTCTTTCATTTCAACAAAGCACAAACGAAAAAAAATCTTGTCTTTTCCAATATTTCAGTCCACAAAAGTTAATCTGCAATAAATAATCCAAAATGGATGAATATCAATCTCCATCTTCTGTCTCAACAAACAACCAAATCTATGATAACTCATCGCAGTCTCTGTTTAGTAATATGAATATGAACCATTCAAATCAAAATATCCATTTCAACCAACAAAACCACTCCAATCAACCAGGCAACCCAAATCACTCAAATTTTTCAAACCCTCAACACCTTTTAAATCTCCAAAATGTTCCAACTATTATTGAGGACTCAGAAGTATCCTTTGACTACAAAATTAATTCTTCTGCTCAATTTTATGCTTCTCCATTTGGTTTAACTTCAATTTGGTTCAATATACCTGATAACAATTTCATTGGCATAGGTGCAACTTTGACAAGATTTACTGGCTCCATTAGTGGTGATTTATTTTACAATGATATATCCTCTTTCCAATCAAAACACTATAAACTATGCGCCACAAGAGATGAAAATGATGATTTAAGAATTGATTTTTTCAAAATCTCTTCTTTTAAAACTAATGATGATTCAAACGTCGCTTCCCCTGTTTCTTTACGTCCCTCTCCTCCTCCTTCAATCAATGAAAATGATTACAAAGCTACTAAAAATAAAAATAAGAACAAAGACAAGCCTTCAAACAAAAACTCTAAAAAGAACCCTGACAAAAAGTCTGACAAAAAGCTTGATAAAAAGTCTGATAAAAAGTCTGATAAACAATCAAATATAGAATCTCACTCTTCTTCATTTCAAACTCAAACCTCTGAAAATTATCCAAATTCTTCTGAATCGAACAATTTTGATAAAACTTTGCAAAAAAATGTAGATTTCTTAAATAATGACACTTCTTTTTCTCAAAATTCAACCTTTTCTCCAAATAATGTACAGGTCCCTGAATTGGTTTTTGTTTCAAGAGCTATATCTCTTTTTTCAACTTCAATTGCTTTTGCTAAAACTAATGAAAATACTGTTCAATCAAATCAAAAGAATGATAATAACAATAACAATAACAAGTCCGTTGATATAACCAAACCTGCTAAAAATAATAAAAAAAACTCAAAAGATAGTATTAATAGTACCACTAGCAATAAAGACTCTAAAGATTCTAAAGATTCTAAAAATTCTAAAGATAATTCAAACAAAAATTCTAAAAATTCAAGAAATTTAAATAAAAGTTTTAATAATAAAAATGATATAAACTTAAATGATTATGATAGTGTTAATGATAAAAATAGTGAATCCAGTTCTGGGAGTAATTTTATTAATGACAGTGATAGCGAAGATGATTCTGAAGATGAAAACTTTTTTAACCATGGGTTTCTTGAAGAAGATGACTCAGATATGGGGAGTTTAAACGACTTCAATTATGATGATGAATTAATTGATCAAGAACTGATCGATGATAATATCATAACTGGTAATCCTTCAACTTTTTACAATTCTGAGCCACAATCCATTCGCAGATTTCAATCTTTTCAAGATTTGAAACAAAAATCTTCCATTTCTTCTAGTACTAATTCAGTTAATCCAAATAATAAAAATAAGAAAAAGAAATATCTTATTGAACCCTTTATCGCCTCTCTAGTCTTTGAACCTCGCCCCAATCGCGATGAAATTGATAAAAAGGATGATTCTAACGATTCTAATGATCATCATGGTACCAACAGCAGTGATAAATCTCCTAAATCAAATCGAAACTCTACTACAAAAAAAAAAAGTTCTTCAGCAAGAGAGAAAGATTCTAATAAAAAACAAAAAAATAAAAGACAAAAGGAAACTTAAATTCAATACAATAATACGTTTTTTCTTGATTATTTTTTTCACTTATTCTTAGTTGCTCATTTCTTTATCTATTTATTTAGACACATTTTTCATATTTCTTGTTAAAAATCTCTTTTTCTTTTACTCTTTTTTTATTAAAACACATTTATTCTTAATTTATTCTTAATTTCTTCTTAATTTATTATTTTTATTTTTTTTTTTACTCTTTTTTTATTTTTATTTTTATTTTTATTTTTATTTTTATTTTTATTTTTACTTTTATTTTTATTTTTATTTTTATTTTTATTTTTACTTTTATTTTTATTTCTATTTTTGATATCATCGTTAATTCTTGTTAAAAATGTTAATCTACAAATGGTTTTTAAATAATGCAATTTTTATTTTTTTTATTTGAATAATTATATATTTATATACTTATATTAGAGTAAAAGTCGGAATACTGGGATATTGAAATATTGAAATATTGAGATATTGAAATATTGAAAGTGGATTATTCTTTCAAAAAAGAAGATATTAATCTAACTTTATGACCCAACCACATGGCGTGGGCTGTATGATCTTTTAAATCACCTTGATCACTTCTTGGATGTATCAAGACACTTAGACCATCATGGTTGATTTGATACCAGGGAACGATTTTCGAGAAAATTTCAGGTTTTTTGAAATCGATTTCCCACATACCAATTGGATGAGGTCCTAGTGGATCATCGTGAATTTTGTAGTATCGTATGTCGCCAGCCTTGATTTCTTGGGCGAAATCTTCAAGTAGTTTCTCTCTCAATTGGTAAGCTTTTTGTTTCTCTGGTAGATTTGTCTTTGCGAAATAAGTGTGAATATCGTATGATTTTATATTACAGATGAATGGTGTGGGATTGTGGATGGACATTTTTGTTAGAATGAGGGATGAGGGACGATGGTTGAGAGTGAGAGTGAGAGTGAGAGAGATGAGGTGGATATTTATAGGGAGATGAAACGTATAATGAGCTGGGTGGATGTGATTAGTGATAATTAGTAATCGAGTTGTGACCGGTGGTGGGGGAGCTGGTTTTGATTAGTCTTACAAATCGGAATTGAAAGCAGAAAAATGGGTTGAAATAGCAGGAGAGTGTGTTTAATATTGGTTTAGTATTTGTTGAAGTGTGGATATAAAGATTTTTCATATTGTTGTTTTTAAAATTAATAAAATTGAATAAATTGAGAAAAAAGGTTGGGATTGTGTATGCAGGTATATGTGTATTGATGTGTTCCGCGGCTTGAATCACGACCGGCGATCTTCCTGATTTGGAAGCAGGATAAAAGTGTGAGATAAGATTGTAGTGTTTATTAAGTGGGTAAAAGGGATTGAAAAGGATTAAAAAAAGATATAGAAGGGATATAGAAGAGGGTAATGAGAAAGAAGTATAAGAAGGGAGGTTATAATAAAATAGATGAGAGATTTGTGAGTTTTTTGATGATTTCCAGGTTATCATTTTGAATGATGTTTGCCAGAGTTTTGAAGAGGCCCTTTTCGTTTTTTTTTTCGTTTTGGATTGAAAATTGGTTGAAAGAGGGGTCGTTGAAATCGTAATCATTGAGTAGATTTATTAGTTGGTTGAAGTGGATTGAGTCGTTAAATTCTAATCTGATTTTGTAGAATATGGGGAATATGCCTAGATTTAATCTCAAGTAGGTGTCACCATAGAATTGGAGATCAAAGTCTTGGTTGTCGTTGGAGGATATTTTTTTGATTATTTCTTTTAAGAACTTTAGGACTTGGTGTGAGTTTGGGTTGATTGTTGTTAGAACGGATAAGGGAGTTAGTTTGAGTTGTTCTATTGAGATTTTGAAATTGGGGACGAGCACTTTTCCAACGTGGATGAAATTTTCATCATCATCATCATCATCATTATTATTATTATTATTATTATTATTATTATTATTATTGTTGTTGTTGTTGTTTTTGTTGTTTTTGTTGTTTTTGTTGTTGTTGTTGTTATCATTGTTATCATTGTTATTGTTATTTTCAGTATGTAAATTGATATTGTTTAGGACTTTTAAATTGACATCAGTTAAATGTATGTCGACAGATTTAAAAAGCTGACCAGTTTTAGTAAAGACAGTTTCTAGGTATGGGTTGTTTAAAGAAGAGTAGTTAAATTGGTTATAACCATCAACTTGGAAGTTCAAACCAACGTTTGAGGATTGGAAGTTGTTATTTGAGAAGCCTCTAAATTTTATATTTTCTATATTGAAGTCCATTGATTTGTTGATATATTGTTGGATATTGGGTAGGATTAGGAATAGGTTTAGAAGGATGAAGAGGATGATGAGGAGGAACGATAGAAATATTAGATTGGTCAAGAAGGATAGGCAGGAGGAGTTTCTGTGCCTTTTTTTATTTCTGAGTCTGAAGGAGTGATTTTGGGATGGGTTGTAGGCAGATGCATAGGAGGGAAAGAATTGATCAGCAGGAACTAAGACATATCTAGTGTTAGAGTTGTAGGAAGAGTATGGAGGAGGAGTAGGAGGAGGTAGTGGATCATACACATTTAGAGGAGTTTGTTCAGTAGGGATAGGTGTATTGTAAGGATTTGAGTATTTAGCCATAATTTAGTCAAACGAAACAAACAAAAGAAACAAAAGAAACAAAAGAAACAAAAGAAACAAAAGAAACAAAAGAAATAAAAGATCGATAAATCAATCAGAGGAGATAAGAAGATAGTTGTTGAGATGATGGATTAAAGATATAAAGAAATGGATTGAAGGCGAGAGATAGAGAGATTAATAATGATATTTGAAGAGAGAAAACACAAAAATATGGCGTCAAAATCCCGATAAGCAGCGGAAAGCCGGTCATGACCGAAATATGGGAGTATATATATTTGCAAACCGGTTTTCCGGAATAAGGTAGAGCAGCGTGATTGTGTAATGGAGAGTGTGATTACATAAGCGATGACAATCTGGGCGATCTGGAGCGGGAAATAGACTGGAACAAAAGCTTGGATAATAAGTTGGAGTAAATACGAAAAGCAACAAGTGGGAATAAGAATGAAGAGAATTAAGAAAGAAGATTGGCAAAGATTTTCAGATCAAAATTCAAAATTCAAAATTTGAAAATCGAATCAGATTTTATATTAATTAATATTAATTAGACTTCAAGTGTATTTGGTTATTGTAACATGAGCCATTGGAATAGAGTTGAATTGCAGAAAAAGAGGTAAACAGATTGAAACATTTAAAAATAAAACAGAAGAAAAAAGAGATGGAAAACCCGAAATTTCAACCAAGATGGCGAGAAATAGCTAAAAGGATAGCAGTGAGCAAACTCAAACGCGTGAAGAAAGTTTAAACGGCAGGATGAGAGAAACAAGGTGGAAGAAGGAAGCAAGGTCGACGAATATGGCGATGAAGATGCTGATCAGAAGCAGGTAGAAGACAAAGAAAACAGGCTAAAATGGATAAAGATAGAAACAAGCTGGTGCAAGTTTCCCACTGTAACAAGTGGCTCGCAAAGGTGAAACAACGAAGAGACAGTGCATTCAAAGTCAAAATAGCCGATGCGACGAACCAAGGCTCGAGCCTGCATCGCTGAGGCCGTGTCACGGGACCGCTGTTGAAACCTGCGCCGGAGCATGAGATCCGTCCTGGCAGCAGAGGTGCCGCAGCTAACCAGAGATCGACGCCCGCCCACATGGTGCAGGTCTGTCTGGAGAGAATGGCGCAGGCTGGTACACAGCCGGAAGAACTTGCGCGTCAATTCTCGTTTCAAACAAGCAGACAATGCAGAGCACGTGGCATGGGTGCTGTTTGTGAACCGAGAGGGCGTACACACATGCGTCCCGCAGCGAGAGCTGGAGAGGCTACCAGTGTTCGGAGCGCTGCAGTGTCTGCTGGCGGGAGAGGATCTGGAGCAGACGACGGAGGGGCCGACGCAGCACGGCCAGCAGCGGCAGCGGGATCTTGAGCAGAGGGCCCAGAGACGCTGGTCTGAGCACTTGCGGTGCTTTCCATTGGTCTGTTGCCGTCTCGGTCTGCTCCCAGCACTGGGGAGCACTGGTGATCTGTGTGCTGATACTCGTTGCTAATTCCACACCAGTCCCAAAACATCAGAAGCTGGAAATTCTAAATTCTATCCACTACTTAAATACCTGTTTATCTACTCATCCAGTCCTCAAATCCTCACTTCCAAGACGTGCTTCCCCCAAACTCCATCTCCAGTCTCACTCTCTCTTTCCTCATTCACCTCTTCCTCCACCAAAATCAAATCCACAGACCTTGTGCCAGGGAACTGTTTCTACCCAATCCAACCACATTATACAAAATACAAAATACAAAATACAAAATACAAAATACAAGTTAAAGCACAGATTATAAAGAACAAATTACAAATTTTTTTTCTTTTCTTCTTTTTTTTCACTTTCTTTTCAAAATTTTCATCTAAAGTTTTTCATAAACTAAATACTATTACAAGTACAAACACAAATACAAATACAAACACAAATAACAATATATAATAATATTAATAATCTGTCAGATTCATATTTATATCTATTCATCCACTCAAATTCAATTTCCCTTTTTCTTTTCATTTCCCTTTATTTCCTTGTTTCACTACAAAAATACTAATACTCTAATACTCTAATACATTGATACGCTAACATCGAATCAATAAATCAACAAACCAACAAATCAATTAATCTCTAATCTCTAATCTCTATTCCGTATAGTTGTAATTATAATTATAATTATAATCATATCCATAATCTACACTCTTCCACACCTATAATGTCTTCTCCAAATGATAACAATAATAAAGATAATTCTCAGTTTAAATCTATACCTGAACTGCTAAAGGATCAAAATGATTCTCAATTTAAATCCATACCTGAGCTGTTAAAAGATGAAACTGACTACAATAACCTATCTTATCAATATAAATCAAATCCTAATCCTAATCCTAATCCTAATCCTAATCCTAATCCTAATCCTAATCCCACTCAGAACCAAAACCAAAACCAGAATCAATACTATCCTCAAAACTACGTTCCTTCCAACATCAACTTCCAGTACAACAACATAAACCCTTCAATATACCACCAGCAGCAGCAGCAGCAGGATTCTTCTCAAATCCCTCAACAGCCTCCACAACAATACCAGTACTTTCCAATTCCCTCCATGTCCTATAATCCTCAACCTCATCCCTCTCAATCAATCTACTATCCTGATCCCTCGTCCTACGACAGCCAAAACCAATTCCAAAGAAACAAATATATCTACCAACACGATCCCTCAATAGCTTCATCATCATCCTCCTCCTCAATCCCTCATCTACCTCCCTACGAAAGAAAACCCTACATAGATCACTCAAGGCAATCAATTACTCCCAACTCCTCTTTATCCCATTTCAACTATCCTCCTCCTCCTTCTCATCCTCCACATCTTCACCCTCTTCCTCCACCACCACCACTACCTTCACAACAACAACAACAACCTCCTTCTTCCTCTTCCTCTCTCCCTCCACATCCAACTCAGTCTTCTCAACCCCAAAATAACCTACTTCCCTTATCCTCTTCCTCCTCTTCAGCTTCAATCAACATCTCTCAATCTCTAACCCCTAATCTTCACCAAAACCTATCATCCCAAAATCTACAAAACCAAAATTTCCAAAATCAAAACCTATCAAATGAAACTCTATCCAATCAACAATTATCTTCCCAAAACCTTTCTAATCAAAACTTACAAAATCCTATCATCAATCCTCCTGATCCTTCTTCTCACTCTCAACAACCTCAATTCCATTCCCATTCTCACTCTCAATCTCAACTACAACCACAACCACAACCACAACCACAACCACAATCTCAATCTCAACCACAACTACATTCGCACTCGCACTCGCACTCTCACTCTCACTCATATTCCTATCCTTATTCCTATTCTCAACCTCAACCTCAACCACAACCCCCTCTACACCATCAAAATCAATCTCTATCATCATTACCCCCAAACCAATCTCTAATCAACGACACAAATCTAAATAAAATGAAAAATTGGACTTTTGAAAAAAATCAATATCTACAAACTCCTTTTCACCACCCAGAATATCTGGTCAATAACCCAAATAACCCAAACATCCCAAACACAATCAACGAAGACTACAGATTCGCCTCCATTTCCTCAAACGACTCAAAATCGGACATATACAGCAACACAAACACTAACAGCATCAGAACTTCCTTTCCCTTCCGTTCCTCAACCAATTCCTCAATCCCAACCTTTCCAAATTTTAATCTCAAATTCAACGCAAACACAAACAGTATAAAGGGAAGCATCGACACTTACGGCCCAATAAGTCTATCCAGAGGTAACTCATGGTTTGAAACTGCTACAAATCAAAACATTCCAATTAACCCCAACATTCCAATCAATCCCATTACCGCCAATGATTCTGATACTTTTCTGAAACCAATTTCAACTTCATCTCTGAACATCATCCCAATTCAATCCCAAACTCAGGCACAGGCACAGGCTCAAGCTCAAGCTCAAGCTCAAACCCAAGTCCAAAATCAACAATTCCAACTCCAACAAGAATTCCAGCACCAATCATCTCAATACCAACAGCAATACCAACAATTTCAACAACCCAATCAACCGCCCTTATTAATTGAAGAACAATCTCAAAGTAAACATAGTTCAGCATCCTCTGAAGCTGATAACATCATCAGCGAATCTTCCTCAAGTAATAGCAGTAAAGCTAAAAAAATCCCCACAAAAATTGAAAGAATCATTACAGACTACGATCCAATTTTAAATTTCTATAGACAGAAAATCACCGAAATTAAACCTCTAAAATTAATAAGATTCACTTCCCTACCAATTAGCGTATTACAAGCAATAGCTGAAAAGACTCCAAGATTACCTCCAAATATCGCTTCCAGAGTAGACGCCATAAGTTATAAATTTCCAATGATTGAAATGAAAATTATTGATGATTTCAATGATTTATTAAATGACTGGTCTGATGATTATCTACATACCATAAAAAGAAAATTAGTCCTCTTCCATTGGGATTTCGATCTATTAAAAGTTGAAACTGAATATGAAAATCCTCCTTTTGAAACAAAAAGAGCAACAAATGTCCCAAAACCACAAAAGACCGTTGAAACTTTGTTCAAAGCCTTTTTAAATTTGAGATATACAGAAATATCTCAAAAAGAATATGGCACTTTGTTCAAATTTGATTTGGGAAACGATGACTCCAAAAACGTATCAAACATCTCACTGGATCCAAATAATATCAACTTGATAAAATTACAAGATATTATTGACAAAAAACAGTACTGCATCATGTCCTGTATTTATTGGCAGTATTTAAAAACTTTTTTTTTCACTTCTGTTGATTTAATTTATCTCCTAGAAAGAATCTCGGGTTTAACAACAAAAACTTTAACCACTTCTCTGACTTCCTATAAAACATCCAAAAATAATTCTGGTGCTGACTGTTTCCCCAAAAATACACCATCAAAAGAAGTTAATGAAAGATTCGACCCCAAAGAAAAAAATCGTATTAGAAGGAATTTGCAGTCTATCAAGAGTGTCACTGTTGGTAGGATCATTAGGCCTGGTGGTTGTATATTTGACAACACACCACCCAAAAAAAATGGAGAAAAACAAAATTTAGAGCCCAATACTCTTAAACGAAAACGATCTGATGATCTCTTAAGAGCTAATCATTCAGAAATTTCTTCTTTGGTCAATGAAATGGAAGGCATTTTGAGAATTAACGACATAGAGATTTACGAAATCTTTAAAGTGATTATGAGTTTTGATGACCCAAAACCAAGAAATATTGAAAAAAATATAAAAATATATAGATGGGATTCCCTAGAGGCATCATTGAGCAAAATTTTGCCCAAATATTGCATAAATTTTAGTGATTATGATTTCAATAGTGAATTCACTTAATAAAAATTTTTATACATTTAATTTTACCATGTTAAAATAGAAATTTTCTAAAGAAAAAAGACAACAACAACAACAACAACAACAACAACAACAACAACAACAACAACAATAACAACAACAACAAATCAAGAATAAAAAATCTATAGCTATTGAATAGATGCAGAAAGAATTTCAAAATTCTGTCATTTAAAGTAACATATTATATTAAAAAAATTATCATTTAGACAAAACAATGTATCGGTTAATGTGTTTTTAATTTTTCTTTTTCTTTTCTTTCTGTGTTCTTATCTTCTTATATTAAAAAGTTCATTTATTTATTTGTTCTCAATTCATTATAATTTTTTAATTGTTTGTGCTTTTGTTTTATTATTCAGCTTTTATTTATTTTATTTTAATGTTTTGTTTGGTGATTAAATTTCTTTTTTATTCTTGCGAACCTGGGTATGTGTTTTATTTTTTATTTTTTTTCGTTCATTTATAATGTCCTTTTTACAAAGAAAATTTATCTATTCTTAGTTTCTTCATTTTCTAATTTCATTTTGTTTTTTAAAAGTTTTTTTTTAAATAGTAGTTTATGTTGTTAAAAATCTATGATAAATTTGTGTTTTTTGTACATATATTAATAGTTTTTCTAAATTTCTACCTATATATATATTAAATCTACAAAAAAAGAACGTTGGTAAGAAAATAATCTTTAGATAAAACGAAAAAGAGCATCAGTTAGGTATTATTCGACGAGTTAAAATGTTAATGAAATTTGTACAAAAAAAAAATTAAAATCTTTTAAGATCAAGAAGTTGTTCATTTTTGACAATTGAGGTCAAATAAGGCGATAAAGTTTCTTGGAGGGTTAAAACTGAGAAGCATGAATTGGCTTTTGTTGATACATGTATCTCTAAAGCTATCTTTCAAAGTAGCCGATAGTTTAAAGACTAATATTTTTAATTGAATAAGATAACAATGCTAAAATTTCTGATTGTCTGGCTCATTTGCATATGCATATTCTCACACAAAAGAGATTGTGAAGTACAAAAGTGAGATTTGTTTAAAGTGAACATGAAATTTTGATCAACAATTTCTGTCAAAGATTCATATAAAAATCATTAGTTTTGAAGTGATTACTTTTGAGTATAAGTCTGTTAAATAATTTAACTCTGATATTAAAAAAATAGAGCTTATTTCAGGTGTGGTGATTCTGTCTTTTGTCTTTTATCTTTTATTTATTTTGTTTATCTTTTTTTTTTTTTTGTTTTTATTGTAGTATGAAATTAGTTGAGAGGTCTTTGATTGGAGATAAGCATTTTATCTAAAATTAAAACACATTGCATAAAATTGCAAGACTTTCTTTTTGACAATAGCAACCAGAGCTTACTATTAGTTAATTCAGTCAACCGATATAAAACAAGAAAGGAATAATTAATTTTTTTTAGATATTGTGAACAAAAGGTTTAATAATAAAGTAGCAGGTAAAAATTGCAACAATATGCAAAAAAAAACGGGAATTGAAACAAACTTCAAAATTAAAAATAAAAACAGCATAAGCAAAAAAGCAAGTTTTTATTTCAGAAATTATAAAGTTACTGTTAGAACAATAGTATTAGATTTGATATTCTTTTGTTTTATTTTGTTTTTTCAGTATAATAATAGGAGACTGATGGTAAAAACGGATTAACTATCTAACACGAGGGATTTTGACAGCAATTATCAGGAAAACCAAGCCATCAAAAGCTATTATAATAATTTTTATTTTATAAATGAATAAATCAAAACAAGATGATTTAAACAGTTAATTAAATTTTCTATCAGTAACAAAGGATAAATAGTAATTCACAAGGAAAAAAGAACCTGGTTGATTTGAGCATTTTGGTTACCTAATAGGGAATTTCTAGTTTGTTAAGTGAAAATTTTCATTCAGTTCATTTGATACACCAAGTATAATTTGTTTAACCAGCTAATTCAAGAACAACAATGTTAAAAAGGATGATTTGAAGAGGAAAAAACAAAAAGCTTCTTTTCTTAAAGATGTATTGATTTAATCTGTGCCATATGGTAGGTTTGGTATGACCTATTTCCGAATAGTAAATATTTTCCAGTGTGATATATCAAAGTATATTGCACTTTTGAACTATATTATTTGCTTCCAAGAAGAAAAAGCTGACAATAATATGGAACCTGTAATAAATTTGCTGAAATCAAAAACAATCAAGGCTTGTTCATGTTGAGAAGATAGAACCTGATACAAGATTAGTGCCAGTGCAAAGCACATAGAAAAAGCACGCCCTTCGGCTAATTTAATTTATGTGCCCACAGTCAAATTTTTGGCACCAACTGCAACACCAAATCGCTGGCAGCCCAGCCAGCAACTGGCAAATATATATGGTTTTCGAAAGAGAAACGACCCAGAGACCCAACGTTTCTTCTGGTTGACATATATTTTTAGCATCTGGGGCACTGATAGCAGCATGGAAATCCGCGCGCACAACCCAGCTCCGGCAAGCGTTTTGCACCGAAAAAGCACGGCAGGAGACCCTATCCGTGCACGGAGCTGCGGTTGGGAACCTGAAATCCAGCGCGGATGCGGCTCGAAGCGTGTGGACGATTCCCGATCTTGTTACCTAGAAAGAGAGCCGAGAGCTGTCTTTGGGCCTGTTGGAGGTGGTGAAGGAGTTGTGTTGACGACAAGAGACTGTGTTCTGGTCTGTTTTGTGGGAAGAAAGTCTGCTTTGGCTATAGGTGTTGTTGCCAGCTACCTAGCTGGCACATTGAAGCACAAATAAGTTCGACAGGTTGAGGTGGTTGCTGTCAGCAGCAGTACTGTTTCTAGTGTGTGCTCTAACTTTATATGGAATTTTGATGATTTTTTTCACTTTTTTTATTTGCTTCCCTCTTTTTTGTTGAATTTACAGAGATTTGTTTGTTATTTCTGGATTTTAATATTTTAAGTGAAAAGCAGCTTGAAGATTTGGTTTCTGGGCTCAAATAAATTGTCTGTTTTCTTGAAAATTTTGAAATTAAATGGAATTTCGGTAGCAAATAAATATCAGACAAATAAAAGTCATCGTATTTATTGGAAAATAAAAAGTGCAAAACATTTATCAGACTCCTTCTCTTTAAAAAAATAATTCCGAACCAAATCCATTTAAACAAAAGAAATAAACAAAAAAGAAAAAAAAAGAAAAGAAAAGCAAAAACAAACAAACAACGCCATTTTTACTGACAGGAAATAAGAATTTTATGGCAAGATTATTATTATACTGAGCATTTCTTGTGCGCAGGTTCTAATTTAGTTTTAATTCGCTTGAGTTTAAATTTCATATCAATGCTACATGTTTAAACGCAATTTCAAAATGAAAATTAATATTATCTAATAAATAGCCATAGTTGCACATACTCATAATTAATAAGTATCATAAGTGCCTTTGAGATTATTTCAGATTATTTGAAAGAATGTGGTAATGATATCTTAAAACAGTATTTGCAAGAGTTTTTTTTTACTCTTCCCAGACGGAGAGTCAGTAAATGGACCAAAAGAATTTACGATAGAAACACATATTATCATTAACTATATCTTAAATGAGAATATTAATGAAATAAATGATCTAATAAATGATTTATTAAACATAAAAATTGACATACTATAATAAAATAAACTTGACAAACTTAATAAAATGATTTAAATAAAAAAACCTAAAAAATACAATTAAATTGTTTATAAACGAAATACTTTCTTTTATTTTTTATTTTTTCATTTAAACTTTTATTAAATTTATAAAATTAAGCAAAAGAAAAAAAGAATAATTAATGTTAAGCATTTTCAAAGATATAGGAGATTTTGAAGAAGAAAAGTAAGAGATAAGATAAGATTATAAAAAATGAAAAGTAAATATAATAATATAAAAACCGTAACCTCTATACTAATGAAACATTAGATAAATCTAAGAAGTGAAGAATAGAATATAACAAAAAAATTATTGAACTAATGACCAAAAACTAAAAGTAAAAAATTAATAATAAAAATTGTGACAGAAAATGAATGAAATAAAAATAATGAAAGTTAGGTTAAGTTAAGTTAAACTAAATTATTAATAATAAGATTTATAAAATCAAAACTATACCAAAGCCAAATAAAAAGGAATAGATTATTAAAGAAGCAACGGAAGAAAACAATTTAATGTTATTAAATGAGGAAATAGCACCGTTAATCTCAATTAAAGAAATATTAGGAATGTCTCTTGATGTGGAATTTGAGTAAGAAACAATAGAAGAAGATAATGTTGAAATTAACCTAACTGAAGAAGTTGAGGATTTGGAAGCAATTGAGGAAGAAACAACTAAAGAGCTAGAAGAGGATTCAACATCTGCAGATGATGAGTGGGCAACTGAAGAAGATTCAGATGACGAAACTTCGGATGAAGAAGATTCAGATGATGAAACTTCAGATGAAGAGGATTCGGACGATGAAATTTCAGAAGAAACTAAAGAAGAAACTGAAGAGGAAACTGAAGAGGAAACTGAAGATGATAACGATTTAGATGCTGGGGATTTGATGGATGGAGAAGAAATGGCACCGGAGTTAGCTCCTTCAATTCTACCATTAATTTCACCATTTTCAGCTACAATTGATTGCCAAGTACCACTGTTATCAGAGTAAGAGTAAGAATCACCAGTTGAATAATCAGCAACATAAAGGCTTTTGATGTGCATTTCAAAAGGACCTTGAGTATAGTCAGTTAAACCACCAGCCCATTGAATAGTACCAATTTCATTAGTTGAATCACCGCCGGCCCACATACCGAGGTAAACAGCCATTGGGGTTTGAGGGAAGCCAGATGGATTGTCGGCAAGAATTGTTCTAACAATAGCACCATCGATAGAAAAAGTAATGGCATCTTTATTCCAATCAAAGGTATAAGTGTGATAAGTGTTGGTGGGGTCAGCTACAGGATGCCATTGGAATCTATCATAAGTTGTGATATCGCCTAAACGAAAGAAGTTTGATTCAGTTCTACCAGCAGCACCAGTATCACCACCTAACCATTCCCAATCAATTTCATCCAAGACATCACTTTGTAAGTAAACAGTTGAGACAATACCTTGACCTGGAGCAGATTTCATTGTGACTTCAACTTTACCAAACATGATATGGAAATTTGAGACAAGAGCAGGATTGTCACCTTGTTTTGATAAAGTGAAGGTTAAGCCATCATCAGAGTAGTCGATATTTCCAGCTGCACCAAATCTTGAGAAGTATGGGGATTCTGATTTAAAGTCTTCTTGAATGGTGCCGGATAACGCAGGATTCGAGGCTAAAGTTGCTAAGGGATTAGCAGATAATAATAAAACGGATGGTAATAATTTTTTCAAAGTATTGAAAAACATTTTTGATTTATAAAAGATAAGTGAATTGAAGATATTAAATGATAATAAAGATAATAGAGATAAATTAAAGTATTAAGCGATTGTAATATGGAATTAATAAAAGCGATTGATATTAGTTGGTTGTGAGAGGTTGATGTAAAATCTTAGAGGGACGCTGATTTGAATACGGAAAAGAAGATAATAATAATAATAAAAAGAAGAATTGAAATGAGAGCAAAAAACGAGAAAAGATATTATATTTATATTGATAAAAGTTGTTTAGAGACAAAAACCAAAAAGATAAAATAAAATTTTAAAGGATATGGTAGGTAAAGAATGGAAAAAAAAGGGAAACATTAATACTCGTGGATAATTAGTTAGTAGGCTAAATGATTAATAATTAAAACTAAAAAACTGGAATCAATCGAAAAAGATGAACAATAATTTATTTTTGGTATAAGAGTTGTGGGAAAAAGAGGCAGTAACAGCATTAACAGACCAGTATTACATTGGTTACAAATTACAAGTCATAAAAATAGACTATATGACTATATGACGATAGACTATGAAAGGATGTAATTATGTAAATAAAGATGAGAGGATGTATTATGTAGTATGAAAATAGTAAGAAAGAAAGCAATACAGTTTTGTAATACAGTTTTGTTATTCTTTTTTTACTATTTCTTTTGTAAAATTGGATGGGATAATTGATGGTGCAAGACAAAAGAAAACAAAAGAAAACAAAAGAAAGCAATGAAAACCAGGAGAGAAAGAGGTTGATTCGATGAGATGAGAATAAAATTTGAGAAAAGTAAATTGAAAAATAAATATAGACAGTATAAGTTGAGGTAATATTAATCTTAATCTATTAATACGGCCAGCATCCAGCTATGCATCGAATAGAGAACAAAAAGAAAGCAAAACGAGAGCAAAAAGCGAGCAGATAGAGGCATTTCCAGAGCTCTTGCATTCTGCATTTCTATATTTATGATTTTCCATCATGACCTATCATCATGGTGAATAAGAGTGCATTGACTGCCATGCCCACAGAGATCTGTTTTGGTTGAGTAGTTGGGTGTTTACAGCGTGTGCAGTTTCCGGTGTTTACTGCTGGTTTTTCAGTGCCGGCTGTTGGTCGTTTTATTTAGCAGAGCTTGCGGAAGCAAAGACTCCCTGTGCTGCCGGCCTTGGGTACTTGCTCTGCAGCGGCTTCTGTGCCTGTCTCACAAGCAACACAGCAGTGGATTTGGCGATGTGTTTGGCGACATAAGGGCTGCTGGAATGTGTGCAACTATGACCAAGGCAGAGGGCTCTGTGATAGTCTCCACGAAGCAGAAGCACGAAACAATTCCTGGCTTTATGGCCAGCGTTTTTGAGACCATCACTGTTTTGATCTGAGATCTGCTCCAATTCTGGGGACTTTGTGACTTCCTTACTCTTTCCTGGCTGTTTTCTTGCAGCTTCTTCGTCGTTTCCTCACTGTTTGCATGTTGTTTGCAGCGGTTTGCAGCTGTTTCCAGCACTACTTCCAGGGCTTCACTCGTATTTGTCTCTTATCTCCAGCCTATGCAGAGCCTGTCCAAAGCCTGCTTTGGGTCTGCTCCCATTGAAAAGGATTCTTGCATCACGCTTCTGCAACACATTCCGCGGCAACATTCCTGCGGTTCCCTCAAAACCCGGCGGAGATTGCGCAATTTTTAAGACACGTGATGCAGCTTCTTACCCTGTTTTTCCAACTCTATGGGCGTCCTTTCATTAGGGAGAAAAAGCCCAATGCTCTTCTGCTGTTGCGATTTATGCTGCTGCTTGTTAATGTGGTGTCGTTTACCATACAGTGAGGTTTTTTTCCAGTAGAGCCTTGATTTTGGTGAGTTTTTGTGACATATCTCTATTTTTGTTCATTTTTGCAGATTTATGGTTTTTGCTTTCTTGGTATTTATGGCAAGACAAAAATGACGCTGGTTCGTCTCGCACCCCGCGCATTTTCAAAAATAATAAATTACTATGAAGCACCGCACCTAGGATCTACTTTTCTTTTTTTTTTCCGTACCCACGGCCTAGTTGGATATCCATCCGTTGTTGAAAAATGTTCCAGTAGTGAAAACATAATATCCCAATAAATCTGCGCTGTAAATTTCCTAATGTTGAAGCTCCCGCCACAGCAGGGAGAATTTCCGCTATCCACTATGCCCCCTGGGTACGGAAAAAAACGAGAAAAATAGATCCTAGGTGCGGTACTTCATAGTCAAATCGAATCAGATTAGCCAGTCTTAATTGAATACAATATTTTCCCCAGTACTCGCAAATTTTATAGATAATTGAGTGTCTTGTTAATTCGATTAGTAATTGTTGATTTCGTCAAGACATTCGTCTCTTATTGTTTTTATCCAGTCTAATCACCAGAAAAAACATTGTTTAGATTTCCAATTATCCACTTTCAAGTAATTTATACTATTTCGTGTATATATAATATAAAAATACTAAAATACAATATTTATTGTATAAACACTTGATTTTTTTGAGAATATATTTTTAATATATTGATAGTAGCATGGTAATACTGAAACTGCAAAACTTTCCTTTAATTTTTTTCAAATGAACTGCAATAGCCCTCATCACCATCATCATCACCATAGCCATAACCATAATCATAATATCCTAATATCCAAAATAGGAATAAGTAGTTAAACATGAAATTTGAAATTGGAAATTTGAAATTGGAATATATGTAAGTAATCAAATATTTTTGTTTTTAACCGTTTTTAATTCACTTCAACTAAATTTCCTCTAATTAGATTAACATATGTCAATGTATTTTTTATAAAGTTTTTGTTTTTAAACTGTTTTTTTTTATTGTTCTTTCTCCTTTCTTTATATTTTCATATTTTGATTCAATATATTATCATTGATTTATTAGTGTTGCTATTGGTATGTGATTTAATTAGATAATAATAAGTCAATAATTTCTTATTCATGTTAAACTTTTTCCAAATAAAATTAAAACCAAATTAACAAGCAAAAAAAAAAGATAAATACAATCAATCAAAGTAAATAAGCTAAAATTAAAATTAATAAAACTGATTCAGAATACAAAACTGAAGTTTTCAAACAATAGCCAAAATGGTTGCTTTCTTTAAAAAAAACAATAAATTTTAATTTGGTTAAATAGTAATTCCAGCACACACTATCCAATAAAACAGCTATCAAAATATGAAAAATACTTTTTAATCAAACTCTCTGCTACTCTAATGGTCACTTCAGTAAAATACAATACTATCATTTTATCACTCTATTATTTTTTCATTTCATCATTCTATTATGCTACCATTTTATTAAATTCAAAGCAAATGCATCATCCTCATGACAGTGTGATCACACTTCTCCCTTATGATCCTGTGTAAATTTACCAATCCATGCCCATAACTCATACCCATATATCACTGCCCAACGAGTAATAAACCATGTTACTTATATAACTGCCAAGACCAGTAATGCACATGCATGCCACCTGTCTACAAAATAGAGTTTTCAGGTTATTTGTGCATACATGCATAAACAGTTATTGAATTGTGTGCACAACATCACAGAACACTGCGTGGAACTACGCCTCTATTATCTGTTTCAGATTCTCATTCCACGGCAGGGTAAGCGTTCCTAGCATTGCTATTTGCTATTTTTGTGCTCGAGATTTGGCAAATCAATATGGCCAATCAATACGACCCAACTCTATGGAGGAAAAAAAATATTCAATTTATTCCTCCAAGCACATCACTTGTTTCTGCTTATTTTTGTTTCCCCAGAGTCTTGTTTTGCTTCTTTGTATTGTTCTAATGTGTTCTCACTTGTAGTATTTGGTTTATTTTGACTTATCTTGGTTTATAACCTTCAAATTATAAAAGTATTTATTACAACTGCTTTTCTGCTTTAAAATATTTTATTTCCCGAAATAATCCTCAATCCTCTAATTATTTAAATTATAATTCATTTATTGAAAAAAATTATTAAACAAGTAAAAAAAATAGCTAAATGTTAATCAATCTGATTAAAATTTACCATTCTGAATCTCAGTTTTTTAAATTATATAAAATAAAAAAATAAAGAAAAAACTTATAAAACTATTAACCTAATTACTAATTGAATTGTATTTTATTTTATTTTCATGTTATTTCATCTAAGTTTCCAACTAAATCTACAAATCTGCAAATCTGCAAATCTGTAAATCTAAAAATTTATAATCTTATAAACTTATTTCAGAGTCAATCGATCTAGCCATGTTACCTCGTTTCTCATTTATCTGCTAATAATTCATGATCAGTTCAATTGTAATTGACTATCAACCATCCAATTAATTCTTATGATTTTTATGATTTTTACAATCTAATTCCAACCATTCTAATTGTCCTTATTATTTCTTTATATTTCTTGTTTTTTTTCATTGTCTGCTTTTTGGTTTCGTTTTTTAATAATTAATTAAAACAAGGAAACATAATTCAATTTTCCCAACTTAAATAAAGAATCAATAATTAACAGATCAGAAAATTCGTAATATACTCCTCCATAATTAATAAAATATTAATTTTTTATTTTGTTGTTTTATCTTTTTATTTAGTTCTCCTTTATTTAAATAATTTTTTTATTTTTAACTCTTACTCGATTCCTTCATCTCAATTTTGAGGTAATTCAATGATTACTCATCATTCAATCATTTAATCCTTTAATCATTTAATCCTTTAATCACTAATCTGTTTATTATTTATTATTTAAATAATTAAATTCATTTGCAAAAATTACATTTACTATAAAGCCTTTATACAATTATTTGAAGAAATTTTTACAATTATTCAACTTTTTCTACAAAAATTATGTATAGCTCCCATTTAATTACTATTTGAAATATATCAGAAATTATTAATTTCACTAAAATTTTATTAAGATATCATTAAGATTTAATATATTTATTATAATTAAGACAATTAAAGCAATTTGAATTTAAAACCCATTAAATTTCAATAAATTAAGACAGTTTTAACATTAAAAATATTTAAAAAAACATATAAAAAATATAAAAAACATATAAAACATAAAAAAACATAAAAAATATTAAAAAAATTAAAAAAGACTCGGTTTATTTATAATGTCGCTTTTACTAAATTCATTAATTTAATATTCAAAACAAAAGAAAAACAAATCTGCCTCAATTTATTTGCTATTCTCTTTAATTTTACTCAATTCTAATCAATCTTTTGGCTTAATCTCAATTACATTAAATTCAATTTTATACAATTTTTCTTGTTTTTCAACATAATTGTGTTTCTTATATTTCTCCTCTTTATATTATATTTAGGCCGTTTACGAATTTAATAACTTTACATAATAAAAGATAACTATTTATTTGATTTGAAACAAAATACAAAGTAGTCTTTGCTACCAATAAGTTATAATAAGTAATAATAATATAAAATAAAACAGAGTAATAATAAATTAACATAAGATAAAATAACCTGAATAAAATAAATTTTAAATTCTTTTATTTCCTTTTTTTGTAAAAGAAACTAAACAAAAAAAAACAATAAATTACTATGCCTCACTAATATTAATTTAATAGAAATAAAAAAAAACCCACCAAATAAACTCAATTATCAATAAAATATAAAACGATTTGAAATAAGGTAAAATAAACATCATAAAAAATATAATAAAGTAAGTTAGTTAAGTTATAAAATAAGTAGAACAAAAAAAAACTAGATCATAGCCATTTGAAAAATAATGATAAAAAAACAACTGAAAATTAAAAATAAAATTAAAAATTAAAATCGAAAAATAAAATTGAAATTGAAAATCAAATTGAGGATGAAAAGAAAATTAAATTTTGCAAATTTAAATAAATAAATGAGGATTTGTATTAATTTAATTATCTCATTAAACCAGCAGTTTGATCATTAGATAAATCAAAACAATACTTTCCTAGAACTCTTTGTAAAGCTTCTTCAAGCAATTCCCATTTATAAATTTTTAGATCCTTTTCAATGTTTCTTGGTTTTGGTGAATTAAAAGACATAATTAATTTGAAAAATTTATCCAATTCATATGGATTTAAATTATTTTTGTTAAAATTTCTTTTTGAACCACTATTAATGTCATTTTTACCATCAATTAACTTCGGTTTACCGATTGTTAAACTCTCTAAAGTTTGTAGATTTCTTCTTATTCTATTTTTTTCTTTCATATCAAATGAATTTATGCCACTCAATCTTTCTAATAAGTAAATAATATCAACAGATGTAACATAGTATTCTTTTTTGAAATCCCAATATATACAAGAAATTATTGGAGAACCTTGTTCATATCTGGGAAATTCATTGATTTCAATTGGCTTAAAAGAAACGTTTAAATCTGTTTGAGATGCATACCAATCAAAAAGAACTAATCTTCTACAAGTTATTTTTTCGAAATCAGACCAATTTTGAGTGATGTCACTTAGGGGTTTTCTGATTCTTAAAACCACTGAAGGATAAATTGGATATAATAAACTTGGACTGGAATAATTTAATTTTCGATTAAGTTGATCATTTTTTTCATTATTAATTAAACCAGTTCTAATTAAACTTGGCTTAAAATTTGGTTTAAAAAACCCATCCTGACCATTGTATTGATAGTTATAATTGTAATTTGATTCGTTATCATTTGATATGGGAGGAAGATTATTGTTTGTATTAGCATTTGAATATAAGATTGGATTTGAAGTCGAGATTACATTTTGAATTCGACTTAAGCTGTTTGGATAATATGCTTGATTCGTCGTTGCAGCTGGATGACAATTGGAGTTGTAAGTATTAAAATTAATTGGATTTGGAATTGTAGAAGTTGCAGCGACCAAATTTGGACCCAAATTTGATGAATATGGCTGAGAAACTATATTGCAGCTATAAGAATTTCCATTAGATTTAAAATTGTTTGAAGAATATTGATTTGTTCCAGCAATATTGTTCCAAGAAGATTGTTGCTGCTGTTGTTGTTGTTGCTGTTGTTGAGGGTTGTAAGATAGATTTGATGTTGAAGGTAATCTGTTTAACACGTTAGTTGGATCAGAAGACGAGCGACCAGATATCGAGGATGAGGATGGTTTAGAGTCCAAAGAAGCAACTGAGGAAATGGAAGCAGATGAATGAGTAGGTGGTAAAGATGAATTCAATTGAGAGTAATTTGGCAACGTTTTTAGATTAAAAGTTGAGGATCTCGATCTAGTTAAGGGGGTGTTGATGATGTTATTGTTGTTATTATTAGATAAAGGGATAGTGTTATGTTGAAGTAAATTATTGTCATTGGGTGAAACATTTTTTCTCATATCAGTATTCATATTCATACTCATACCCATATTCATGTTCATGTTCATGCCCATATTCATGTTCATGTTCATGTTGTTCATTTGGTAGCGTAGATTAGGGTTTGAAGTATCAACAGAGTTTGAATAGGAAACTTGTGAATAATTTGATGATAAAAGACCATTGTTTTGATATCCAGCCATAGGAATGGGAATGTTTATATTTGAGAGAATTTAGAGGGATAGAAAAGTGAGTAACAATTTGAAAGAAAAATTGAAAAATAAATTGAATTGGACAATGTGATTAATAAGAGTACGATAATGTAGAAAAAGTGATTATATGTAAATGTAATTTGTAATTGTAGGTTGATGATGTGTGATGTGATGTGGTTTGTGATTTTAAGAAATAAATTGAGGATTGGAGGTTATAATTATAATTATAAATAAAATTGGAATTTGAATTGGAAAATGAAATATATATGTAAGTGAAGATTGATTCAAAAAGACAATTTTAAAAAATGAAAGAAATTGGGCCTTTTTATATATCTGGGACTAATAAGGTTACTAGCTGTAAGCTAGAAGAATTTAGGAATAATAAACCAACTAAAATCCTTTAATCAGACTCAAGTAGTTCAGTGATTCATCAAACGATTTAAAAATTGTTAATCTTAATTTCTAATGTTTGGAAACAGAAATATAGAAATAACACATTAAAATTGACTTTGACTTTGATCTTTGAATTTTAGTTTCTATTTCTAAATTATTATAGTTTAATATAATTTAATATCATTTAATATCATTTAATATAATATAATTCAATATAATATAATTATTAGAATTTTAATTTAATCTAATTAACTGAAATCCAAATATTTTTAAATAATAAAAAAATTTCAAACAGTTGAACAAATTTAAATTACCCAAATTACCCAAGAGAGTTTTGTGTATAAATTTTTAATTTTTCCTTTTTCCTTTTCATTTTCCTTTTCCTTTTACCTTAAATCCAAGTTGAATCCAATTTATTTTCAAGTTTTGATTTCTTTGTTCAGAATGTTAAATTTTGGCAAAGGATTGAAGTTGTTCAAAAAGAAAATGTTTAATAAAAAGCAGAAAGATCTTCAATCTGCCTACTATTTTTTCGCTGTTTAGCAGGGAAATCTGTCTTTGCTCAACATTAGCTTTGAAATGAAGCCCAACAGATTCAAAAACAACCTTAGGTGAGCTAACTGATGGAAAAAGTACTCAATTAGCAATTCCCTAAAGCCATGTTCCAGTTTCTCCCAGCTTCTTCCAGTCTCTTCCAGTCTCTCTCATATTCCTTCACTCTCATTCCAATGTCTGGTCAAAAAGACTACATCTGTGGGCCTTTTTGCTCCAGACCAAGACATTTTCGCCCGCTGTGTCAGGAGCCCGTTGCAGCCCCCGGCGTTGCGGGAGCTCCAACGCCGCAGTCAGATGACAAAACTGCAGACTGCGGTTGTGCTGCAGAAGCTGTGCGTCTGAGAGAGCTTTTGAGCAGACAGCATGAATGTGTCAGCGGACAACGCACTTTTGCAAACGGTACCTTTGCAGCGATCTGATGAAGACATAAAGAAGCGCTGGAAAACAAGAACAGATGCCTGAGCCAGCTGTCATTTATAGACACATTGGGAAATTTGGGCTTTTTGGGAAATTTGAGCTGTTTGTGCAGTTTGTGCAGTTTGCATTGCCTGGTTTGAGATGTTGTGTGGACTGGTTGTTAATTGCACAGCAAAACTTCATTTTCGTTCACCTTGGTGCTGTTGAAATCTATCCTTTTATCTGTGTTTTTAAGCTTTCTTTTAACATTTAAGATTCTCTCCAACAATTAGCACAGTAGGAGTTAAAATCTGCCTTAGAATACAGGTTTGCTTTTTCATCTAACTTTCCCATTACAAACCTCTAACTTTTATAATCACTGTGATATTATGAATATTTCTTCAAGATTCGGAAGGTTTTAAAAAGACTTATTTGGAATTTTAATTTTTTCTTTAAAAAATCCAGTCTTTTTCCAATAAAATTCGCAAAAAAGGTTTTTAAAATAGGTTTTTAAAATGCATTATTAGTCGTCTTTTTTATGAATATTCTATTGTTTTTACTTATTGTTTTTTCATTTATTATCATGTTTAATATTCATTCTTGCCACTTTATCATCATTGTAAACTATTTTGGCTCTCTTAGCTACAACTTAATTTACAATAGCAATTTGTTTACTAAATTATTGAAATTAATAATTCGTATCAAACAAAATATTTGAAATAATATTATAGCAATAATTAAATGAATAATCTTCTTGTTTTGTGCACGATCATCTCAATTGACTGATATATGTTATATACATTATATAATCTGTAAATAATTTATTTTGCCTTGATATAAAGTTATTTTATATATTTTATTCAACACTTTTTTTTTTGACTGAATTTTTCTCTTGATAAATATTTTAATCGGATTGCAATCATATAACTATCCATGAAAAACAATTTTCACCTCAGGTATATAGCCGAACCATCATATCCAAAGTTATTAAAGGAATATTTAATTAAATCACTCTACCCAATCATTATTAACTTATCAATTTATCAATTTTATTTCTTAATTCTTCTAAAACTAAAAGGAATTAAAAGGAATTAACAAAAATTAGATTTTTTGTTCCTTCATAAAACATGCACAGTCTGTATATTTATTATCAAATCAAATCAAATCAAATTTAACTAAAATTAAATCAGAGCAAATCAAAGAAAATCAATAAATACAATTATAATTTATAATTTTGCTTCAAAAATGTTATTTGATCGTCTTAAAGACACCCAGTTAAATTGAAAATCTTATAGATCATTTGTTTCCAATTATTTAATACTAAAATACATCATGATTCACTTTCAAGTCATAATTTTGATTAAATACATGTAATTGTGGTAAATATTGAAATTGTAATAAATCTTGTAACTAACCGATTCTTTTTAGGAAAAATAAAAAGAAATTTAACATAATTTAAAATAATGTAACAAGATAAAAAAACTTTCAAAGCATTTAATTTTTCTGTTTGAATTCAATTTATTTCTCAATCGACAATTATCGTTTTTAGACAAGAAAATTTCCTTGTCTTTATCTCCTTTGTTTTTTTCTTTGTTTTTTTTTGATAAATTTTTTTTATATTGCTATTCATAATTGTTAAACTTCAAATTTAGTGATATTATAAAAATTTAAATTAATGCATGAAACAGAAAAATTATTCAATTAATTTGCGTAGATAAAATTTTCAAAGTTATAGATCATATTTTGACAGTATTATCTTTATCTTAATCGAACAAAATAAAAGTTCAAATTGTATTGATAAAAACCAAAACACCAAAACACCAAAAAAAAAAAAAAAACCACACCAAAATAAAAGATTCCTATTCAAAATATTGAAGTTAATTGCCTGGTTTGTTTTTCTATCTTTTCTTGTTATCTTTTCACTTAACTATAGAATAATAAATAATGTTATCAAATTTATTGGGTTATTTAGAATCCAAAATTCTAATTGCAAAACTAACAACTCTAAGCAATTGTTACATTTCCTTGTTCATTCTCCTTTTCAATTATTTTCAATGATATTTATTATCTTTGTCTTGTTTGGTTGAATGGTTTCTTTTAATTAAAATCTATGATTTTCAAAATTTGCTTGAATTTTAATAAATCTAATTTCTCAATTACAGATTGACCATTAACAATAAATCATTCCTCTAATAAAAAATTGAATATTTATGTGTTTTTATTTTGTTTTAATCAAAACTTTAAATCTTCAAACAAAAAATCTTGAGAAGTTTTTTTCAACAAAAAACAGAAAAAATGAATATCAAATTACAAAATTAAAAGATAATTAGTTAGCTTAAATGTTATTGGTTTATTTAGAACTATTCTAATAAGATTACAAGATTAAAAGAGTTGGAAAAGTACAAAAATATAAAATAAAGATTAAATTCAATTACTGCCAATTATTAATATAACAATTGGTGTTTGTTTCAAAAATTGGAGAATAATCTTTGGATGATTGTTGGCTAGAATATTAAATGCCAAATTTAGTAACATTGAGTTATGAATAAGTGGGACATTTAGTCTCGATCGTTAGATCTAAGCGTAAGGTTATGTGGTAACAAAAACATTTATGCGTAAATAAGTTATGCAACTTACCGCAATAACGTTAATTTAACGTTGTCAACATCACAGAAGAATACATGCATGTGCCTCAGCCTTAACTCACAAACAATATCCGACAATACGTTAATGGACATAAATAAGCATAACAAAAGTGATTGTAGGTGAAAATTATAGTGTGTTGAAAACTACAGAAAATTACAAAAAAACTACAAATTATATACTGTAAGCAAAGATAAAAACATGAGCACGTCAAAAATATTCTGTAATAACATTAAGAATGCAATATATAAACAAACCTGAATTATCAAAGATTGTAACTCATAAATTCTTTTCAAGGGTCACAAAATTGATTATGAGAGATATCAACAAAAGAGTGGTTACTTGTTGGTTTTTGATTTCCTCTAATTTTTTGTTAATTGGCCTGAGAGACTGGTATAGTTTACTGTTTAAAATTGGAAGAGCCGATAAAATCAGTTTTGATTCAACTGTAAGTAGAAGTACAGAATCATGAAGCAAGAGAAAAAAACAACAGCAAAAAAAATTCAAACTGAATTGATGATAACAAAGGAATTGAAAAATAAAATCATAAAACAAATATCTGAAATCTCCAATATTCAATATTCAAAAAAGATAATGATAGTGTTATGAATATTTTAAAATAAAATAGAATATAATATGATATAATATGATATAATATAATAAAATATAATAAAATAATCACTTTTTATTCTAATAATCAAATTTGAAAATAAGAAAATAAATAAATGATTAGATGATTTTCAATACATCGTCTATTCGTCACAAATAACCTCATAGAATTCTTGGAAAATCTAATATATTATAAAACAAGGGGATAAATAGTGAAACTGCCTAAACATTTTCTCTCTATGTTAAGATAGGATTCTTTGAAAGAGCCCATAGGTATAATTAAATGATAAAAAAGAAATAATTTTTATTGATAAATTGATTTGAAAATAATTTAGATCAAATTTAATGTTTCTTTTTCTGTTGTTTTTTTGTGTTTTTTTTATAAATTTTCATAAATGAATATTCAAATTTTTTTGAATTTAAGGATTTAAGATTAGACTTATTTATTAATTGTTAACTGGGAAATCGAGAGTGAGAAAGTGTGAGAAAATATGAGAATTATGAAGTATTAATTATCAATTTTGTTTTTTTAACTAAATTTTTAATATTTTTTAAAATTCCCAAAAGAAGAGAAACAAAAAAAAATAAAGTAAAAAATAATTATTAGACAAAAGAAAACAAGAGGAAGAGAAAAAATATAAGAAAAATGCATGATCTATCTCGTTAGCCATTTTTTTTCAACTTTTTGTTTTCTTTTGTTTATTTTAAATTTATTTTTCAATCTAGTATAATTAATATTATAATTAATATTATAATTTGTAAGAAGATAAAACAAAGTGAAACCCAACAACCGAAAATCATCAAAAATCTCAAACAAAATTTTAAAAAAAACCTATTAAATTGAGAAACTTTTTTTAAAAACTTTTAGAAAATTATGAAAAATTTAAAAAATTCTATGAAACTCTATAATTACCTGATCACTATTTTAGTAATATTATCAAAAGTTGTCAGAAACTGATTTTAACATTTTTTGACTTGATACCAGTAATATTAATACAAATTGAAGATTTTGAAAGAGTATTTTCTTTAATGGTTAATTGAAAAAAAATTAGGTTTTATATCTGGCACCAATAGCATTGGTTTTCTTTTGTTCAGTTAGAGACTTATCAAAAGCAAGAGATACTAGTGCAAGGACATTGAAATGACAAGTTCATTAAAAGTTGAGAGAGATAACAGATGATTACTGAGCAAGCATATGGCAGAGGACTGCTTTCAGATCATAAGATGATACCTGTGAACTCCTAACTCAGTGGACTCATAAATTCACGAGTTCCTAAGAAATGAATATTAAACAGTCGCAAGATTATTATTATTAGTAGTATTAAAATTATATCAATGATTATATCAATAATTATTATTATTCAAATCAAACATGGTGAAACTCGTAATCATAAATATGAAGCAGTAGAAGCAAAACCCAAAAAGAAAACCAAAGTGGTTACTGTATCATTTTCGTAAGCTTAGCACATATTCACTAACCAATTCTACTGCGCAGCAGAGCCAACCAAAGCAGCACCATCGACCGAAATACCTCTCATCAAAACCAGCTCGACACCATGCTTCCTCAGATCCATCTCGTCCCTCAAACCATTCCTGAAAAATCAGCATCGAACCAGCGCGGCGGAAGAACCACCGCTGTGGATGCATCGCTCAAAGGGGCAAAAACAGCCCAGAAACGTTGTATCTAAGCCATGTACTGCTTTTGCGGGGAAGCGTGCGCCATATATCGGCATCGATTAACACGTGTCTTTATGTATATTCTGTTCCTGCAGGGTGAGCATCCTGCACCCAGCCAACCGGAAAAAAGAAAAAAAAAACTGTTCCAGAACACTTCGATGCTGGATGAGAGCTCAATGGGCATTGTTCAGTATTGTTGAACTGTTGGCCATTGTTCTTCGAGCTGCTGTTGATTTGATGCCCATGCAATCTGTTTAGCTGCCTTGGTCTCTTCTTGGGTTATTGTACTCGAGCATTGCATTTGTGTTTCACCAGAGCAAATCCACATATATTCAATACTGCCTGTGTTGCGACGTCTGCTGCCTGGATATCGTGCCATGAGACTGCTGAGAGCTGTTACTAAGATGCTTCAAGTCCACATAAATAATCTCAAGTTCAAGTCGAACAAAATAAAGAAAAACAACATCTTATATCTCTCAACTTTGGTGCTAGTTTTTTTGGTTTACTCTTTGCTCAACTTGAATATCCTCCATTTGAATCTAGCTTACAGTTATAACTCTTCATTGAACAGCTTAATTGAAAAAAATGATCAAAACGAGTTTTTCAACCAAATTTTCAAACTATTTGCATTATCAAAGCCTGATTGTTTGAAGTTGTCTAAATATAAAAAATCTCCAAAGGAAATTGATCGATTAAGCTATGAAAAAACAGAAGGTCCAATATTATCTGAGTATTACCTATCAAAATTCTTACAACTATCCAAAAAACAATACAATGATTTGTTGCAATCTCATAACAACTTGGTAAACAACTTGCCTCATAAAAATTTACTCAAAAACAAAAATTTTTATAAGGGTAATGGAATTGTATTTGTCGGTGGCGATGACTTTAACTGGCTAAATTTATTATCCATCAAGTTTTTGAGAAACATGGGCTCAAACTTGCCAATTGAAATTTTTATTCCTAATTTAACTTACTCTCCAAATGATCTCTTCTTTTGTGAAAACATTTTACCACAATATAACGCCGAGTGTATCTTATTGTCTTCTTATCTAAATGAAAAAACTCTAAGCACTTTCTCCTTCAAGGGTTATCAATATAAATCCTTAGCATTATTATTTTCATCTTTTGAAAATGTTTTGCTATTAGATTCTGATAATTTGCCTGTTAAAAACCCGGACTATATATTTAAAAATTCAATCTTTAAAGAAAAGGGATTATTCATTTGGCCAGATTATTGGAAAAGAACCACAAGCCCTTTTTTTTATAAAATTGCCAATTTAAAAATATTAAATAAAAGAGTTCGATTTGGTTACAATAATATAGAAAAAATCAAAGTTCAAATTGATTCTGATTCTGAATCTGAATCTGAATCTGAAAATAAATCTAATTCCGACTTTGATTTTGATTTTGATTTAAATCTAGAGAAAAATTTCGATCAAGATTTAAACTCAAATATAATCAATAGCAACACTGTCCCATTTCATGATAGAGAAGGCTCAATCCCAAATCCAACCTCTGAGTCTGGTCAAATCTTAATCAATAAATCATCTCATTTTAATACAATCTTATTGTCTTTATATTATAATATTTTTGGTCCAGAATATTACTATCCTTTATTATCTCAAGGTACAAGTGGTCAAGGAGACAAGGAAACATTTTTATGTGCCAACATTGTTTTGGGTAATAGTTATTTTCAAATTAAAGAAAAAGCTGGCGCTATTGGTCAATGGATTAAAGATTCTGGTGAAGAAAAATTGAATTTTTTTGGTCATGGAATAGCTCAAAATGATCCAATCGAAGAGTACTTGTATGAACATGGTGATAGAATAGATAAAGCTAATGTAATGTTTATTCATGCCAATTACCCTAAAATGAATCCCTTTAAATTAGTTAAAGAAAAATTATTAAAATATCATGATGGTAAAAACTATCAACGATTTTATGGCCATATTCAGATATCAAATAATTCAATTGATTTTGAACTTCAACTCTGGTCTGTAATAAAATCTTTATTAAATGATTATAAATATGATTTGCATAAATTATTTGAAGATTTTGATGGAAAAAATATAAAACTTAGAGATGAAGTATTAAAACAGGTTGATGAATTTTATAATTACCTAGAAAAGACTTCAAAACTAAAAAATATATTATAACATTTTTATTACAATCCAATTACATTTTTATTTTTTTTTTACTAATTTCATAAAAAAAAATTAGAATTCTTGTCCTCATATTCATTTTTTTTTCATCTATTAACTCATTCACTTTATCATTTCACATCTTTTTGTTTCTTTTATTCATTTTATGTGATATACATAAATCTGTATTCATATTTCCAGTTCATCATTCCTCTATTATTCCTTACTTTACTTCTCATTTCCTTTTGGTTGTTTCACAATGATTTTTTTATTTCCAATAATTTTTTTTTATTTACTCTCGTTTCCTTTTCAATTTTCCCCTTTTTATTTTGTTTTAAATTGGTCAATTTCAAGTTTTGTCAACTTTCTTATTACTCGTCTAATTAGTCATCACTTATAGATCTCACTACACTACTCTAAATAAACAAGAAAAACTTCCTCACCCAAAATTAGGTCTCGTTTGTTTTTAAGTTCTGATAGAACCACAACAAGATCAGTTTCCTTTTGATATGCTGTTACAACAAAAGGATTCTGCTCTTTCTTTGAAGATCCTGTTTTGTGGTGCCAGATTTCAAAAAAATCCGACTTTTGTGTCCCTTCCGCTCAAGCAGCAAAAGCAGCAAAAGCAGCAGAAGCACCAGGAGGCGACACAAAAACAACATTTCAGCTTTATTTTGACAGCTGATTTTGCATCCATCAAGCTCGTCTTCCCAGCTTATTTATAGAGCTCCAAATCCCCCTTCCCTCTCTTTTCTTCTTTCCTTCTTTTCTATCTTTCTTTTCTTCACCAGTAAACACTACTTTTTACCAACATCACAGTCAACTACAAAACATCATCAAGTCAATCCTCTTTTCATTAGTAATCTTTCTATAATCATTCAATCACCCTTCTTATTTCAACTTCATTACTTCACTACTTATCTCAAAATGCCTCTTCGTCAAGTTTTCGCTACCAAGCCAGTTGAATCAACTCCAGTTACAGAACCAGAAAAAACAACTCCTGAACCTGTCGCTGATGATGCTTCAGAAATTCCTGCTGATCCTGCTGCTCCAACTGAACTTGAAAGAAGCGCCACAATGGTTTATGCTGAAAAATACAGATTGGTTGGTCCTGTAATAAAAGCTGCTAATCCTTATTTCAATCCTCCATTTCAATTTGTCAAAACACATACTGGTACTGTTGGTAAAAGATTAATAGATTCTGTTGATAGCTTTGGTGTTACAGCGTTAAAATCATTAGAAACTCATATTCCCTTTGGCTCAAAACCAAAGACAGAGCCTGAAACTGAAATTCCTGTTGTTGATGAGACTGAACCTGCTGTTGATTCCCAAACAGTTAATAAAAATTAATTATATTCAATTAAAATAATGCGTTTTTGATATTATATTCCGTCTTTTTTTCTCTGATTTTCTTTGCCTTTAATTTTTTTTTATTTTTGATTTGTTTCAGTACTTCTCTTTCTTCTTTTGTCCATCTATTGTCAAAGGTATTGTGTTGTTTTCTATTATCGATCATAAATGTGATGAGTATACTATGATGTTCATAAAGTAATATGGATTTAGGAATGGTGAATAAGTATTATTATAAAAAATTGCTGATTTTAGTGGTGCCTTGTTTTTTCTCTCTTTTTTTCAAGTATATGCTTTCATATGATAGACTGGTTGGAATAATTATTCATGCTTCATGTTAATGGTTTTCTATAATTCTCCCAATAAATTTTTATTGAATTTGTTTGGTTTCTTTTACTTTATTCCTTGTCTTTTTTTTCTTCTCGATTTTTTTTCTTTCTCTTTTATTAACGTATGTATGTGTATATGATTAATCATTAGTGATTTCAAATAATATTAAAAATAAACTGGAATTTCTATTATTAAACACAAAGAAATCAAACTTCATATTCAAATAGCACTAAATAAAAAAAAACTCTAGCCAACAAAATGTTAAAAACAAAATTTAAATAAAACAATCACAGTATCTTGATTAATAACAAAAAACAACAAATTTTTAAAAAAAAATTAAAAAAAAAACTTTTAAAATACACCCATTAATATAATTTTAATTTATTTTAATCTTCAATACTGCTCTCCCCGTCGAATTCGTCTCCAGTTTCACCTTCACTTTCTGAATCTCCAGCATAATTTACGATTTTTCTAGCACGACTACTTCTTCTAACTGGTGTGTTAATTGCCATTTTTTTATCTTTTTTAGCTGAAGGTGTCTTTTCAATCGATTTTCTTTTTCTTCCTCTCTTAGCTGGAGTAGTTGGAGGAATTTTGACATGTTTTTTAATCCCAGTCTCTTTTTTTTCTATTGATATCTTCTTACTTGTAATTTTTATCTTATTTTTTAACTTATTGTTTCCATTTAAATTTAAATTTAAATTTAAATTCAAATTTCCATTTTTTCTCTTCCTGCTACTTGAAATTTTTGAAACCTCAGTTTCAACTTGACTTTGTAGTCGTTTTAAGATACTTTCTTTTATAAAAACAGTAGATGCAACTTTTTGTGCTTCTTTAGTTGATTGCATTGGAGAGAATAAATCTGCAAATAATTGAATTTTTCCTGGCCATGTTTGTAATATCCAATTTTTTTGTTTAGCAAGCGCCTTTATCAGCATACATGCTAGCTCAGACACTCTATATATACTATAGATTGAATCCGGTGGATTATCTAATTCATAAAGCTCTCCAGCAACTAATGCATCTCTATACTGTTTTATTCGATTGGAAAAATAATATAATAATGATATGTTTTCTTGTGTAGCAATGCAATCCAAATAAAATGATATATAAACCATCGCAAAACTATAAGCAAAAAATAACTTATTATCTTCAGCTTTTTGTTTTTCGTTCTCGAAATTTTCATGGTTATTATCTTCTTTTTCTTTTTCTTCAATATTCTCTTTTCCATTTTCTTCAATATTTTCTTTTCCATTTTCTTTTGCAAAGTCTTTCATTTCTTCGTCTTTCATTTCTTCATCATTGGATTCCTTCTTTATTGTGTTCAGTGTGGCTTTCTTGACTAAATCAATAAACTCATGATGATGAGTTATTAAATGTAACAATCTCACAAAACTTCTTTCAAATGTGATGTCTTTGCTTCCTTCTTTAATTTGCAATTTTCTATTAAAAGATGACTTAATCCATGTCCGGACATCAAGTTTAAATTGATCATTTGGTTCATGAGCAATAAAAAAAATTAATGGTATAAACCTTTCTGAAATTACTTGATTGTTTAAGTATTTTTTCAATTTGGTCACAAACTCTTTCCTTACATTGATATTCTCATCTTGTATAAGAAATATTAATGTGCTAATAGTTGAAGGCCTAATCATTTTACTATAAACTGGCAATTTAGCCAATTTTAAAAACATTAAGCCAGTGTTTAATCTCAATATTGCCTGAAAATGTTTTGGAGTAGGCCAATTTGCAGATTTCTTGGAAACAATTTCTCCACCATTACTAATTAACGAAACAAACAATTTCAAAACCATCACTGCCAATTCTTCAGCATTGGGCTCGCTCTCCAAAGATTTAAGTCTATTAACAAAAACTTTAAGCGCAAAAACTTTGGCATAACACTCATCATAAACTTTATTTTCTAGCTCACCATTCCTAATCCAATCAGGATCATTTTCATCATCTGCAGAAACACGATTCTCTAAAAGAACTTCTTTGATTAAATAAGATGTTATTTCAGCTGCCTCAGGCTCTACTAATGACTTTTGATATAAAAATAACTCGGCAATTGTAGATAAAGATGTCACAAAGTTAGAGCTTTTATAGTTCAATGGATATAATTCTTTAAAAATAGAACTTGATAAGCTTTCATTTTGCTTAGAAAGACAAATTATTTTAATAGCATATTTGGCTTCCAATGGACTTCCATTGATTGAAAAATCTTTTAGCGAATTAAAGTAATGTTCATCTGTAGGTAAATAACTAGGATATCTTTTGAAAAAAAGAAATGAAGCTTTTAATGATTTGATATTTATATCATATGGTTTATCAACCTCCATTTCATCTTCAGAAATTTTTCCACTATTATTTGATTTAGAAGGAGATGAATCGATGATTAAATTATTTAACTCATGAATATGATTTTGAAAAACGTTTGGAATAATATTAGAAATCTGTTCTATTATTTCATTAGCGATTCTGTTAAATGGACTTGTTTCATCTTTAGTGTAGCTCATTATAATTGAAATGTTGCTTTTGTTGAAAAAAATAACACTAGATCTGTACATAAACAATTTGAAATTTTTTATCATGTCTGTTGTTGAAACTGAAATTAATTCATTCTGACCACTACTAGGAAGGTTATTGATAGTTTTAGAATCAGTCAATCTATTAAATAGTTCTTTCAACGAATTTTTAATAGTTTCATAATCACTGTCAGATGAAACGCATAGTTTTATTAAATGAAATAGCCTCCTATTATTAAGCTTGACAAATCTATCCAAAACGTTATACGTGTTTAAATTTCCAGGCATTTGAACACATAGCCATTGTAATACCTTATTAATATTTTTCTCTAGAAGTTCTTTTTGTTTCTGATCTGATATAGTCCCCCCATTAAATTTCTCGCATAAATTTAACAAAGTGAGGAATGCTTCTGATAAACGTTTCTGTCGTTTGTTAAAAGCCTGAAATGATTTTAGAGCCCTATCATCTAAAGAATTTAAAATATATAAAAGTCTTTTTACACGGATTTCATTATTAGATTCAATTGGAAAGAAATGTTCAAATAATGTAATATCAACAGAATAATTAATTTCTTTGTCGTTAATATAAATTAAATTAAAAATGCTATTTGGAATCCATGAAACCAAATCTTTTAGAGGATTTTCCTTATCCTTTTGTTTTTCCTTTTCATCGGTGGTAGTACCATTTTTATTATTGAGATCTGAAGAATCGTCCTTTTTATTATCTTTTTGCTTGATAGTGCTAAAATTGTCAAGGTCTAAAGATATTAAATCATTAATGGCATAATTATACAAATTTCCCAATATTTTTATAGCTTCGTTTCTAATTTCCGAATGTTTTTCTCTTACCAATTGGCCTAATGTTTTCATTATTGTGATATTATTACTAAATCTGCTAATAAAAACGGAAGGCTGCAAATTTTCATTTAACATTTTGCAAGCAGATAATCTGACTTTTTCATCCGAATCAATTAAAGATTTAGAGATACCATTAGAGATATCTGCAATTAAATCAGTTCTAGAAACCAAAATTTTTGAACTTTCTTCAATCCATTTTATTCTAACTTGAGGAGATATATCCAAGGTTTTTTTAAGCCATTTTATCCAGGTTTCATGGTGTTTGACAACAAAATTGACCTTTGGGGACTGATGAACTATAATTTTCCCGATGGCTTCAGTTGCAAGAACTCTTTGTTTGACATCATCAGACAATAATTCATCATCGATTAAACCCATTACTGAAGATAATAAATCTGGCACGTATTTCCATATTTCAACGATTAATTTATGAACTTTTTCAAGATTTTTCATTGCAACTTTTGGATCTATATCATCATCTTCTTCTTCACTTTCATTATCAGAACTGTCATTGTTGATTTTTTTATGTTTATTTTTATTTTTATGTGTAGCATTATCTTTTATATCAACAGACTCATTTGCAATTAGACGGATATTTTCATTTAATATATCGGATATGAATTTATTTAATTGAGCTGATAATCTATCAGAATTGGTCTGGCATATTGCTACTGTATATGCAAAAGATGGCGATGAGATATTTAAAGAAGAAGTTATCAAATTTATATTCGATGGATTAGTTGTATTGGTTAGAAATTTATTCAATATTAATTTCAATACGGATAAGGGGATTGATTCAGCTTCTGCTATAACTTCACCAAGAATCATTGAGATAACCGGAATCAAGTTTTTTTGAACATTTTTAGTTGAAAGAACGTTATAAAATAAATCGAATAATTTTTCGATTAAAGATTCAGATTTAGGTAAATCAGTAATTAAAATAATACTTCTGACTTCAGCTAGTCGCTTTAGAAGATAGACCACTTGGTCGTAATATGGACCATCAGGATTACCTAAATTTTTGAAATTTTTTAAAAATAACTTAAATATATCAGTTAATTGATTTGCAGTAAAAGGAGCATCTGGTGCGTAGATTCGCAATAAATCGGCTATACATGAAGCAACGTATACTGAGACACCTTGATCATTATGTTTAAGCAATTTTTGATTAACCAAGTCCTTTTTAACTGCATCAAACGTGGATAAATCCACTTTTTCTTGATCAACGGAAGTCAATTCATTGAACAAATTGGTCAAACGATTCAAGAGAACTTTAGCAGAAATTGGGTCTTTAATGGTTGGTATAATACTCTCTTTGAATTTCAATTTCTGTAGAGAAGCAGATTTGGCCATTGCAAGATATTATAGCGTCAGATCAGAACAATAGCTGAACAAAACCAGATTGAATCTTGATGAGGGTTTCAAGAACAACCATCTAATTTTCAGTGGTTGTAAAAGTTATTGGATGAATCAGAAAAAGCACATCAAAATAAAACTGAAACGCGTTCAAGGAAACAATTTTCAATGTTGTTGTTTACGTAAGCAGACGAACTTTGTTTAATTTTTGAGTTTTCTAATGCATTCATTTTAAGGCAGAAAGCCGCAGATATATGCAGACACCATGTTCCAGCAGTGTGGGTTGCAAACAATAACCAAGATTAGCGAACCAAAGAAAACGACCATTAGCGAAAAGGGCGTTTGCGACGCGTTGTTCACGCATTGTTTGACGATTGGCTGGAGGCAAAAACGTTATCACAGCATCACTCAAAGAAGAAACAATAAGATGAGATGGGAGAAGATAAGCGAATAATCAGTATATAAGGAGTGTTTTTCTCGAGTTTCTTTAGTCTTCTTTATCACTCTTTATCAATTTTTACTAATTGGAAGAGTATTTTCAGCTGCCAGAACCATTTAATTCTTATTCATTATCACAATTGTTGGTAAAAATGATTTTATCAGGTTACTTGAACCATTTTCTATTTTCAGGGATTTTGTTCAAGCAAGAACTTAGTCCAGATTTTGAATTTCCTTTGTCGTTGACTCCTGAATGTGCTGATCCTCTGTTGTCTTGTTCGATGAGAGATGGCGGATTAAGTGAGATTGATCTGTGCTGTTTTGAATCGCCTGGTGGAGTTATAATGCAGACACAACTTTGGAACCCATATAAAGGACCAAAAGACTCTTTTACGATTCATGGGTTATGGCCAGACAAATGTGATGGATCGTGGGAGCAATTTTGTGATCGATCAACTCAAATACCATTTTCAAGAACTTTTGATTTGAGATCTGTTATCAGAGACCAATTTAATGAAACATTGTTATTAGATTATATGAATGAATATTGGAAGGATTTTTCAAGAGACGATAGCAATTTATGGAAACATGAGTTTAATAAGCATGGGACATGCGTGTCTACGATACAACCACCATGTTATCAAAAGAAAGATAATAGCAGTAAAGGGAGTAGTAGAGGTGTATTTGAAGAGAATGAAATAATTGAAAAGGAGTATTTAAGGTATCAAAATGCCATTGATTACTTTAAAGTGACAATAAATTTATTTAGAAAATTGCCTACGTATGAATGGTTAAAAGAGGATGGTATTATTCCATCGGGTGTTAAGACGTATACAAGAGATGAGATATCTCAATCATTGAATAAACATTTTGGATCGAATGTTTATTTTTCATGTCGTGGAAGAAAATTGAATGAAATCTGGTATTATTTTAATTCATATGGATCGATTTTACAACAAAATTTTACATCGATTGATACATTGACCAATTATGATAATAGATGTCCAGCAACAGGAATTATTTATCCTGTGAAATTTAATTATAACCAATAAATTTGTTATGATCAACTTCAGTTTTTATGCTATTTATTCATTTATTTACCAAAAGTTTCAAAGTTTCAAAGTTTCAAAATTTCGAAATTTAAATATTTTTAATTTCAATTCTAATTTTTATTTTAATTTCAGTTTTCTTGATGTTTTTGTTTTTTATGAGTGCTTGTCTTTGATTTTGATTTTAATTTAAATTTTGAGTCAATGAAATTGTTATCTAGATTGTTCAAGTATAGATTATTTGATTCATCATTATTCAATAATAGAATGTTTATATTTAAAAGCTTTGATAGCTTTTTTAAAATTTTTAGGATATCAATGTATAAATCCAATTCGATTTTAATGGATAAATTTAGATTGAAGTCAAACTCTTCATCATTATCACTATCGCTATCATTATCGTTATCATTATCACGATGGTTCTGATGATTGCTATCAATTGACTTGAGACTGTTGATTTCGTTTATATTTTTAATTAGATGAGTTATTGGCTCGATTATTATTAGTTTCAAGTTTGAACCTGAGTTTGAGTCATTAGATATCTGTTTGTACAAGAGTTTTAGCTTGTCGTAAAGACTGTACAAGTCATTTTCCTTGATTATGTTCAAATTGCTGAATATTTCTAGTAGCTGTTCGCTTTTGTCCTTGTCGTTTTTGAAGACAGTCAGCTTGGAGTAGCTGTCCCGGATCGTCGAGCCCAACTTGAAGAAGTCCAAGGAGCTGGTCAAGTCGAAGTAGACGACTCTGTTGCAACAGCGGTTCAGCAACAAGAGCTCGGAGATGAGCTTTGCGAGGTACTGGGATGGTGTTAGTGGTGCCTGGGGAGGGGGGCGGGAAGCACACTTACTCGGCGTGAGGAGGCGTCGCTGAAGAGCGAGAGAAAAAAGGCGTCGGTGCCAGGACTGCGGGCGTGAAGGAGTTCCATGCAGCAGGTGCAGCAGGTGAAGCAGAAGCAGCAGAAGCAGCAGCGCCACCAAGACGGCTCAGCAAGCGTGCCGGAAACGCGCCAGCACCGCGCCAGAGCTGGCACCTGACAGCCGGCGCGGGCCGCATGGCGTTCTTCCCGTCGTTCTTCTTCTTTGCTAGTTCTTCTCTGCTTCTCGGCGTCACTCTCCAGCTGCTGTTTCTTCCTGCCATTGCTGGTCTCTCTTCACCATGGATGTTCATGGTTCCTCTCTGCAAAAGATGCCTGCTGCCCATCGCGCCTTGCCTTCTTTTCCTGCTGCTTCTGCTGCTCAAAATGGCGACGCTGCTGCTCAAAATGACGATGCTTCCAACACCGGCGAAAACAATCCAGCCCGCGCTTATGAAAACAAGGAAAACACCTTGAACTTGCTTAGTTCGTCTTTGGTTCTGAACTCTTCTCCTTCGAATTCTGGAAAACCTACTTTGATCACCAAGATAGCTTATAAACCTTCCAAATTGAAGTCGCGAAGAAGGTCCACAAGACCAAGAACCACTCCGGTCTCCTACTTTCCAAACGATGCTGACGATTTTGAGGAAGAGCTTATAATCGATTCAGATTCAAATTTGCTGTCAAAGAGATCTGAGTTACACAAGGATTCTGCTTCTTATGCTTCCTATAAAGAAAACAACTATAACACAACTGCTAACGATAATACCACTGCTACTAGTAATAATGTTAATTACAATAATAATAATTACAATAATGATAATGATGATCATGATAACAATAATGATAATGATGATAATGATAATGTTAATGATAATGATAATGTTAATGTTAATATTAATGTTAATAATGATACTACTAATATTAATGATGATAACAATACTGATAATATCTCTACGAAAAACTCTGACTTTGCTGCTAATTCTGACTCATTATTTGTTAGAAACCCGGGAACAAATCAGCTCGAATTTGTTGAACCAAAACTTGCTCATTCTCTGCCTGGTGTGACCGGTTATTCCTTAAGCACTTTACCTCCTCCAAAGGTAAGAAAGGACGCTTTATGGCCTTCAACTTGGAAAAAACTGAAACTTTTAAACAAATTAAACAACTTCAATCAAAATCAAAATCAATTTGATTTTAAAAATTTTAAAAATCTTCAATTATCTCATCTTGAAAACGACTCAAAGGACTTAAAACACATTAATGGTTTAACTGGTTTAACTGGTTTAACTGATTTAGCTGATTTGATTGATTTAAAAAAATTGGGAAACTTGAGAAATTTAAAGGATTCAGAGTTAACTAATAACAATTTAAATATCTCAACTTCTTCTGCCGACACTAACAAAAGAAGAAAATTCACTAAAAAATCTACAAGAAAACCTGGTCCAGGTAGAGGTCACAAGAAATCAAATTTGAAAATCAAAGTCCCTTCCTCTCAAAAATTACCTCCAAATCTGAACAATAATTCGGTTTCTCCAATTTCTAATTTTGATATCAATATCAATATCAATAACAATAACAATAACAATAACAACAACGATCTATCTTCAAATTCAAATTCAAATTCAACCTCAACTTCCCCTACTCATTCATTTCATACCTCTTTTCTTAATCAAAAGGAAATCGACCTCTTGATTGAAAAAAAAAACGATAACGCGATCTTTCAAAAGGAAATTTCATTAAACAAGAATTTGAAAACTAAAAAATCCGAAAACATTACTTCTTCTTCTACTTTAAGAACTGGTCTAATAAAAGGCTTGAATCCTTCTTCAAAATCTGGTTTCGATCAATATAAAGACAAATTCGATTCAAATAAAAATAAAACCTATATTCTACAAAATTTTATTCAAAATGAGTATGAGAGGTTAAACGAATACCTCAACTTGAGCAATTTAAATAATCCTCTACAAAATCCCTTACACAATCTTAATTTAACTTCAACTTCAACTTCAACTTCAACTTCAAATCCAATCCTATCTGGCAGAAAAAATAGACTGTCAAGATCTACAACCCCAAATAGTCTTTCAAATAATATTACCACAAATTTATCAGCAAAAAGAATAAAAAAATTAAAAGTGTATGTTTTTCTCTTTTTTATCTATTTCCGGTTTTCAAATTAAATTACTAACATGGCTTTTTTAATCTAATAAAGTAAAAAAAATGAATTAAATCCATTCGGTTTTACACCTCCTGAACAGCTAATGGGAAATTTCAAGTTACAAAACAATGATAATGATATAACAAAGGTATGTCTTTTGAGACAGTTTAATTTCAATAAAATATTAAACAACTACTAATATCTTTTTCTTTTTTCTTTTTTCTTTTTCTTTTTCTTTTTCTTTTTCTTTTTTTTTAATATTAGAATAATGAGGATTTTTGTGCAGCTTGTGGAGAACCTGGAATCTTTGTATGTTGTGAATCGTGTCCAAAATCATTTCATTTTACTTGTTGTAATCCACCATTTGAAGAAGATAACATTCCTGATGGAAGCTGGTATTGTAAAGAATGTAAAGTGAATAAACTTCCAAGCAGTTTTTTCAACAAGTTATATGGGAATGAATATAAGAAGATGGGAATATTTAATAAGTTATTAAGACAAGTTGAAAGAGTTAATCCAAGATCTTTTTTATTACCAAAAAAGATCATTGATAGATTTCAAGGAGTCAGCAGTAATAAAATTGGGGAGTATCAAGATTTGAATACTAAAAAACCAACCAATTTCACTAAAAGAAATAAATACGAAGACCAAAACGATAATAAATTAGTCTTTGATAATAATGGAGAGCCGTATGTTTGTTATAGGTGTGGGAAATGTGGAATAGCAGATAAAACTATTATAATTTGCGATTATTGTGATGTAGTGTGGCATCTAGATTGTTTAGAACCTCCATTATCAATAGTTAAAACACTAGGTAAAAAATGGAGATGTCCCTTACATATTGAAGACTTGCTACCAAAAGAAAAAAGAAAGTTAAAGAAACCAAGATATGTTGAAGTTCTGACGAGAGGATTTAAAAATGATGGAAATATTGAAATAATAAATGAAACAGAAACAGAAGAGTATTTTGCAAATTTGGAGAAATTAAAACAAGCAGCGAGAGAAAAGACTTCAAAAAGTTTCCAGCTCGATTTATTCATGAGTGATGAAATTAATAGTGTCAATAATGTTGATGATGTTATAAATAGTATTAATATTAAAAAAGATAATAATAAAAGTGGTAATGGTGTGAACAATGAAAGTATAATAATTTCTGATAGAACAATGAGTGAAGGCACTTCTGGGAATGGAGGTGTTGTAAATAATAATGCAAAAGAAAAAATTGGTAAGATCAAAATTAGAAATGAAAAAAATGGAAATATTAATCACAGTAATGGATATAATGATAAGAGAAAGTATAATAATGGTAATAAAAGTAATAGGTATAATCATGATATTATTAATAGTGACAATAATGCTAATAATGATAGTTATAGTTCCAACAATATGGTGGACTTGCCTATACCACCATTTTTTGATTCAGTTGATAAAGGAAATGGAGTCTCGGCAAATATGGGAAAGGAGATGACAAAAATCGTTGAAAAGCCTGAAGACAACGTTTATGTGATGAGTGAAAATGGAGTAATTTTAGATTTTATTGGAACGGTGGAAGATAGGAGACGAAATGAGATAAATTCAATACATCAAAAAATCAATGCGATAAACTCCAAAAACGTCGAAATTTTGAACACATTGGTAGATAATTTTGAGAAACACAAAGATGGTAAAAGTGACGATATTGAAGCCATTCGAAATTTATTTGAATTGAAAATCAATGGAAACAAAAGAGATTATAAGAGAAACCTCCAGAACTTCAACAGACTAGTGCAAACAGCCTCAGATGAAATAACCAACAATGAGCCAGGCCCCTTTGTGAGGTCGCCCGAAGCATCACGAACCAACAAAAAGAGAGCCATCAGCGAGCTCTCTAGGCTAGACCGCCAGAAAAACGTTTCTGAGACCCAGAGCGATGCACCTGAGGAAGAAGCTGTTCTGAAGACAGTGAAGATGAGAAAGGTCCAGCACAGTCAGGAGGTGCAGTTGAATTTGAGCGAGAGCGAGATAAACGAGTTGATTAGCATCCATAGGCTCGTCGAGCTCAAGGGCAAGGACAAGTTGATGGAGTTCCTCAGGAGCTAAGTAGATACATAGAAGTAAACAACACAAGCACCACAAGCACCAAAAATATTGTCCACAAACATCATCCACAGCAGTCCCAAACAGGACTTCTCTTCCCACGTGATCATCACGCTCCCAACTGTGTTTGCTATAGAAGAAAATTTTTCTTTGAGGCCAAATCCTTTTCTTTCCCACCACCAACACCACCACCGACACTTGCCCACAACATGACTGCTGCTACTGAATCTGACTACACAATTGCCAACTCTGACGTTGTTGCGAAATATCGTGTTGCTGGAGACATTGCCACCAAGGTCCTTTCTGAAATCAAGAAACTCTGCTTGCCAGGAGCCAAAATCTACGAGATCTGTGTCCATGGCGATGAATTGATTGATGATGAAATTTCCAAAATCTACAATAGCAAAAAAAACAAAGTTGACTCGAAGAGCATTGCTTTTCCTGTGACAATTTCTCCTAACCATATAGCTGCTCACTTGACTCCAATTAGCTCAGAAGATCCTTCAAATTTAACTTTGAAGAAAAACGATTTGATTAAGATCCAACTTGGTGCCCAAGTAGACGGTTTTGCTTCAATTGTAGCTGACTCATATGTGGTTGGTTTAGACAAAAACGAAAAAATCACTGGCAGAAACGCTGATGTTATATCCGCTGCTTATTATGCTACTGAAGCTGCTTTAAGAACAATTAAAGAAGATAAAAAAAATTTTGATGTGACCTCAATTGTATCAAAAACTTCTAAATTCTTCAATTGTACTCCCTTAGAAGGCATGCTATCTCACAACCAACAACGTAATGTTTTAAACGGTCCAAAAGAAATCATCATTAACCCCAGTGAAAGTCAAAGATCTTCTGTTGTTCCAGCAAAATTTGAAGTTGGTGATGTTATCGGCTTAGATATATTGGTATCAACTAGCACTGATGGTAAAGTTAAACCAACAGATATCAGAACCACCATTTATAAATTAACTGGAACAAGTTACTCATTGAAATTAAGAGCTTCTCACCAAGTCTTGGGTGAAATGAAGAAAAAGGCCTCCAATTTCCCATTTGCTATTCGTAACTTATCCGATCCAATTAAAGGTAAAATGGGTTTGATAGAATGTACTAACCATAACGTTATGACTGCTTATGACATTATGACTGAAAAAGAAGGTGAAATAATTGCTCAATTCTACACCACTGTTGCTTTAACCAAAAATGGTCTAGTTAAATTAGCCTCATCTAACTTTGATATCTCAACTGTTCAATCTGAAAATAAAATCACTGATGATGAACTTTTAAAATTATTATCTACTCCTTTAAAAACCAATAAGAAGAAGAAATCAAAAGCTAAAAAAGCTTCTTCAGCTGCTGAAAAACCTGCCGCCACCTCAGTTCCTGCTACAAAAGCACCACCAGCACCAGCACCAGCACCAGCTACTAAAACTGCTAAATAAATCTGATAACTTATGATATATTTTATCAAAACCTATTTTTATATTTATTCAAAAATTTACTCAAGGGTTTTTTTTAGTTGACATAAAGTCCAAAAAATTTTTCTTCGTTTAATTTTTTTTTTTTAATTTTTTTTCTTTTTTAATTTTTTTTTTCTTTTTTAATTAGCGTATTTAATCTAATGTAATTAAATGAGTTTATTTTTTATCTTCATTAAGAGGATAAAAGATTTTTAGAAACAATTTCCAACAATTCTACGTTACTCTTTTCAAAGTTTTGAATTTTTTCCCTAGCTTCCACCCAATGTTCTCCACGGGAAATATCGTTTTCGTGTTTACGAAAATCTTGAAAAAATTTCTCGATTTCTTCCTTAGTTCCATGCTCTTTTAAAAGCAAATAAAGCCATACCCAACAATCGCCAATAGATCTATCTTCATTTATCGCTTTTAAAAACCATGATTTGGCCTTGTCGAGTTTGCCATCCATTAACATATATTCCCCAATTGATAATAAAATAATTGGGTCATTCTTAGTCTCTTTCATCGCTTTCAAAATTATATTTTTTCTTTGTGATTTTTTTTTGATAAACTTGATTTTTAATGACCAAATCTTGGCTGAATTTGGCAATACTTGGAGTGCCTTGGAAATTAATGAATCGATATTTGATCTGTCTTTAATATTGTTTCGAATTTCCAATTTGATTTTTTCACACCAAATATCTTCATTATCTTTATTTTCAATTAGTCCCCTGTCAAGCATTGATCTTGATCTTATTATGTTTTTATCCGCTTTTTCTATTACTTTTGAATATAATATCCAAATTAATGGAGAATTTGGACAATTTTCAATGCCTTGTTTGTATGCTTCTTTGCTTTTAAAGAATTCTTGTTTCTCCTCAAATATTTTACCTTTTTGAATATAAAATTCATCATGCTTGGGTAACAATTTGACTCCTTCTTCAATCAAATCTAATGCTTTATCACTATTACCCAATTGCCTTTCTAAAATAATGCTTTTACACCATATTTGAGAATTGTTTGTTAATCCCTTCCGAGCTTTTGATAATAAATCTAAAGCTTTGTCATAATATTTATTGGAGGATTCTAATTTAATTGCTGCAAGCCAAATTTCTTCATTTTGAGGTAATTTTATTATTGCATTTTCAAGAATTTCTCTAGATTTTTCAATTTCATTATTGATCCATTTTTCTTTAGCATATCTAAGCCAAAACTCAGAAACTTCAGGGTTATACTTGATTGAATCTTGATAAGTTTTATAAATATCACTATTGAATGAGTGGTTCTTTTCAAGAATCATTAATTCTTTCCATATTGAAACTTCTGTTGGATATAAATGTACGATATAAAGTAAAATTGATCTAGAAGTTTCGAAATTTGACGACGCTAAAGCAAAGTCAAAATCGTCTTTTAACAAGGCAATTATCTCATCATTGTTCTTATTATTATTATCATTTTTAACATTACCATTATTTATCTCTTTGCTTTTTCGTTCAGTTATTACTTTAGTTACTTCTTGATCAATATTTAATGTTATTGTTTTATTTATAATTACTTGACACGTCAATATAAAATTTGAATTTTCACACTCCATTGCATTTCTTAGCCAATCTTTCCTTGATATTGAATTTTTATGATTTTTTAATCTAGAAAATCCAATATTAAATTTTTCTTGGATAATTTCAAACACGTCTTCTTTGGATGTATTATTTTTATTTTCAAATAACACCGATTCTTCTAATTTGCAGATTTCAATTAGTATTTTATGAGAGCTTGGAACAGACTTAAAAGCATCACTTAATATTTTCCTTTTACTTTTAATATTTTTTTGAATTTCAAATAATTGTAACCATAAATCAACTGATTTTGGAATTAAAAACAATGCAGTTGATAATAATTTTTCTTTTTCTGGATCATCAGATTCAAGATCAATTGAAATTTTCCACAAGTTAACATTATATTTCAATTGTTGTAGAGCCTTTCTTATGATTCTTCTTTTATCAAATAACTCATTTTCCAAATTATAAGCCTTTAACCATAATATCTCACTTTTGGGATTATAACTCAATGCTTCGGTTATCATTTTTTTACATAAAACTAAATCATTTAGATTTAAATTTATGTTCTCCAACCAAATATTTTCATCTTTTTTACATAAATTACAACCTTGATTTAATAATTTTTTAGCAGTTTTAAAATTTTTCGATTGGATTTCAATTTTAGCGCTTGAAATCCAATTAGAAACGTTATAAGGATCTCTTTTTCTTAAAGATTTGAAAATTAGTCTTGATTTATTTATGTCTCTTATAGCCTGATCATCGAATAAAATGGATTTGTTAATATTTGAATCTAAATTTGATAGGTAATCATGAGATGAGAGCGAGATTTTATTAGTATTATTTTTATCCAAGTTGTCCAATTTGGCGCCTAATATTTTTATTCTTGAAGAAGATAAAAGACTAAAATCAGTTCTTTCATCCAATTGGTTTTTTATAAATTCTACATTTTGATCTTGATCTTGATTTTGATTTTGATTTTGATCATTTTCATTAGGATTTATCATATAATCAGTAGCATTTTGATTTTTTAAACCGGTTATTAAAGAATCGGGAATAGCATAGGATCTTTGTTGTGATTGTAGTAAATCTCTTTCCCTTTTATTTCTTTTAGTTAAATCACCAGGTTCAGGTAGATTTAACCATTGGTCATCAGTTATTGTGGCTAATTCTCTTTTTAAATCCTGAAATTGAGAATTGATGTCGTTGATGCTTTGTGGATTATTTATTATAATTTCGTTTGAATTTGAAGGAGATCTTTTTCTCTTTTTTGATTTTGTGGAATTTGAATTGGGTGGAATAATTTTTCTATTTTGCAATCTTTGTTCAATTTTTTCATAAATTTCATCAGCTTCTCTGTCATCTTTGTCTAATAAGTTTGTGCTTAACAAACCTTCTTCATCTGCATCTTGATAATTTTCATCATCATTATTGTCATCATTATCGTTGTCGTTATTTGTATTAGTATCAAATTTTTCGAAATTTTGATTAAAATTTGGTAAAGCTGAACCAAGAGAGCCAATATCAGATCTAGTGGAAAACCCACTGGCACCACGACCGATACCAGCTACATACCCACTGGGGGCAGTCATATCAAGAAAGCTTTTCTTTTCCATAATAAGAGTTTGATTTGCTTATTATTTCCATTGATAGATCTATTGATCTGTTGATTTACTGATAAAAGTGCAAGAGAGTGAGGGAAGTCCGTAGTTAAGCACGAACAAAATAGAGCGGGTTTCGGGATGATAAAACTACTATTTTAGAAAGCGCCGAACAGACTGAGTTTCGAATTGAACAAGAGAAAGAAAAGAAAAAAGTGAAAGAAGTGAAAGTGAACCTAAACCATTTTTGATAATTGAATATAATATAGTATATAAATATATGTAGACTAATACAAGAAAAAAGTGAAAGAAAAGAAAGATTTTGTAGAGCATGGAGAGATAATCAAAAGAAAGTGCATGAGGGAAAAAAAAATATAATATCAAAAACATTATTAACAGTACATAACATTTAAAAAAAACAAGAATAACAAAGTGAACAATAAGAAGAAATAAATAAAATATAATTAAAATAATTATAAAAAGTACTTTTAATTTTTATTTATTTTTAATTTTTATTTTTTCATGTTTCTTCACAAACTTTATTGATATAACGAATTTTTTCTCTTTCTTCAAATGTGTCGTCATTTAAGAAATTGTACAAGATTATATCGTCTAGAATTAATTTTGAGACAACTTGTTGAGCTTTTGTTGAAATTTTACGGTTTAAAGCAAATTTCATAACAATTTTGGAGACTTTGTTAAATTTGCCGGAGTTACTTAGGAATAGGATATTTTGATTAAGATGGTTAATGTGGTTGTGAGAATTGTTTCTTGGATAATTTTGGTTATCAAACTGGGAATCATTAAAAGAAAAGGGAGAGTTGAGTTCTCTTTTGACCATGATTTGATTATTATTATTATTATTGTTGTTGTTGTTAAAGGAGTTTGGTTGATTGTAATCTCTTTTGGGGGTTGGATTTGAGTTTGTGTTTGGGTTTGAATTTCTAGATTTGGAAGGTTTTTTTTTGACAATTCGATTGTTAGTTCTTAGTGGGATTAGGCTGCCATTTGCAGATCTGATTTGAGGAGATTTGCTTTTAGTTTTCAAAAGTTTAATTGATTTGGGTATTAACTGAGCTGAGCTTGATCTTTTGTTGTTATTTGAGCTTGTGTTATAGCCACTTAGTTCTAGCATTTCGTTATCTTCGTCATTTAGATCGTCATCTTTTGAGTTGTGTTTTTGCAATATATCAGTGTTTGAAAGGATTTGTTTTTGGGATTGATGGGAGATGTTGTGGTTATATTGAGAGTCGGTGTATTGGTTATTGTATTGTAGTTGATTCAAGTCGTTGTTATTGTTGTTATCGTCAGTGTCTGAGTCGTTATTGTAGACGTCTGAGATTGGGACGTTTGTGTTTGAGTTGTTGTAGTTGTAGTTGTTATTGTTGTTGTTGATGAGGTGGTTGTTGTTGTTGATGTTGTTGTTATCATTGTCATCGATGTTGGAGTAGTTGTCGTTGTTGATTGAGTTGTTATCGTTATCGTTGTAGTTGTAGTTGTAATTTTCGTTATTGTTTTCGTTTTCGTTCTCGTTTTCATTATCGATTTCATTTTCGTTATCATTATCATTATCAATTTCGTTATCGTTATCAATTTCTTCACCTTCAACGACGTTGACAGTGTGATTTAAAGGTTGGTTGTAGATATATTGGTCATATTTAACAAGATAGTCACAAGCGTGGGGGATGCAGAATTTTTTAACCCAACTTTTTTTTCTTTGGTATCTTTTGACAACGTCTTCATCCTCGATGAATTTGTTTAGGGCAAAGTAGTGATCGACTTCGTAGTAATCTAGGTTAAAGCAACCTTTGCTCATTAACCAGACAAAGCCCTTCGCGTTGTCCTTGATGAAGCGCCAGTAGGCGTGTTCGTCTTTGAGTATTTTCAAGTGTTTTTTCAATTTTGTTTTGTCGAATTTGTTGACTTTTGCTTTTAGTGGAAAGGCTAGGTCTAGTTCTTTGGTGATTCTATCCCAGGAATCCCTACACCAGTCGTTTTCATTTTTTTCGTAAAAGTTTTCAGAAGACTCTCTTATGAGCAAGTTGATAAAGAGATCGTTCATTTCCTTTGACCATTTTGTGGCATCGATGCCAGTTCTGTCGTAGTAGCCGACGGAGTTTGGAGGAGTGAAAGTTGAAGTGGAGGGATTCGATATTGTGGAATTGTTATTTATTTGCAAATTTGAGTTTGAGTTTGAGTTTGAGTTTTGGGATAGGTTTGTGTTTTCATTGTCTTGGGGATTTTGGTTATCCTGAATGATTTCGTTATTCTGGGGGCTGTTTGTGGTTTGAATATTGTCGGTGTTATCGTTATTTTGGGGGATTTCGATGTTATTGTTGGATTCAATGTTATTGCTGGATTCAATGTTTTGGGTGTTTTGGGAGGTTGGGGAGGTTGGGGAATTTTGGATATTCTGGATGGCGATGGGGCTGTTGGGGCGATTAGTGGAGTCGTTGTTGATAATGCTGTTGATACTGCTCATGTTGTTGATGGTGTTGTTGAGTAGATTGTCGTTGTTCAAAGAGGAGTCGATGGAGAGAACGGCTTGGGAGTCGGAGGATTTTAGATTGAGCAAAGTGTGAGTGTGATCATCTTGATCTTCTAGTTTGGGGATGATGGCAGAAGAAGGATTGTTGGTAGCAAGAGCGAGAGGACCACTGGAGAGATCAGACATGGCACAATTGGTATGGTTGGAAGCAGATGTTACAAGGCAGTTGAATGGTAGCAAAGAAAGGATGGAGAAAAGAAAAAAAGGTGCGAAATGAAGAGAAATGAGGAGAAATGAGCAGAAGAAGCAGCAAAGCAGAAGAAGAGAATGATGGGCAGGAAGAAGAAGAAGCAAGAGGAAGAAAGAAAGAGAGGAGGCAGACGCTGGCGTATTTATAGGAAAAGGAAGGGAAACAAGGGGCGAGCGAGAAAGGCCAGGCAAAAGCAGAGAAAAGAGAGAAAAGAGAAAAAAGAGGAGGTTCAGTGTGGGAATTGCCCAAATCCTGAGCTGCTAGCACCTCCACAGCAGCCAACAGGAGCCGCTGCGAGCCCACTCCGTGCGGAAGCTCGAGCAGCTGCTGCAGCGCCAGCCAAACCACCCCGCGGGTCCGCCCGCGTCCGCTGGATCACGTGGGCCGCCCGTGCTGCGCAGGTGCCGGCCCGATTGGGGCCCGTCCAGCCGCGGGCTCCAGTTGCTGCTTTTGTTGCTGCTGTTGGGGCCTGGGAGCCTCCTCTTCCATCTTCCAGCCGTCGCCATGTTCCTCGCCACCGTCCGCAGCGCTGTTCCCAAGCCTCTCGCTCGTCTGTTTCAGCGAGCCCTTTCCCTTGAGGCCTCCTCCCCAGTGATTCCCGAAGACAAGCGCCAGTACGTTCCTTCCTCTGGCTCTTATCCCAAGGGCTTCAGAGTGGGCGCCATTTCCTCTGGAGTCAAGAAGCACGCCCACTTGGACTTGTCCATCATCACCTCAGCGACCCCCTGCAACGCCGCTGGCGTCTTCACCACAAATAAGTTCAAAGCTGCTCCCGTCGTCCTCGACAGACAGATCCTCAACGATTCAAAGGGTAAAAATATCCATTCCATTGTCATCAACAGTGGTTGTGCCAACGCTGTTACAGGCAAACAAGGTCTCGAAGATGCCACCGAAGTGTCCTCTCTTGTTGACGCTTTGTCTGTCCCTTCTCACAACGAAAGGCCTGTCCACAACTCAACCTTGGTCATGTCAACTGGGGTCATTGGCCAGTTGTTGCCCATGCACAAATTGAAAGCTGGAATCACTGCCATTTTCAATTCAGATGTCTTGAAAGATGACCACCAAAGTTGGTTGAACTGCGCAAGAGGCATAATGACCACTGACACCTTTCCAAAAATTACCTCCAAATCTTTTCTGATTGACAATAATACCTATAATATTGTTGGTTTGGCTAAGGGTGCAGGCATGATTTGTCCCAACATGGCAACAATGCTAGGCTGTTTCATCACTGATGCCCCACTCTCTACTTCTGCTTTAAATTCAATCTTGAAATACTCAGTCGATAGATCCTTCAACTGTATCTCTGTCGATGGTGATATGTCAACTAACGATACAATCTTGCTACTATCAAACGGTGCTTCTTTGTCTGGCAAAAAAACCGACGTTATCAATGAAGACTCTCCTTCTTATTCCCAAATTAGAGACATTATCACCTCCTTTGCTCAAAGTTTATCCCAGCTAATCATTAGAGACGGCGAAGGTGCCACAAAGTTCGTCACCATAAAAGTAAACGATGCTGAATCCTACGACGACGCAAAGAAAATCGCTTCATCAATTGCCAACTCCTCTCTAGTCAAAACTGCTTTATACGGTCAAGACGCAAACTGGGGCAGAATTCTTTGCGCAATCGGCTACTCAGACATTGACATCAACCCTGAAACAATCAACCTAAGCTTCATTCCAACTGACGGCTCCTCCCCTTTGAAACTACTTTCAAATGGCGAACCCGAAATCGTTGATGAAGAAAGAGCCTCCCAAATCCTAAAACTAACCGACCTAGAAATCTTGGTCGAATTAGGCACCGGCAAAGGTCAAAATGCTACCTACTGGACCTGTGATTTATCCCATGAATACGTCACCATTAATGGCGACTACCGTTCTTAGTTTGCTATAAATATTTAATTCATACTCTATCATCATCATCATTATCATCATCACATACTCACTTTTTGCTCAATAGATAGACCTTTTCTTTTTTTTTTTTGTCTGACCACGTGATGCCTTCATCTACTTACTTTTTTCTTCCTAGATTCTGATATCAAGTGTAATGAAACGAATATTATTTATTCTTGTATGTAAATAAACCAAAAAAAACAACCAAAAAAAACAGACACAAACATAAAAAAGGAACTAGACAATTTGAAAGATAAGGAGATAACGAAATAGCTGGAAAAAAAAAGACTTATCCAGCATCTGTAAATACTTTAAAAATGAATATTAACAATTCCATTGGACAGTTCCCTGTCCCGAAACATTCTATTAACAATAATAATAGTAATAATCATAATCATAATCATAATCATAATCATAATCATAATCATAATCATAATCATAATCATAATCATAATCAGAATCAGAATATCAATAACAATCTCAATTTAATTCAACAACAACAGTTTAATCAACAGTTTACTCAACAACAACATTTTCTTAACAATCCTCAAAATATAAGCATCAATAATATAACTCCAATTCATTCTCAATCTCAATTGCTCAATATCATTAGCATTAATAATAACGTTCCCAATAATATTAACAATTCCAATACAATTAGCAATAACATTGGTAATAATATTGGTAATATTAGCAATATTAGTAATACTAATAATACTAATAATACTAATAATACTAATAATACTAATAATACTAATAATACTAATAATACTAATAATACTAATAATACTAATAATACTAATAATANTAATAATATCAATAATACTAATACTAATACTGATGCTAATACTAATACTAATAATACTAATAATACTAATAATACTAATAATACTAACATCACTAACAATCCTAACAATACTAACAATATTAACAATACTAACACCACTAATATTAATAATAATACTGTTGATATTAATAGTAAGGAATATAAAAAGCTTTTGGAAAACCCAACATCTGATTACCTATTTTACAAACAAATCATCCATCGTGATAAGAGTGCATTGAGCTATTTCGATCCAAATCTGTATCACCACCAACAACAACTAAACAATGGCGTACCAAATTTCCAAGATGATCCAAACATCAAACTCAACATGGACTTGTTTAAAAATTTGGAACAAAATTTGCAGTATTATAATCAATTAAAACACCAAAGAATGACTAGCATTACTAATTTAAAGAACCCCAATTTGCTTAATAACATAAGTAACGTGAATATAAACAACGCAAATAATTTGAATAATGGGAATAATAATATGAATAATGGGAATAATATAAATAATGGGAATAATATGAATATTAACATCAACACGGAAAGTATATGGGGAGACGGATATAAAGGCTATGGAAACAATTTCACCAATACAAAGACACGAGTTATACTACCCAATTCGAAAGAATGCCATTTTCAGAAGTTGAGCAAGTATTTCAACGATGTCAAGCTATCCAATTCATTGAACTTATCAAGACACCAAGATAAGAAATTCAAGCGAAAGAAAGAAGAGCTAGTGCCCATTCGATTGGAGTTTGATGTTGAAAAGGATAAATTTCGGTTACGAGATACATTTACATGGAATCTCAATGAAGAGTTTGTGTCGTTGGAGACGTTTGTTAAGATGATGATGGAAGATTACAAGTTAAATAAAAGTTCGTATACAGATGCAGTGTTGAAGAGTATAAAAGAGCAAATAAACGATTACCATTCGTTTGTGATAAACCGTTCTTCTAGTGAAGATCATGGTGATGATCATGATAATATTGATAATATTGATAATATTGATAATATTGATAATATTGATAATATTGATAATATTGATGATAATATTGATAATAATATTGATAATAATATTGATAATAATCATGATAATAATAATAATGATGATATTGATAACGATGACGAGGATAATGGATTTAAAAAGTTCAGTGAAAAGTTTAATAGATCTATTAAGAAGAAACCAATTGATTTAAGAATAATTATTAAATTTGATATCACATTATCTAACAACCAGTATATTGATAAGATCGAATGGGACTTGGGCAATCCATTGAATAATCCGGAGGAGTTTGCAGAGTCTGTTACAGCGGAGTTGTCGTTGCCTGGAGAGTACAGTACAGCTATAGCACATACTATCCGAGAACAAAGCCAGCTATATACCAAGGCGTTGTATTTGAGTGGGTATGAGTTCAATGGAGAATTGGTTAAAGAGGAGGAGATCAAGCGGTATTTGTTGCCGATTGTGGAGGAGCAAAATATATTTCGAAGCAATGTTAAGGAACAAAACGAGTTTACGCCTATATTAAAGGATATGGATAAATTAGGAATTGAAAAGCTAGAGAAGGATCGAGAAAGAGAGAGTAGAAGAAAAAGAAGAAACACCGGTAGGGTGTTTAATAGAAGAGGAATACCATCGTTGCCGGATCTAAGCGAGATTCAAAGAACGTTTCGAACAGCAGTGCCAAATTCTATATTGGCAGGAGGAATTTCATTGAGTGATAATATCGAGGATTATTATGAGTATTACGATGAACAAAAAGAGGTGTTTCTTAAGATGAAGAAAATCGATCGAAAGAGTGAAGAAGACGGAGAAGGAGAAGTGGAAGGAAATGGAGAAGGAAATGAGACTAAAGGGTATGGATTTGGAGAAGAGATCAGGAAAGAAGGAATTAATGTCAAGAATGAGTTAGAAAGGGGAAACAATTTTGGCAACGGTAATAATATGAATGTGAACACTAATATGAATGTGAATATGAACGTGAGTATGAATAGTAATGGCAATGGTAGTGCTGCTACTGCAGGTAGTGTTAATAAAAATAACAACAACAACAACAACAACAACAACAACAATAATAATAATAATAATAATAATAATGACAACCACAACATAGATAATAATGATAATGAGTTTAGTAATGATTTCAATAACGATTTCAATACGAATTTCAATAATTTTGGAAGCAATTTCAATGGTTTTGGGATGAGCAAAAAAAGAAGAAAACGAGATTTTGCAGAGGACTATGTTGATGAAGAAGAGGAAGATGAGGACGAAGAAGGCGAGCACAACGACTCACACGATGAAGACTACGTCGACAACGACGAGGACGACGACAGAGTTGTCTTCAGAAACCGCAAAGGCAGGAGACCCAGAGAGTTCTCTGCCGACGGGCGCCGGGGCGCACGCAGCTCCAGGGTGACGGTGCGTCGCGACGCGCACAGGTTCATAGTGACGGTAAAGTACTTGTGAGCACCAGCGGAAGCAAAAGCAGCAGCAACGCACGTGCAAAAGGTTAGCGCACACGTGAGCGACAAAGCGCACCTGATACACCTGCATGTCTGAGATTGTTGCCTGGCACAGCGGAGTGCTGGCGCACAGCAACCCTGCGGGGACAGGATCTGACTCGTTCTGCAATGACCAATGCCCGAGCGCCAATAACGGGCATAAGTAGTGGTATTCCGTTACAACGCCTATGCGACCCCTGCGCTGTGGCAGCTCGCAGAGGCAAACACGTGCGCGAGATGAGCACCAAGAGTGTGAAGTGGCGTGACTGCCCTGTGGCACCGGGTCAGATGGCGCAGGGGTGTGGCTGTGCCGTAGCGCCGCGGACGAGTGCGGTGTGGTACGGACATAGGCGTGATAGCAAGCGCTAAGCAGCTCCGGCAGCAGCAGCAGAAGGAGCAGTGTTCAACGTTGCACAAGCGACACCAATCCAACTTAGCTGCTTACCTCCTCTAACTCCTTCTTACTGTGCTTTTCCAAAGAGTTCCATCCTTTTTGTTGCTAATCTCCAAAAGTCTGTCATTTCTCTGCTTTCCTTTAAGCTTTTGGCTATCTCCAGAAGAAATTTGCTAACTTTTCTAATGTGCAACTCCATAATATTTATTTTTATCTGTGGTTGTATTCTTATCTACTTCATCTGGCTCCAATAATCCAGACACTTCACACTCCAATAGCCCAGACAGATCAAGCAAATCAATTCAAATCAATTCTACTCAATTTCATTCAGTTCCATTCAATTTATCCCAATAGCTTTCTCCAGTTTTATCCAGTTTTATCCAGTTTTATCCAGTTTTATCCACTTGTTGGTTGCAAGAGCTCCCAGCAGTTTTCTGCTTCCCTTTGACTAATTCGTTTAAATAGATTCTCATATTCAATTCAATTTCACTTCACTTCACTTCAATTTAATTTGAATTTTAAATTCTAATTTAAAATTAATTCCCTCTCTATCCATAGAGAAGTTGATTAAAAGTTTAAGCCCTTCTCAATTTATAAAAACAATCTCCCAACATTTATTAAAAAATCAATTATCACTCGTCAATCATTACTCAATCATTAATCAACTATTATTCATCAAATATCAAATATCAAATATATATTATATTATATCATAAAACAAAATAAAACACTAAAAATTAAAAAAAATATAAAACACTTTACTCACTTTTTTTTCCCTACTTTCTCATTTTAATTTTTCTTTCTTTTTTTTCTTTCTTTCACTTTCACTTTCACTTTCACTCCCACTCTCACTTTTATTCTTATCATATATCATCTTGATACACCCTTTCAGCAATTAATAACTAAACATGTCAAGATCAAATTGCAAAACCTTGACCTATGTCTTGGGCTCTTCTGATCCTCATAATGGCCATTCCTTGGGCATAAACAAGATCAAATATAATGTCAACAATAATACGCTATTCTCTTCTGGAAGAGATGGTATACTATCTCAATGGATTAATAAAAATCATCATCATCACCATAATGATAGTGATAATGATAATGATAATGATATTACTAATACTGATAACGATACCTATGATGAATATATCAACAACTACGATAATGATGACATCATAGATAACTCCCAATTATCAAATATAATCAATAAATCATATTCTTCCTCAACCTCTGACTACAATGACAACCTATTGAAAAACCTATCCTACAACCTAATCAAAAAGGGACTTCCTCTTTATCCCAATGCCTCAAATCAAAACTCTTACTCTCTACTAAATTATAATCATCTCCACTCAGATTGGATAAATGATTTTGAATTCATAGACCCTTCTTCAAATCTAGTCTCTTGTTCTTCTGATTTATCTCTTAAAATATGGAACTATAAAAAAAATATCAACCACTCCAACAACGACGACGATAATGATGATAATAATTATAATGATGACGACAACTCAAAAAATATCATCACCTCCAACTCAAACTCCAGCGCTAACAATGATGATAACAACAACAATAACAACAATGACTTGACAACTTTAGGATACCACAACGACTACGTCAAAGCTCTAGCCTATCCAAACTCATCCTTCAATCAATACAACTCAAACTGGATTGCAAGTGGTGGTTTGGATAAATTCATCAACATCTGGGACTTGAACAAACTATGCAAAATCCAATCTTATCTACCAAACGACATCAAAATATCTCTCAACATCATCAACTATTCTCCAATATCAACTTCAAACATCAACAACCCAATTGATTCCCTAACTGACCCAAATCTAAATCTAAACATCAAAATACAACAACTAAAATCCTCTCTCCTCTTAAACAACCAAAATATCCCATCAAACTCAATCATCCAACCCACCACCACCACAACCCCAAATACGCAACAAATCTCTTACTTATCTAATATTTTCAACAACAACATTTATAACAACAACCAAAACAACAAAACATCTCTAATTTTCAACAACTCTTCAAATAAGGGTTCCATCTACGCCTTATCTGCTACCGATAATCTAATTGCCTCTGGTGGCACTGAAAACATCATACACATATTTGATAAAAGAATCCCTTCAACAAACTACAACAACTTTAACGCTTCAAAATCAATCATAAAATTAATTGGCCATACTGACAACATCAAGTCCTTATTACTATCCGATGAATGGATTCTTTCCGGCTCTTCTGACTCAACCGTCAAACTATGGTCCTTGAAAAATAATAGAGTCTTTAAAACTTTTGACATGCACAACTCCTCAATCTGGTCTCTTTATAGTGACTTTAAAGATTTTAAAGTCTTTTATTCCGGCGATAAAAATGGCTACATCTATAAAACTGACTTGAGAGGCTCCAACTATAATTACTACAACAAAACTTGCTTAAATAGCTCAGATCTTACTAATAATGACGAAATCCCTAATACAAAATTACCAAAACTGAAAAATATTAACGATGACTACGAATTCTTAAATAACAAATTAAATGAAAATTTAGGTGTAGTTACAATGATTTCAAAACAATCTGCGGGCGTTTTATCAATAGCAGTAGAACCTGAAATTAATAAATCTTCATCTAGTGGTTCTAATGGTTCTAATGGTGACACTGAAAATATGGGAACTACTGTTGGTAAAATATGGTCTGCTACAAATAGCTCATCGTTATTCTCATTTAAAGACATCAACTTAAACAACCTAATCTTATATCAATTTTTAGTCACAACAAAACAGTTCAACAACAACTTCATTAATGATGCTTCAATAAATTTCTCAAATTTTAAGAAAAATTATTTAAATAAAAATTACTTTAATGATAATTTTTCAATTTCAAGTGTTACTTCTCCTCTAAGCAATATGTCTATCCATAACGAAGAATTCTCTTCGTTTAGCAATCCTGCACTTAATTCAGACACAATTGTTGATGATGATGATCTATTCGACCTAGTCTCCCAATTTTCTTCAGAGACTTCCCCTCCAAATGGTCATTCACCATCTTTATCAAATTTTGAATCCTTTCCAAACCAAAATGATGAATCCTTTAGCTTAACAAGTGTCATGAGTGATGATTTAATGAAATCAAATTTCCCCGATTTTAATGATAGTCCAACTTATGAATCAAGTTTTGTTTCAATAGCTGGTGGTCCAAGCTCCCAATTTATTAATATCGATGGAAAAGGTAATGCATGTAATAATTCTATTGAATCAATAAAAATTGAAATGTTATCAGAAGCCTTACCAACTCAACAAGTCATCCTAAAACCTTTAAACGACTGCTGCTATGATAAAATAAAGGGTCAGTCATCGATAGTTAAATTCAGATTACTAAATAATAGAAGAAATATAGTAACGTTAGAATCTGATGGCGATATTAAACTATGGGATATCCTAACTTGTTCAGTTATAAAATCATTTAAACTTAATAACGATACAACAGAAATTAAATCAGATGATGATGATGATGATGAGAATCTTGATGATGAAAAATGTTGTTCTGATGATGAAAATTTTAATATAAATGAAAGTGATAATGAAAGTGTTATTGATCATATGGAATACCAAAAGGATGCTTTAATAGAACTAGAAGCTAAACATGAAGAGGCATTTGAAAATATAATTCATAAATATCAAACAAATGAAACATTGAAAAATTGGTGCAAGGTTTCACTTAAAATAGGAAAATTATTTATAACAATAAGCCCTAAAACATTTCTCGATTGTGAAATCTATAAAGACGATTTAATGGAGGCATACGGAGAATTACTTGATGATGGATTTGACCAAGGTGAAATTGATAGAGAATTAAAAGATGTTGAACAAGATCCTAGTGAGATTCGATACAACTTAGGTAAAATAATCTTGAAATCAATGTTTTATGAATTTTTACAAAAAGAAATCAAGTTGGATGAAGTTTACCGTTACAAATTGATTAAAATTTTTGAAGAAAAAGAAATTTCAACCAAACAAAAGATTAATAAAGTTAATACAAAAATTAGTAATAGTAATAGTATTGATGAAAATTCAACTGAAATTGATATTATTAACGGTGCTAATGGCAATATAAATGGAAATGGAAATGGAAATGGAAATGGGCTAACTAGGTTGCATTCAAAAGACAGTGAAAACAATACGTATCTTAAAAAATTAAAAAAATTTGGAATTAAAAATACGTTTAAAAGACAAAATAGTATTAATAACTCAAAGTTTAGTAAAAGCAATCATCATTTAAATGGAGATAAAAATGAAAGCGATTTGAACAATTCAACTCCATCCTCTTATTCATTGAAGGATATTGATAAATCTAATGTTTCATTAACCATATATCCAGAGGTTGATGACTCATTGTCATCAATCATAAAAGATGTCCGAAATAAATACAATAGCTTGAATATTCATGATGTTGAAAGTTTGAAAGATACATCATATATATTATCTAACAAGTTTATGGTTCCAATAATTTCTAGTTTAAGTAATCTATCGCATTCAGATGAAAATGGTAAGAATTTGAAAAAAGGTCATAAAAATAGCAAAAATAATTCTAAAATTATACTATTAATTGATCAACAATTGCCAATATTAAAAGGCAACTCAATAAACCTATTTAATTGTTATGTGGATGAAATATCTAGTAATGAAGAAGTATTTAAAAAACTAGAAATAATGCTACCAAATTGGGTTGGTAGAAGTTTATTAATGGATCAATACAATCAATTTGAATTACCTAAGGTTACATTTGTTGTTGAAGAATGGAAAGATCCTAAGGAAAATGAAAATGAAAAAGAAGAAAATGAAAAGATTGTAAAGAGTAGTTCAACTTCTTTATTTTCATCCAAAAAGAACCATAATAACAATAGTAATAAAAATAATACTCATAACTCATTGCCGTTATTAGAACACTCATCATTAAGATTAAATGCAGCGAATCCAATCCGAATCAGGAAAATCTTGAGCTACATTATAGATAAATTTAAGAGTCCACCAAGTGAAAGCAAACAACTTAACCCAGAAGATTGGCTTGAAATTTTGTGCAATGAGGAAGTATTGCCATATAATATGACATTAATTACTGTTAAAACCAAAATTTGGAAATCAAGTACAGATGTGTGTTTAAGATATAGAAGAAAAAAGAATTAAAAATTAAAACTTGAAATTTAATATTTCAACGGGTAAATTAAAACCCACTTTTTATTAGTTTTTTTTGCACTATTTTTTTTACTATTTTTGTTTTTACTTTTTAAAAAATTTTTATTTTTGATACTATTTTTGTTGTTTTTTACTTTTTTACTTTTTTTCATTTGATATTTTTATTTTGTTTTGGTAACTTTTATCTAACTGTTTTTCATTTTGTTTTGAAGTTATGTGTAACGCATATTATGTTTTTAATGATTAATGATATAAACTCGCTCTTTTGAATCAATATTTTGGGAATCACAGGTCTGTGTAGCATGTAGTCGAATAAAGCAGCAAAAGCAGCAAAAGCAGCATATACCGCTGTGTGAGTTCCGAGGTACCGATCAAGTCACGTTCTCCGACCAGCTCCAGCCAATGAGCACGCGGAATAAAAGCTGAAAATTCTGAAGTTCTTTTTGGATTGGAAGATGTAAAAGAGGTGAAGCAGCTCCAACCATAACAAGAAAAGGTTCTTAAAGAAACATAGATTTTCGGAATATACAGCAAAAATGGCTAATGGTTACACTATTGCAGGAAAATTCTTTCCATCTCATGTTGTATGTTGTTTTTATATTCATTTTTGATTCAACTGTAACCAAATTGATATGCTCCAGTTTATTCTAGAAAACAATGATCACTAACAAATATTACTGTCTTTTTGGCTGATTTTTTCATTGTTGAATATAGTTATCTTTAGCAACAATTGGCACAGTTGTTTTGTTAGTTGCTCCTAAACCATGGAATAAGGTTGTAAGACCAGCTACTCCTCCATTAAATGCTTCATCTCCCGAAGAGGAAAAATTCATTAAAGACTACTTGGAGAAAGCTGCTAAGTTATAAATTAGATTAGAGAAAAATTAGAGCGAAGTTTATCAGAAAAAAATCAAAAATTAAAAATCAAAAACATTAATGTAAAGGTTTACTATAAATAATCACTATGAATTATTTTTTATACAAACAATATAAATAATGGTCATGGGGAAGATGTTTATATATTAAATTCCTTGCTTGCTGATCTATTTTTTTTTCATTTTTTATTTTTTTTAATTTATTTCATTGAGTCTTAAAAAACATATCAAAATATTTAATTCAACTAATTTAATTTTGCACTAATTATTAAATTAAGATATCAAAATACAAAATGTTGGAAAGTGGTAATTTCTTGTTTATATATACTATCTTTTTTTTATTAGATTCTTTCATTTGGTGTTTTTGTCTACTGTAATACATATTCTATTAAAAAACGATATAAATACCATCTGTAGTTGACTGGTAAATTCACCAAACTCATCAAAATGATCAAGTTCTTCAAATCCATCAGTTTATAATATTTATCACCAGTATTGTGGATCCCGCTCTTGAATATTTTTTTATTTATAGAATCAAAACAAGAAGGTTGATAATAATCATGGTGATGATATGTTTATGATATGATGAATTGTTGACTTATTAATAATGGTTTTACCAAGAAGACACTTTCCTAAAAAAACATACATCTCTGAACCTTCAAGCGATGAAGAGAGTTCAGATTATGGAAATTCTGATAACTCTCAAATTGATAAGAGTGTAAAGATTAATAAAAGCATTGATTTGAGCAACAATCAGAATAAAAGTCTTAATGCAAACCAAAATATTAATAAAATTAACAATATTAATAAAAAATATGAGATTATTGATATTGAGTCCAATAATAATCAATCGTCAATCATACTTAATCCATCTGATGAAGAAGGCATAGAGGAAAGCGATAACCAGAATAAAAGTGGTGGTGATGAAAATGAATCAGGCAAATCTGGTGATTCTGTTCCTGAATCTGGATCTGAATCCGAATCCGAATCTGAATCTGAATCTGAATCTGAATCTGAAAGTGATAATGACAATACTAGTTTGAGATTGAAACCTGTTTTCATAAGTAAAAATAAAAGAATAATAAAATTGAAAAATCCATCTCTTGGTAGCAAGAATAATGATCTTAACGAAGAAGATAATAACGATAATGTTCGTAAAAAAGAAAGAGCAATCAAAAATATTGAAAACACTATTTTGACTGAAATACAGGCGAAACGACTACTTGAAGCATCAAAAGAGGAAGATTTGGGTAATATAGATGACACAGATGATCTCGACCCTGAATTGGAAAAAAAACAATGGGAAGAAAGAGAATTAAATAGATTAAAAAGAGAAAGAGAGTTTTTAAGACAAAGAGAAAACGAGTTGAATGAAATTGAAAATTTCAGAAGCTTATCTCAAGTTGAAAAATTCAATTATTTTCAGAAAAAAATTGAAACCGAAAAAATTGAAAAAATGAAATTAAAAGAGGAAAAGGAAAAGGAAAATGAACAATTACGTCTAAAGAAACTTCAACAAAATAACGACGATAATAATTTGAGTGAGAAAAACAAAACAATCAAATATTATCATAAAGGTGCTTATTATCAAGAACAAGAAATTTTCAAATCAAGAAAAATTGAGTCTGTTAGAGAAATTACATTCGATTCAAGTTATACCGGAGTAAAAAACAGAACAAAATACAAAGGCTTGGTCAATGAGGATACGAGTAGAAATTCAAACTCATATTGGTTCAAAAATAATGAAATAAATAAAAGGAATAGTGAAAAACTTGGTGGAATTGAAACTAATAAACCGTTTCAAAAAAAGAAAAAAAAATAGAAATTATTTTTTTTAAAAGTCTGTATATTAATGTAAATTAACATAACAAATGTAATTTGTTTTAATTAATATTTAAATTTGGAGATTTCATCTTTTTGTAGTTCTATTGGCAGTCTGATTAAGCTTCTCGTTCAAGCTATCATCCAAGCTATCATCCAAGGTATCATCTTCTATTTCGTCACTATCATGGATTTCACTAAAATCAATATCATCAAGAACACTCAAGTTTGCCTCATTCTTAGTGTTTGAAATATTAGACTGAACATTTGAATTAATTTCACTGTTATTGATATTAGTATTATTGATATTCAGATTGGTTTTGGCATCACTTTGCTTAATTTCATTTTCGTAATCTTTTAAAATCTGTGTTAATCCTTCATTCTTTCTTGTTATCATATACATATCAGCAGGAAGTATTGTTTTCCTTTTGGCATGTTTAGCAAAGGACTCTAAATCGTCCCCAACAACCAATAGCTGGTTATAGACCAACTCAGCCAATGTCGCTGTGAATAGTTTTGTAGCCTCCACATTCAATTCTTTAGTTTCTTCTTCAACTATTTTGGCAATGGAAAGCCAAAGCCTTGCCTTCAAATTCTATGCAAACACAAAAACCAAGTTCGTTAGTAGAGTTGAGCATTTGGCTTTTGAAATGTAACAATTGCATACCCCACATTCTTCTTTGTCTTTATCAGTAAGCTCCTTCATTTCTTGTTGGTTGGACTGTTAACAGAGACCCAACTTTCACATCAAGATCATGGTGATCTTAACAATCGAAATATCGAACTTTATTTGTAAGGTGCATGATAGTGAAGGGTATAGATTATACCCTTTAATTAAATGTTCTTACAAAATATTTGTTAGAAAACACACCCAAAATACCCTTTATATTTGAACTAAATAATAGATCCTAATTTATATATATATAAAAAAAGGAGAAAAAGAAGAAGAAGAAAAAGAAAAATTGCAGCAAAATATAATACAAAAACAAATATCTATGAGTTTAAATATCAAATACCTCAATTTTAGCAGTTGAGCCCTGTTCAGCAGTAACAACACAGAAATTGGCACCACCAGCACCAGTAGAAGACAAACCCTTTGAAATACCATTGACCTCGACTTTGCTTGGGTTGATTTCACAACCTGAACCATTGCATTTGCTTTCATCTTCACAGACAATTCTGATACCAAAGGATGGCTTAGTGTTTTTGTAAGGAGAAGAGTCCTCTAACCAGATGGGGTTCCAGCCAATTTTAACAAAAGTGTTTTGACTGTCGTCCATATTGACACCAGCAACAAATGGAGACCAGTTACCATAAGGATTTTTGGTGGATCCCCAGGTACAGGCGTCGTCAGTTGAAACCCCAGGGGGATTGATATAGTAATGAGCAGCAGTGCTAGCCCAATATTCAGTGCCAGGAACAGCTAAGGTCAGAGTGCTGCCACCACCAACATTGGTTGGAATTAGCATCTCTTCGTTTCCAGGCAAAACAGTTTGGCAAATGGCAACATTTTTACCAATTTTGTTGTTAACTTTTAAGGTCCCTTTGCCTTTATAGCAGTAAGGCTTGTTGCTGAAAGGTTTTGAGAGAGTGCCATCTGAGTTGCATTTAAGGCCACCATATTGGCTTTCAGGATAAGAATAAGAAGTAGCAGAAGGATCCCATTGAGCACTAAGGTAACCTTCAGGGCAGGCGTAGGGACAGTATGAACCAGCTTTGCAAGTTACATCCTTTGAGATGGCCCAACCATTACCTGTGCCATCTTTGTTAACAGCGACTAAACCCAAGTCGTCTGGAAATGAACAGGTTCCAGTATCTCTTTTAGACTCTTTGTGGAGGTGGTGATCGTTGTGATGATGGCGATCTGATTCAGGAATTGGAAGTGCATTGGATAAGTTGATTGATAAATAGGCAGAAATGAAAAACAAAATTGATTTGGACAACATTTTGGAGTTGATGTGGAAGTTGATTTGAAGTGATTTGAAGTGATCTCTGAAAAAGGATTGATGTGAATTTTATAGATAAGAAATTCAATAAAGTTAAGGAAAGTGTAATGAAAATTAATCAACAATTAAGGAGAGTGGGTAATAGGATGATAAACTAATATGGATCTATTTGATTCAAACTATGTTGTTAATAATGATTGTATTATAATATTCGATTGATATAATAAATAAAATAAAATAAAACGTAATTGAATCATGGATAAAACAAGGAAAATATTTGTTCATTTTATATTAAATTTTTTATTATTGAAATGAATAGATTATTGAGTTTTACTTACTCAATTGACTAATTTTGAAATGTGATAAAATTTAATCAATTGATCAATTAGTTATGATGATAAATAAAATAAGAAAAAAAATAAAAATAAAAAAAAAGAAAAAGATCAAAAGAAAACTACCGGTAGAAAACGTTATAATTTTAAAGCTAATGATTGTTATAATATTCCAATATTCCAATATTGTAGTATAAAAAATTCTAAAAACTATGCGATAAATGAGTTATTAAGAAAAAAATTAAGTTTTTATAAAAATTAATAAAAGATGGTAATCTGGAAAAATGAATCTTATTGGTTTATTTTTTGATATTGTGAAGGGTTGGCAAGTCTAGACCAATATAAGATGTTTTAGCTAATATAAGGTTTTTTTTTGTGTTTTGAGTCTGTTAAAATGCCTTCAAAAAAAAAAGCAAAACCAATAAAAGGAATAAAAGCACTATAAGTACCAACAATTTGAAAAATTTAAACTGATGTAATAGCTGAAAAATGTAGAAAAGTAATTACAAGATTTTGGAGATGTCGCTTTATTTTATCTTCTTTTGGGCAATATTTCAAGATAAAATAAGAAAAAAACAGTGAAAAGAAAAAGATAGACAATAAAAGAGAAACCAATACAAATGAGTTACCAATATTCCAGGCTGATCTATCATATGTGGCGGATGCAAAATATTTTTCTCTCAGATCTGCGACTGATTGTTCGTTTTACATTTGGTGTGGTCTTGAATCTTATCCAAATGAAAAAATTAGTTCTCACAATGTGATTTTTGAAACAGGATGCAAACTTCTTAGCAAGACAGCCCCCCCCCCCCCCCCTGCAGCGTATTCTCACATCAACCGTTTGAAGTTCTCCCAACAACTACCTGAGGTAGACATAATAAATCCTAGAGAGCCAGTAGATGAGGTGTTTTGACGGTTGACCAACAGCAGACAAAAACAGAATAAACAGCCTGAGAAAAAGAAAAAGCAAAACTAGCAGAACCAAAAGAAAAGTGTTGCAACTCCTTCGTGAACTCAAGGCCTGGCCAAAAAGGCAGGAGCAGCTTCGTGGGTAAATAACAAAAGCATCCATAATAACTGGACCTGCGTGGTGCATGTCTGTGATTGGTCGTCTGCAACGTTGCTTTTCTGATTTGTGCAGCGTGCATATTTTCATCAACATTGGAGCTCAGCCCTAAAACCTAGTTTTTGTCCGTTGCATCCCGCGGCCGTGATGGAAATCCTGTCCGCATCCGCACAGTCCATGCACGGACAGCGCGGAAGTGTCTGTGGCACCACGTGATCGGAACTTAAGAAAGACCTTTTCCTAATATTGCTTTGAAGCTCTAGCTCTTTTTGGCTATTGCAAACCATTTCAAACCATTTTTGAACATCTCTGGCACCATCTTCACCATTGGAACCATCTTTGTTTCGAGAATCTACCCAGAAAGAGCTGCTTATTTGCACTGCTGTCTTTCAATTTTTTTTCTTGCTGCTGGATTTCACGCTCTTCTATTCATTCGACATTTCTTCTGGCGTCACCTCAGCTATTCCAATCTTAGAAGCAGTTAAAGTAAATTTAGATTATTTTAAATTTTTGTCTTTATTTCAGTTCATATATAGTATAATGGTCATCGAAATACTCTAGCTTAAAAATGAATAATATGATTTCATCTTCCATCAACAACATATCATTGTCTTCGTTAACTTCTTTATCATCAATTCCATCTAATAATAGCAACAGTAACAGCAACATCAATAACAGCACTTACAATAACCATAACACTCCTAATTTTTATGGTGACCATGATAATCATGATAACCATGACATTCCTCATGTTCAAAAGCCACTCACTCAACTGAAATCTGATGATTGGGAAGAAAAAGGCGCTGCCCAACTTATTAAAACAATTAAGAGCTCCGATGGGAAAAGCATAACAAGAATCATTAGAAGATCTGTCAAAGACTTTGAATTTGGTAAAACCTTAGGTGAGGGTTCCTATTCAACTGTTAAGTTATCTTTGGACAAAAATACCTCCAAATACTATGCTATCAAAATCTTGGATAAACGTCACATCATTAAAGAAAAAAAGGTCAAGTATGTTACTATCGAAAAGGATGCCCTAAACAGGTTGTCTTCAATTAAATCTCAAAATGCCTATCCAAATGGAATTGTTAAATTATATTTTACTTTTCAAGACGAAAACTGCTTATATTTTGTTCTCGATTATGCTTCAAATGGTGAACTACTATCTTTAATTAAAAAATACGGCTCGTTAAATGAAAACTCAACAAGATATTTTGCTGCTCAAATCATTGACGCTTTGGAATTCATGCACAATAATGGCGTAATCCACAGAGATTTAAAACCAGAAAATATTCTATTAGATTCCTATAATCGAGTCGAAATAACTGATTTTGGAACTGCAAAATTACTCCTAAAAGACCCTACAACAGACCTCTATCCCAAAGATACAAAAGCTTATTCTTTTGTTGGAACCGCTGAATATGTTTCTCCAGAATTATTAAATGACAAATATTCAGGAAAACCAAGTGATATTTGGTCCTTTGGTTGCATTCTTTATCAATTAATCGCAGGAAAACCCCCTTTTAAAGCTACAAATGAATACCTAACTTTTCAACAGGTTATGAAAATAAAATACTCTTTCACCGCTGGCTTTCCTTCAATTATAAGAGATTTGGTCAAAAAAATTCTAATATTAAAACCAAGTAAAAGACTAACCATCAACCAAATCAAAAATCATTTTTTTTTCAATCAAATTGATTGGAATAATAAACAAGAATCGGTTTGGTATCATCCTGGCCCTGAACTTGGCCCATATAAATTTTCAGCTCAAGCAATGAAACAAGTACCTCAACTATCACCTATCAATAATAATAATGCAAATATTATTACCCAGAAAGTATCATTAACTCCTCCTAAGCTTATTATAGATCAAAAACTGAATAAAACTAAAATTAACAATTTTGTTCCAAATAAAAATGTCAACAATATCAAACCTTCAAGTCCAATATACAGTAGCGATACAAAATCAATAAGAGATTTTAAACTGCCATCTCAACAGCAACAAAAACAATCTACAAAAAAGGATATCATAGTCAATAAAAATGCCCAGAGTGCCGCTGCCGCTGCTGCTTTGAATATATCTGATTCTTCATCTCAACCACTAAAACAAATCTCAGTAAAACCAGCCATAACTACCAATTTTCTTTCACAAAATAAACAATATTCTCCCAAAAAATATATTAATAACAATAATAATGACACTTCCGAAAATGATTTTAAAGAAGTCAAATATAATACAAATAATAGCTCAAACAATCAACTTAAATTATTTATAGCTCCTGAGGTATCTTCCATTACTCTGAATTCATCTGAATCATCCGTTTCTTTAATTTTCACTTCAGATACCGTTGAACCGATGAATTCAATTGATATATTCTGGGCAAATTTTTTAAAACATCCTGATGAAAGAGTTCTTAAGGTAGATAATGTTTTATTTCACGCTCTTTCCGTTGAAACCTTTGAAAAAAAATATAAAGGCATGCTAGCTAATTCACCGCTTTACTATAATGGGAAAAAGAATTCAACTTTTTTCAACACAAGTTCAGGTTTCAGTTTATTAACTCAAGTTGCTAACGGTTCTTCATCAGGTTTGAGAAGAAGCTCACTCAATGATCCAAAACAAATTAGCCTATTGAATGAAGAATCAAGAAAATTAGATAAAGCAATTAAACACTTTAATGGTCCCAAGAACGAAGAAAAAAATGATGAAATTAAAAATGATGACACACAATACCATTCAAAGGGTTCAACTCTTTTTAAAAAATTTTTAAGTAAGCCATTTTCTGTTAATAATTTACCAGAAGAAAAAGAAACTAGGATTATGATGGTTACCACTTTTGGCAGAGTTTTGTTGCTAACTAGAAAATCAAACTCATCTAGCACTTCTTTATACAATTCTGCGGCCAATTTATATTCTTTAAAAACTGAAATTGATTTATCAAACCCTCTGATTAGAGTCAAAGAAATAATATTTGATAAAAGAACAAACCAGGTTACAAGTAATATTGGGATATTTGCGATAGAATCTTCTCATCAAGCTTTATTATTTGAAGTTTCAAAATTCGAAACTAACCCTTGGACAACATGTTTATTAGAATCAAGAATTAGCTTTCAAAATCGTAATATGAACATTATGATTGAAAATGACCCACCAGCTTCTACTGGTATGAAAACTGGCACTGAAGCTGCACTTAATGCTGCTTTATTGGCAACAAATTACAATCTTGATAATAATAATAATAATAATAATAATAACAATAATAGTAATAATCGTTATCAAAATAGCAATAACAATAACAACAGGAATGATGATGTTATCATTACTAAAATCAAAAATAACAGCACTAATAATCTTAGTAATTTTTATAAAAATGGGGACCACTCAATTTCTGCTTTTATTAATCATGACAATTCACCTGCTTTAATAAATCATAAAAGTAGTTTAAGCTCAACAAATATTAATTTGACTTATCCTGAATCAAAGAGATCATCTAAAAGCTCAGATATGTTGGATTATTCTTATCTAGTCTCAAAGCTGCAAGTGAGTGAAAAACAATCTATTACGAGTCCTAAACAATCGAAGTTTCATTTAAGATCATCATCATCATCATCAGTAATTCATAATATGAAGAGGAAATCAGATTATGGAACTTCAAAACCAGAGAGAATGTTGGCTACAAAAATTAATTCAAGGGTTTCAATTGACCATAGACATTCTCACAATAAGCCATTATCGAAACCTGGGAAATTGACCTATGGTTTACCGGCTTCTACAGCAAAACTACTAAACTCATCCAAGTCAGTTCCATGCTCTCCTGTTTTATCGCAGCATAACCCATTTGAGGTTGGTAAGCAAAAGACACCCTCAAGTTCACGACCAGCCTCTGCCAATACTCAAAGACATGGAGCAACAAGAACTACGTTGAGGAGTCCACGCCATAGCAAATCTGCTTCAAATATCTCATACAATAAAGCCACAGCGTCTAATTCACAGACACAGGCGGTGTCGAATAATATCAAAGCAGCTGCAGAAGCAGCAGTTGGATACCAAACACTAGATCCATCGACTCAAACAGGGGATTATACGCTGACAAGTAATGACAATAATGGCTATTTTGGAAAAAACTATATTGATGATAACAGTTATGGTAGCAGTAGTACAGTTGGGGTAAGGCCTAGTGGGTATAATAGGAAAAGTCGAACAGAAAATGATATTTTGTCAAATTTGAATAGAAATGGAACTGCAAAGGTCATAACCAGTTTGAATTCTAAGTTTTTACAAAGAAGTGAAAGAAACAAGAGGTGAGTACAAAGTGAATTGATTTTGCATTGGGGGATTAATTTTTTGGGTTGTGAGTGGAAAACGACACGCCGATTGGGCAGTATTAATTTTCATTTTGATGATTCCTATATTATATACAAATTAATAAATCATTAATTGAAGCAAATATTTTGAGTGGGGAGAATGGTAGAAATGCGTTAATTTTAGTAGATTTAGATACAAGAAACAAAGCGAGAAAGTTAATGAAGAAAAGATTGATTAAATATAAGATACAACTAATACATATATATTCCAAAAGTGAAAAATTGAAGGGTTGATAAAAAAATAAACCAAAAAAGTAAATTGAATGAGAAAATAAAAATAGCATAGTAAATATTTAAAAAATTTAAGTTTTTAAAAATGAATAAAAAAGTTAGAGAGATAACAAAAGAAATAAAAGCCAAAAAAAGTAAAAAAAAAAACAAAAAAAAAACAATGATAATTTTTTTTTAAAAAATCATGTTAAATTATTTGATTTCAAATTTGAAATTGAAAATAATGATACTTTGAATCTAATAGTTTAAGAAAAAGGCAATTTCTAATTATAACATCAAAGAAATATAAGTTAAAGCTGAGATGAAACCTATTACAGATACAGTGATTGAGGCATCATAGTTGTGGTTGTTTAGCAAGTTTCTAACAGGGTTGTAGAGGTTTGAAGCAGCATCAGCGGAAGAGGTTGAAACTGAAGAAGTTTCATCATCTGAGTCAGCGGCAGAACTTGAACCAGAAGAGGATCTTGAGGAAGAACGTCTTGTGGATGAGCCAGCACCACCGGTAACACCATCTATATAGGCGGCAGAGGCATCGGCGTCAGCACCTTCATAACACATCCATTGAGAGTTTTCCAAGTCAAAACCAAAAACTTCACCAGCACCATTTTTCAAGTAATCTTCAGCACCTTCTGGCATGTCAGGCAAAGAGCCTCTGGCACTTGGTTCCCAGTTGGTAGAGGAAGAAGGACAGGTGGAGATATTGTTTGATTCAGTGTATCCACCATCGCCGGATGGGTTAGAGACAGAGGCGTACATTTTCTTGAGATTTTCGAAATCGGACAATTTCTTGATAGATTCATCATCATTAATTTCAACTAAACCATAGTTATTGTCTTCCATTGAGTATTCGTAAACTAAACCACCAGAGAAAACATGAGTCATATCTTTAGAGTAAAGAGCTTCAATTTCATTGAAGGGTCTTGATTCTTTGACTTCATTACAACCGAATTCCGAGAGGAAGATTGGAATGGAGTAGTTTTCGTACATTTTAACTTTTTTATCCCAGCCAGACTTTTTAAAGGTTGATTCACCACACCACGAGTAATCGTTAATACCAAGGAAATCGGATCTTGCCATTTCATCAGTACCACAGTTAAAGTAAGCGGCAACTTCTTCTCTGTTTTCTTCAACATCGGCGGCAGAGTAACCTACAGGAACTTGACGATATTTTCTTGATTTCATGTAGTTTTTCAAGTCTCTGACAACGGCTTTGATATAAGGAGCAGTATTTGTAGTTTCGTCATCGTTGATAACTTCATTGGCGGCAAAGTAACCTAAAACGTTTGTGTAGGAACTGAAGGCATCAATGGTACCAAATAATTCTCTTAAGTAGTATTGGTTATAAGAACATTCAATTCTTGATGATTCTCTATTTAAGGAGACACCAGGCAAGTTTAAGTCAAGAACTAAATAGATACCGGCTTTGGTTAATAAATTCATGCAGTAATCGTGGTCTTGAGTTGAGTCTACGGAATAAATTCTGATTGTGTTGATACCCAATTCTTCAAATAATTTGATGTCTCTTTCGCAGACTTCTTTATCGGCCAAGGGATCAATTAAGTTAGAGGGACCACCAGGTTGATAATCAACACCTCTGATGTAGAATCTTTGGTTATTTTCAGTATCCCAGAAGGCGTTACCTTTGACTTCAATAGCAGGCAAATCAGCGGATTGGACGAATTTAGTGAAGGCTAATAAAGCCAATGAGTAGAAGAAACCTTTCATTTTGGTAGAAATTTAAAGTAAAGTTGGATTATAGGTGGATAGATTTTAAGTAAAGAGAAATAAAAGATATTATTATTATTATATTAGTCTTATCAGAGAGAGTAAGAAAAGATAAACGAGTAGTAGATTAAGAGATGCTTGAATATAACCAAAATAAAAACGATTATAATATAAGTGAGCGGAAGAGAATCTGAGGCCAGAAAGGTTTAAAAAGAAGGACAATGGTTGGCTGTGAAAACAACAAGGAGATGGAGGATATAAATACAAAAATTATCCAGCGGCAGGGCTTGGTTAGTGGGAGAGAAGAAGAAGAAGGAAGAGAAAATCTGGGATAAATGCAGCACTTTTATAAATAGAAGAAAACGCACCGCAGTGTTTACCTCTGAAAAACTCCAAGAAATGCTCCAAGACTTCCAAGCTTTGAAGACTACCTCTCACAGCGTTGGCTTGCGGATTGGCCTGTGAAACAGCAGCGTATCCGCGCCCATGCAGAGAATACGCCTGGGAACGCGTGGACCTGCGTGGTCGCAAAAGTTCAACACAGCCTCAACAAACACGGTCTGTGATCGGACAGGCGCTTGGACCGCGCTCAAGCCGCTCTTAAATGGTCTTGAAGCTGCTGGTGCTGACGGTGGTGTCTGTGCTGTCGAGAATGGTGGGAGCGCTGGTGCTCGTGGCTTTGCCGCGGGGGCAAGCCGAGACGTCTGTGGTAGAACTGAAAGCGGTGATTTCGCTGGGCTCATTCCACCCACCCAGCTATGCTTCGTCATCTGGTGCGCGTTGGAAGCCAAGACCCTCCAAGACCCTCTAAGAACACCGCAATGAACAGCGTCTTTGTTTGCAAGGCCAGAACTCTATCTTCCCCTGCTACACATCCAGCACAGAACCAGAGCAAACGGTGCGCGAACAGCCGGTTCCGTGGGCCTCTGAGAGAGCATAACATTGATCTCATTTACCCATCAGCAGATTTGGCAGCAAAATGAATGATTGTAAGCAGGCAGAAATCAGAAATAGCCCACCTCAAAGCAACCGCCGAACATAGCGAATATACGACAATGCAAAGTGGTCACAAATGCGAAAAGACGGTTTTGAGTCTTGTCTGTCGACTGGCTTCGTTTGAGGTTTTTTGTTTGTAATTATGTTGTTTCAGAGTGTTTCTTGTTTTCTTTGCACCATTTTATCGTCTTATTTCAGGATAGCGTTTTGTTTTGTTGGATTTGTTTTATTGTTCATGTTGCTGCTTTATCATTGCTTTTTGAATGGAGATCTGAGATCTGAAATCTGAGATTGAAGGCGTTTCCATGGTTTCTTTTTCCAGGATCTGGATTGAGTGATCCTGTGATGCTGTAATATTGCCCTGACACAGTTCTGATTTGCCTTTTCGGCCGGTTCTGAAACAGACCCCTCCAGTCAAATCCGCGCCAAAACACGGGACTACAAACGAGAAACGCGGGCGAAACTTTCCACCAAACCACTGGCCGTTTAAGAAAACACAATATAATAAGACATTACGTAATGTTTGGCTTTTTCCTCTCTCGGAAAAATCCATTCGCTAAAATACGTCAGTTATTTCTTTAACTGTTTACATTTGTTTTTATCAACTACACCCAAAACACTGCCCTGCACTGGTTTGATCCAATACAGATATATCAAAACATGTCTGAGCTAATTCCATTACCAGAATCTTTGAAAGAGGCTATCGATCCTTATTTGCCAACAGATATTTCTCATCACAATGCTAATAATAACTGTGGGAGTGAAGGCGATGAAATTCTCGACGATAATAATAGACCATTGCCTTTCATCACACTAACGTTTGCTCAATCATTAGACTCTCGAATCTCATTAGGAGAAGGAACTCAAACCAAATTGTCTCATTTGCAGACAAAAACGATGACACACTACTTGCGATACAATCACGATGCAATTCTTATCGGAATTAACACCTTTCTAACAGACAATCCTTCTTTAAACTGTCGATATAATCCGGAAAATGTCCACCCTATCAGACCTATTATAATCGACCCCAATATGAAATCCTGTGCTGCAAACAACTACAATTTCTCAAATCTAAACCAGTTGGCCTCCAAAAACATGGGATTGTCGCCTTACATTATAGTGTCGATGCTAACCTATCTCAATCTCAAATCCGATATTGATCAGTTGAACAATTCACACTCAGGTCCCACAATAATCCCAATCAACACAACTAAAGTCAAATACTCTAATAACATAGAGCTATTTGATTGGCCCCATCTTTTCTCTCTTTTGAAAAATCATTATCATATAAATAGCATCATGATCGAAGGCGGTGCTTTCGTGATAAACAACCTTCTATCCTACAACTTCAACCTAATCAACTCTTTAATTATAACAATAGCCCCCGTTTATTTAGGCAAAAATGCAATCCAAGTCTCTCCGGATTTTCATTTATCCCTATTGAACAACCATAATACCAACGACCGAAACAATTTGACTTGGTGGACTGGTATTCAAGATTCGGTTCTAATGTTCAGAAATAAGTAAATAATACATCCTTCATATCCAATCCTCTTCTATATATAATCACACATATACATTCATATATAGACGTAATCATACACCTGCATATATACTCAAAAACATATTCTATAACTGGCATATCGTCCTGCTGTTTCACTTCTTCTGATGATCTTAACCACTTGCCCTCGTTTCAATCCCAAATAACGCGCAACTGGATCCTCCTTTTGTATTCTTGGTAATTGATTCTCTTTCAATCGATATCTCTCCAACAATTCCTTTTTTTCCTCGTTCGACAACTTGATATGCTTTGGAACCAACTCATGATGGGTAATATTAACAATCAATTCCTTTTCCATAAATTTCTCAATAACTGCTGGTGCAGCATTGGGAAAAAACTTCAATGCTGATGGCGTAATCCCATTTTGATAAACAAATATCCCAGTTGAAAAATTTTTTTCCACCAAATGACTACACAACTCTCGTATCTCTTTAACACTCACATTTGGCTCTTCCGAAAATTCAACCCACAAAGATCCTAAATCATTAAACTTGGACAATGCTTCATCTGCTGGAAAAGCTTGAAAACACATCTGTTTCCTTTGAGGCTTTCCCATACTATCACAAACATTTCTCTTAAACTCATCTAAACTAATCTCAATTTCTTCTCTTGATATATTATATCCTCTATCTCTCACCATTTCCTTCACGGTTTTATAAACTCTCCACAAACGAGAGGCTTCTCTTTCTGTTTCATCCATTGTCTATTGCCTATTGTTTATTGTTTATTGTTTATTCTCTATCCTCTATTCTCTATCTTCTATTATCGGTTTCTTTTTGTTATTCTGTTATTCTAATTCTCTAGTTACTATTATTCTCCAATCTTCAATTTCTATTTTAAACAATTTTATAAAAAATTATTTGTTTTTTTTTCAACTTTTTCATCACGTGGTTTACGGTTTAAATCCGAAAAATTTTATTCAATTTTCTACTTTAATTTCAATTGAGTTGAGTGGTTGAAATTAAACTAAACATTTATCTCCTTCAAATTCACCCAATTTACCCAATTCACCCAATTCAAACTGTTTTTTATATATTTTTTAGGACTCATTGCTTGTTTCTCATTGCTTTCCTACTACAAAATGTCCTCTAATTCAAAAGAACAAGCTGTCTTTCAAGCCGTTGAAAGTGGTGCTTTTAAAAATGCTCATCAATTGATAACAAAACTCTTGAAAAAGAGTCCCCAAAATACTTATTACATGTCAATCAACTCTTACATTATTTACTTACTAGGTAAAAAAGACGAAGCCATTAAAATGGCTATTGACATAATGAACTCTAATCCTAATAATATTAAAACAATCAAATTTCTACACAACTTTTTTAAAAATTCAAATCTAATAAAAGAATCAAATCAAATCTTTGAAAATGCTGTCAAAAATTTTCCCAATAATTTCGACTTGATCAATGAATGGAACGAAATCAACCTCCAAGAATTAAATATCAGAAACCTACAAAAATCAAGCGCTTATTTGCAAAAAATTAACATTCAAAAGACTATAAAAAGAGATTTGATCTTAAACTCTTGTTTCAATTACTACTTGGTATCAAATTTAAAAGATGCTACACCTTTTGAGAAAAACTTATTCCCAAAATTAGGTTTGAAGCTAATTGATTCAATCAAACCCTTAACTACAACCCAAGAATTATTTATTCAAGTCTCATTATTAAAACAATCTAATCAAAACAAAGAAATCGTTCACGTTATTGATGTTTTTAAATCAAAATCAAAGTTAGACTTGAATCTACAAATCATTTACCTAAATTCCCTCTCAATTTTAAATGAAAATTCAAAATTATTTGAATTTTGTACCAACTTGATTATAAATGAAAATTTCGACGATTATGATACTTGGATATATTTCTATAATTCATCAATTCAACTAAATAAATTAGATCAATTTACCGATTTAGTTAAAAAATTTGAAACTAAAAACAAAAATTCAAGAAATATTAAATTAATTCAAATTTATATGCTTGATAATGATTTGCAAAACAATAACAATAATAATTTTCAACCTTATGAAAATTATCTCTTAAAATTTGCTGTTAAAAATTGTTGCTTTTATGATTTGAGATCATTTTTTAATAGTAAATCTTTTAATCAAGAAAAAATTTTCAAGTTTTTGAATCAAGACCAATATAAACTATTAAAAATTGAAGATTTGCTCAAAAAAAATAAAAAACCAACTTTAAATCAAATCACTTGGTTAGTTAATTTACAAAAATTTAAAGCATATTTTAATAAAGATAAATTACTATCACAATCTAATGATAATGAATTTAAAGAAAAATTCTTAAGTGATAATATCAATTATTACAATTCATCTAAAGTATTATTGAATGAAAAACTTGAGACTGATTACTTTATTGCCGATGAATTTCTATTTTTAAACTTGCAAATATATCTAAACAATAACACAAACGATGATAAAACGATTTTAAGTTCCATTGTTATACTAGAATATCTTCTTGAATCAGATAAACATGAATTTCATTTAAAATTGTGGTTGGTTGTTCTTTACAGACAGTTGAATTTATTCAAAAGTGCAATTGGTATTTTCAAAACATCATCAATTAAATCAATGCAACATGATACATTAGATTATTATATTTTCAACAAGTTATCGTCAACATTTCCAAGATCAAATTATTTTTTAATTAGAGATTTCTTTAAGGATAACAGTAAGTTTTACAGTCAAGAAAATCAATTTGATTATTTAAATTATTATCTCGAGCAATCTTATGCTAAGAAATCATTTTCTCAAATTGAAGATATGATTTTATTTGTTAATAGACTTAAAAACTCATCTTCAAGATACTTGGCTTTATTTGAAAGATTCACATTTAATAAAATTAATAAAAGTTCAATCAACGATTTTAAAAAAGATTTAATACAGTTGAATAAAAAATATTTAGAAATAGAGAATACAGAATTTTTTGATAACAGAGATTTTACAACAATATGGGAATTTGGATTCAGTGAGGAATTGAATAATATAAGTGAAAATTTGGAATTTTTTTCCAAGAGGAACGAGAAAAATTCTTCTGATTTCATAAAGTTGAATTTATTCAAAACCGTTTTAATTTATAATAATGAAAAATCAATTGGGGAAGTCAACGAGTGTTTTAAGAAGTATGAAACATTATATGAAGACAAAATTGAGAAACTTGGATTAACTGAAGTTGAAAAAATTGGTTTTCAAGTTATATATTTGTTGTGCAAATTTATAATTCAAAAGGATAAGATTTACTTGAATCAACTTGAAGAAATATATTCTAATGAAAGAATTTTCAAAATGATTAAAGAGAGTTTTTCTAAAGAAAAACATGAATTAATCAACTGGAAAGACAATCATTTATTAATAACATCAATTGAACTTTTAAATGATGTGAATAAGTTACTTATCAATTATGATAGCAAGATAAGCAGCAAGTTTAGAAAAAATATTAATAAGCTTAAAAGTTGCAATAATGATTGTCTTAAGAAAGTCAAAGAGTTTAAAGACAATTTGATTTTGAAACAAAAACCAGAAAATGAAAATGTTTTAAAAACATATCAAAGAGAGATTGAAGAAAGTGAATTAATTAAAGAGTTGAAGATCGAGAAAAAATTTATTGCAAAAATATTTGATAACATTAGAGAAGATTATCATGAAAACTTTGTCTTGTATAAGGTGATATAAATCTTTAAGAAATAGAATTTATTTTTGAGTTAATATATATATATATAAGAAATGGATTTAAGAATAAAAGTATAAAAATGATAATGAGGGAAGACCCAAAAATAGTTGAAAATATTCTAAAAACATAATAATAGAAATGCGATAATAGAAATATAATAATAATAATAATAATAATAATAATAATAATAATAATAGAAATATAATAATGCATGCCAATAACCTAACCCGAAAAGTGATATAGTAAAAGTGTAATGATAGTATAGTAGTGCAAATAGAGAGATAAAAAAGTGAAAAAAAAAATCAATAAAGATTTAAAAAGCAGAGATGAATTGAAATAATGATATTTATGATAATAATGATACTAGTGATAATGATGGTAATGTAGGTTGTTGTTTTTGTTTTTTTAATTTATGAATTGAATAGCAGATATTAATTTAATCACAGTTGACAAGATCAATGATTTTGAGATTAATTTCTGTGCATTGAGTACCGATAGATTCATCATATAAATTATAAAAATTACCAGATAAACATTGATAAAAAATAGCTGAGTCACCAAGAGCCAAATAACCATCTGAAGTGATGCTCCAACCAGCGGCAAAAATGGTACCAGCTTGTGGAGGTGGACCATCAAATTGGAATTGTCTATTTGAGACGATTGAACCTATTCTACCAAAGGCGTCAATTAAAACCGAATCTTTTAAATTTAGTGCAAGAGTTGAATCAGTTAAACAAGCGACTGGGTGTGGAGTATTTGGAGCAAGGGTAGTTGTGGAACAGATGGTTGTAGTGGAAGTTGTTGAGAACAGTAAAGAGGTTTCGGAGCTTGAAAAATCATGAGATGAGCTTTGAGGATATTGTTGGGTTGTTGTTGATTCAGAAACCTGAGAATAAGAAGAAACTTGAGGAATTTCAGAAATTGAAGAAATTTGAGGAAGTGAAGCAACAGAAGACACTGATAATGAAGATGTTTCAGTAGTAGCTTGAATTTGACCATCAGAGATTTGAGAAATGAGGACAATGGGAATTGAGTGTGATTGAGTGACGGCGGTTGAGGTAGAAAGAGAAGAATCGTTGGGCGTTTCAGTTGTAGCCTGAATTTGACCATCGTCAATTTGGGAGACCAAGACGTTTCTTTTATTTAAAGCCGAAACAGCATGACAAGAGGATGGGGTTTGAATAGGAACCACAGCTATACCAAAAGTTGAAGAATAATCTACAATGCCGTTTTTTAAAGTTGACGAAGGAGTTAAAGTTGACCAAGGATCAGAAGGAATATAAGCGCTTAAAGAAAGAGAAGCTAAATTGAGGATTGAAAGAGAGAGAATAAGTTTAAATGAATTTTTTTGGTACATTTTGGATCAAATAAAAGATTTAATAAAGAATTGATAAAGAATTGATAAAGAATTGATAAAGAATTGATAAAGATTCAATAAAGATTCAATAAGAAAGGGGAAAAAAAAGTAAAAGTAAAAGGAAGGAGGTTTTGTCAATTTAAATGATTCAATTAAATGAATAACGATTTAGTTAATTTATTTAGTTAATTTAGTTAAATTAATTTGGATTGAGTTGAGTTTGTTAAGTGATTGAATGAATATTTTATGAAATATAGATTGAATTAAAAGAAAAGAAAAGGATGAATTGATAAAAGAAAAGAAAAGAAAGAAAAGGAAAAGAAGAAAAGGGGGAAAGGAGGGTCTATATATATAGCAAAATCAGTTAGAACAAATTGAAGCAGAAGGTGGAAAACCAGCAAAAGCAGCTTCGGTCCGATGCGACGATACCGGAAGGGCACCGGATAACGATGGAGCGGATTGGGCTCGGATATGCACCGGCGGATAGAGACCGGAGAGGATATAATGGAGAAAGAACGTTGGATTCAATATGTAAGAGATAAAGAGGCAAACAATTAATAGTAAAGGATACTGACTAGATAATAGATAATAAACAATACACTATAACGAAAAAGATCTAAAGCAATTAAACAGAGTAACAGCGGATCATCAATGAGTTTAGCAGAAGGAGTTATAAATGATGCAGGAAGAGAAGCTGAGTAACAATGATGGTGTGAGTATAATACAGGCTGAATGACATAATGAAAATGAGATGGAATAAGAAAATTGAAGATTAAAGATGATTTGATTTGATTTGATTTAATGTAATTTTGGTTTTTTGTGCAATTTTTGAAAGAAATTATTCCACAAGCTTATTTTCAATGCAAATTGAACAAAAGTTGTGAAAACAATTTGGACAAAAGCTATCACACCATTGGAAAAAGGGTCTAACTAAATCATCCTTTTCAATGTATTCATCTAATTCAAAGATGTTGTCGTTATTACCACATTTGCAGCATTTCCATTTAATTGAGCCGTTTTTTAATAATTGTTTGGTTAGTTTTCTTGATACTGGGTATAGTTCTTTATTTGGGTATTTATCAAACTGTTTTGTTTCAACTAAAGTTTCTTCACTTTCAATTTTCTTTGCAGGTCTTTGAATGTTTTTAGCTTTTGGCACCATTCTATAATATTTTCCATTCATGTAGACTAGTTTACCCTTTTTATTACTGTCTTGAGACGAGGAGCCCTTTGATCTCTCGGACGAGGAATGGCTGGCGACTTCGTTAATAGTGTTATCATTTGAATTTGGATTTGGATTCGAGTTGGAAGCACTGTCTAATGTGAAGCTTTTTCTTCTAGAATTTTTGATTTTGAATAAACCCATAGCCATTAGGAATAAAGCAGATGATTAGTATATCAGTAGTAGATTAAATGAGTGGGTTATATATATAATAGTAAATATATAACAAAAAGTACAATAAGGATATTTCAAAATTAAAAACCAAGAAAAGAAATATAAAGGAAACAAAAGAAATTAGTGGATTAGTAATTCCAGGAGAGGAGAAAACTTGTTAAATATATATTCAACTATCGCAATAAAATATTCCTATTCATATTCTATAGACTGTCTTTTTTATTAAAAATGAGACTGAAAATGAAATTAAAATTAAAATTAAAATAATTAAACTTAATAACGAGGTTCAATATTCAATTAAGTCTCAGATACTTTACATGTATGTAAATGACAAAGTATTGGGATTCAAAGAAAGTAAAGCTGATTGGCAAATCTTAAAAAAAGAGATTCATTTCTTCCCTTTGAGTTACAACCTTTGATTCAAGTGTATAATCCCATATTTTGCTCATATTTTGCTCACATTTTGTTTATATTCTGTTCATATTTTGCATATAAGTTCTTATTATTTCTCATGATTTCTTATGTTTGCTCTTACTTTTCAGAGTTTGCCATATGAAGACTGATTTGAGTTGGTTGAGTTTGACCAATGTTGAGACTAAAATACCCCATTTACAGGCGCGCTTTGAGAGGTTAGCAAAACGACATTACTGTTCTTGCGCAACTGCTTAATTGGACACTTGATGAACTCTGGGAGAGCTCCATAACTTAGAGCTTTCATAGCTCACATAGCTCATAGCTCATAGTTCAGATTGCTGTCTGTGGTAGTGTTGATGATCGTGCTTGGTGAATGTTCGGGCACGGCATCGAAAAACCACTCAGCTCCCCCAACCAAACAGGACCTACAGATGCCGCGGCCACGGTCTGCGTGTGGGAGGCACCACAAGCAGTAACATAAAACCCGCCTTTATGGGACATGTGGTGGGCAAAGAGGCAACGAAAGAACCGTTGAAGGCTTACCGGCGACAAAGACCGTTTTCACGCTCGGGAAGCCACAGGCCCTGAGCTCTGATTGGCCACCGGCGCCTTTTCCAGAGCATCTCCATCCAGCATAAGTATAGGATATCTACGGTCTATGGTATATTGCAGTATCAGCTCATTCCAGGCTATCGTTACTTTTTCACCCCTGGAAAATTGTCTTTGGTTGTTACCAAATAATGCCACTGGCCAAAACTTAATGAGAGCGGTTGAGCTGGCTGGTTTTTTTTCAGGTTTTTCAAATACACTTCTCTAACACGGAAAAACGGTTTCTGCTGTTAAAATTAACAAAAACTCTAACTCTAACTAACACTAAGCTGAGACATCTACATTTTAAATGGCTTCGTTAACAATTTCTTCCCTAATAGGTCAAGTTGTTGCTCAATATTCTTAGCACCTGTGTATTAACATTTAATGATCTATAAGTTAATGGAAAGTCTAAAAATGATTGAAAATGGTTAAAAATTTACACATGTTATTGTTAATCTATTAGTTGTCTAAATAAAAATAACACAATGTTTAATAAACCATCATATTAAAATACTACCAAATTAATCAAAAAAAAAAACAACCGCAATAAAACAAAAGAAAAAAAACCAACAACAACAAAACTTGAAATTGTTTTATTAGTAATCTAGTGCATAAAACTCTAGAATGATCATAAATTAGATCATTAGATCAATTGATTAATGATGAATACTAACAATTTTTTGTTATTCCATATTATTAATGACTTTCATTGAGTTTATATAAAGCGCTTCAATAAATATTCAAATATTTATTGTTTTTTTCATTTCTTTTAACACCATAATACTATCTCACTATTTATCATTTGGGATTTTGTTTTCAGTGTTAAATCTTAGATTAGAATTTATTGATACAATAAGTTAAAAACCGTTTTGTTCTCAACGGTTATGCATGATATGCGTCGAGCCGCAGATCAGTCAGTTGTTTTTTTGATAAATAAACAGATAATTAACCAGAATCTGAAAAGAATATAATATTTCACAGTATAATCCTACGGTTCAATACTGTATCATTAATTGTGATAAAGGATATATTCATATAATAAAATAGCCATGTACTCATATGTCTATATGCCCATACAATCTTATAATCAGATATTCATATAGTTTTAGAATAAAGCGAACTTTATAAAGACATTGTCACCAAGTTTTGTAATTAATTGAGCAATCATTGATCAATTTTCAATCAATTTTCAATCAAATTGTGGTCAAATTGTGATCTAATTGTAGTCACAACTAAACAGAAAAATAGAAATAGGAAAGAATAAATTACTTGATTATATTCTGATTTGATCCAACACGTAACTGTCTTAACTTAGTTTAATTAAATACAAATAAAATTGAACGCTTAGTTAACTTGCCGATTTCAATTAATTCTTTATTTTTGGATTTTTAAATTTTATTTAAAAAGTAATTACAAGTAATTGAAGGTTTTATTTTATTATTTTATTATTTTATTATTTTAAACCAATTTTTATCCTTTTTTTACCCACTTTTAGCCCATTAAAAATATTTTCTTATTAATTTTACCCAAGTTCAAACAGCTTTTATCGCTGTTACTTTAAATGAAAAGAAAAAAACTACCAGAATGGCCCACTAGCAGTTTTTTTAATTGTATTACCTCAATTTCAATTCATCAATAAAACAGCATTTTATATTAAAATTTCATATCAAAAATATAAATTTCTCTCATTAGTATAATTCATTAAAAACAGTTATTATTTAATATCAACAGTATTATAACAAAACATAAGATATACTTACATAAGAAAACGTGATAATTACATAAACACATCAGATCAGCAATATTTACTTTTTTTTTATTTGTTTATGATTCACTTCTGGTAGCATTTTTGGGGCATTGATCTCGTTTAGCGCGTACGAAACGTGATTACCCAACAATGTTGGCTCAGAAAGGAGAAGCGATATGAGATGAGATAAAATCAATCATGGGGCTATATGAATACAATCTAGACATGTAAGATATAAGATAAAGAATCAAAAATAAAAGATAAAGGATAACTGCTCATTCAAGTTGCCATTCTAATCCCACCAAACAATACACGTTAATAACAATAATACACATTAATAGCAATAATAATAGCAATAATGCCTAAATATTATTATCAAGAGGATTATTTCCTAAAATTTAGTCCACTTTATAATCAGTATCAGCAGGTTGGATTAACAAATGAAGTAGATACTTTAGATTCCTTAAAATACTATAAACTACATCTCCACGAGATATTGTTTTCTGTTTTGTTTTATTCAATCTGTTTTTACTTATCACCAATAATCCTAAAATATTTATTAAAGGAAAATTATACAAAACTAAAGAAATCGACAAAAGTGAATTTCGACATTCATTTTGTTTCCATGATTCAATGTATAATCTCCAATCTAATTATTATGCCCTTGTTTCAAGATCCTGACTTGAAAGCAAAGCGATTTACAAATTATACACCATATGCAGGATTAGTTTCATCTTTAACCATTGGATATTTTATTTGGGATCTAATTATGTGTATCTTTTATTTCAAACTATTTGGTTTTGGTTTTCTATTGCATGCTGTTAGTTCATTAATCGTTTTCACCTCAACTTTAAAACCCTTTTTAATGTACTGGATTCCAAGGTTTTTAATCTTCGAATTGAGCTCACCTTTTGTTAATATTAACTGGTTTGTCAACAAGTTGCCTAGTGATTTTGTACCTCTAAAAGTTCAAATTATTAATGGGTTATTATTAATTGTGACATTCTTTTCAGTAAGAATAGTATGGGGGTTCTATGCAGCATATAAAGTGATTGAGGACTTTTGCTTTAATTGGGAGAAACTTGATCTGATCTCAAGAAGTTTAGGAGTGTTTGTAATGGCACTAAATATTGGATTGGACATTTTAAATGTATTCTGGTTCCAAAAGATGATCTCTATCGCAATAAAGCATATCAGAGGGGATACAAAAAAAAAGGGCTCTCATTCGGCATCCAAGCTCCAGTCCATCGTCAAGGAGAAGTCTGATCTGAAGGAAACACAGGAGTGCTCTGACTCTTCCACATCTCTTTCTTCTGCTTCTTCTGCTTCTTCCTCTTCCTCCAATTCGTCTGTTTCTGCTTCCTTTGTGAAAACATCCAGAAACAGAAAGACCTGAGAAGTCCGCTGCGGAGTTAGTCTATGTCCGGCAGAGTGTGTTTGTGTCCACACGTGCCCAAAATGTTTGATTACGCACTATTACATGTAGTCACTCTCACATGCATACATACGCGTGGAATCCAATGGAACATTTTCTCCGACAGATCACACAAACACATAACCGCAAATGCGCCATGGAATCTTCTGGAAACACTCATCTCTCCTCGCCAAACCGCTTATCCGACCCTGCAGAAGACGGGCGCACTGCCTCTTCTGTGTTTGATAAATGCACGTGAGACGGTGTACTCATTACCTCTGGAAGCGGGAGTGAGCTCGGATACCAGTTGCCGTGTGTTCGATAGCAGTGTTTGGAAAGTGTGGTGAAGCAGAACTGCTGTCTGAAAGCTGTTTGCGAACACCAGACAGCGTTTGCTTTCGCCAGAGCTGTTCTTTAAGCTTTTGTCTCTTTCAGTCCCATATTGTGTATTTATCTTGTATCTTATATCACATCTTCTTCTATCGCTTCTTCTATCATATCTCATATCTCATATCTCATATCTTCTATCTCATATCTCATCTCTTGTATCTCATATCCTATATTCTTTCTTCTCTTTTTTGTCCACCTCAATTGGTTTTCTGTTTCGTCTCAAACTTTGTCTCCAGTCCTGTTTTGGCTCATCTCAACAATTAATCACCTCTCCCATCAACTTCAGTGCCAATTATTCTTTTACTCTTCTTCAACTCTTACACTAATTAAAGAGACCTCATTTATTCAATTGGTTTTTTCAACAATCATTCAAACATTATTTATCCAGTTTATATTCTGAATATATCTGGAAATTTTACTCGTCAATTTTATATAAAACCCCACCAACTTACTTGAAGCTTTTTCTTTGCTCGCCATAAATAACAATATATTTTATACCCTTCATACCTTTCATATATATCACAATCACATATTAAAAGTAACTGAACCATCAAATTCAATTAAACTCGTACTCTACAAATGAACATATTCTCGTCTGAATTAATTTTTATCTATTAATCTTATCGTCCTTGGGCTTAAACTTATAAAACAAACTTAAAGTTTTCAAACAAAAAAAATTTAAAATTTCTCAATTTTTTTTTTAAATTCCAAAAAAAAAAGACAGTGAAGATACAGATATATATTGATTCATTTGATTATATTTATTATACTCACTAAGGTACAAACTTTTATATTCTATTTTATCCCATTATTTTAATTCATAATAATTTATAATAATTCACAATAATTTATATCTATATTTGTCATTATTTTCATAATTAACTAAATAAACATAAACAATTTTTTTCAACTCATTTAACCTATCCCCCCCAATGGATTCTTTAAATTACCAATCCAACAATAACACCAATAACAACAACAGCAGCAATAACAATAATAACATAAATATAAATGATTTTCCTCCAATTTTAAATGACATAGATTTGGATTCCATATCTTTACCCTCAAAATACTTAAATGGTGACTTGAATAGCAAAATTGAAAATTTAGATAATATACCCAATTTAAACAATTTAGAAAACATAAATGACATAAATGGCATAACTAATATGAACAATCTAGACAACATAGCTAACATGAACAATATAACAAATCTAAATAACATGGATAATTTACAATTGGATGATAACTTGCTTGACTTGAACAATTTAAACAATTCTAACAAAAATACAAATATTAACACTTTACATTCAAATCCAAATTCTCATACAAATTTATCCTTATTTTCTAATAGCATTAATACAAATTTAAACAGCAACAAAAACTTGTCTATCTCAAACTCAAACTCAAATTCAAATTCACCATCAAATCTCAATAACTTCAATTCAACTAATGACACTAAACCTCGCATATCCTCTTTAACTCCATCAGAAATGGCTATAGAATTGGTGGACCATATAAATAACCCAAACAACATTAACAATTTCAACAATAATATCAATAACAAAAATCAATTGGCAGCTTTTCTTTCCCCAAATAAATATTCAAATTTAAATCAATATTTACCTTCAAATTTTTATATTCCTTCCCAACAACAATTAAATTTATTAACCCAGAAATCTATCAATCAAAATAGGCTTAATTTAAATAATAACAACATTAATAATAACAACAATAATAACAACATCAATAATAACAATAATAACAATAATAATAATAATTCAATTAGCAATAGTAAAAACAACAACAGCAATAACAATAACAATAATATCAATAACAATAACAATAACAATAACAATATGAATTTCAATAACACAACAAATAATAGGAATAATAGGAATAATCAGAGTAATAACATCAACAGAAATAGAAACAAAAATATGAATTTAACGATAAACAGAAACAAAAAATTAAATAATAGAAACATCTATGATAACTCAAATCAAAACCTAAATAATGCAATTACTAATCTCAATAAAAATAACGAAATTAATTCGATAAATACATCCAATTTCGACTATAACTTCAATTTAAATCCAATTTCCAATTCAATCCCCAATTCAAATCAAAATTTAAATTCAATTTCAAATTCGATCTCAAATGCAAATGCAAATCAAAATACAAATTTAACTTCCAATTTAAACTCAAATTTAAATTCAAACTCAAATTTAAATTCAAATTCTGATAGTTTGAATGATGACTTTAATTCATTTCTCGATTTAACAAATAGAAAACTCCAAGCTAAAAAATCGATTAAAAAATCTATAACACAGTCAAATCTAGCCAAAACTCGTCCTGCTTTTGTCATGAAACTATGGTCAATGGTTAATGATCCGAAAAATTCAGATTATATTCAATGGACAAATGATGGTAAAGCATTTAAAGTATTTGATAGAGAAAGTTTTATGAAAAATATTTTGCCAAAATACTTTAAGCATAACAATTTTGCTAGTTTTGTTAGACAGCTAAATATGTATGGCTGGCATAAAGTTCAAGATATAGCAAATGGCAATCGAATCTCTACAGTTGAAAATGAAATTTGGCAATTTGAATCTCCGAATTTTCAGAAAGGAAGAGAAGATCTATTAGATAATATCGTTAGAAACAAATCTAATAAAAATGGCGATATTGAAGAAGAACTAGATTTATATTTAATCTTAAATGAATTGGGTAATATAAAAAAGAAACAAATATCTTTAGCAGATGAATTGAAAAAAATTAGAAACGATAATGAATTACTATGGAATGAAGCTTATATTTCAAGAGAATGCCATCAGAAAAACAATCAGACAATGAAATTAATTATGAGTTTTATAACTGCAATGTATAATTCAACCAACAAACAGAGAGAAATCGATTCTTATCCATATGGCAATACTTCATATGAATATGCTAACATGAATTCAATAAATAACATAGCAAATATAAACAATAATAATATGAACATGAATAATGATAATAATCGTAATAATAATAATATAGGTAATAACAATAACAATAACAATAATAATAATATGAATACCAGTAATTATAGCAATGTGAACGATATTTTAAAACTCGTTAACAATTTTAATTCTTCAGATAATTCAAATCAAAATCAAAATGGTTATATTAATGATCAATCGATAAATTTAAATTCTAATAGTATAAATACTTCTAATTTATTGCAAAATGCTCCATTCACTCCAAGACCTAGGTTGATGTTAACTAATCATGCAAACAATTCATCAGGCAATTCTCCTAATAATAGAGATATTAGCTCATCCTATTCTCCGTTTTCTAATTTAAATCATTTAGACAGATATCTGGGGTCAAGGAACTCCAATAACTTATCCCGTAATGTTATTGAAGCAATCAATGATAACCCTTATAAGCCAAGTAATTATAATACTCCTATCAATAGTATTTCAAACATATCCGAAGTTTCAGTTGCTGATAATCATGAAAATATCACCAAAAATAATAGCAATCAGAAAATTAGTTATTTGGGAACCGGTACAAATAATTCAGATAATGAACATATGTCTACGATTGAAAATGAAATTTATAATGAAATCCATGAAATCCATGATTTAAATGAGACTAATAGAAAACTCTCAAAGGATAAACACAATGACAAAGAACCAAGTTCTAATTCAAGCTCTACATCTTTTTTAAATGGAAAAAATATAAGCTCAAAATCTAGCTCCAAAACCAGTAATCTTGCAGCTTATTCCGATGATTCTGGGTCTCTAAATCATACACCAGCACCTGGAGAAAACAATATGGATTCTCACTTAGACTTTATAAACAATTTAGAAGCTCCTCACGACCCAGAAATGGTCAACGCTTTTCACAACAATAATTTATTGATGGATAAAATTCAAAATAACATTGCTGAACAGGATGATTCTATTCAGAATATACAAACTTTATTAGAAAGATATATTCCACAACACACCATTGAACCATTTGATGAACCTCATAACGAAAATGCAATGCCTAGTCATAGTGACGAAAATGATTTTAATGTAGACCAATTCATTATTCCTCCTTCCTCTGATTCCAATGATGTTTTGTTAAATACAGCAAATGCAGCAGAAGATCACTCAAAAAGAGTTTCTGACTTCATTGAGCCTACTGAAACCTTACCGAATAAGAAAAGAAAAAGCAGTTAAGTAGAAATTAAAAAGTAATCTTTTATTGTTTTTTTTGTCTCTGGATGTTTTTTTTGATTTTTTTTTTTGAAATTATTGATGAGCTATAAACTGACGATTTTCAACTCCCCCTATATTTTATAACTTCCAATTTTTATTTTTAATGTTCCAATAACGAGTTTTTCATGGTTTGGGTGTAAAAAGTACTTTCCTGATTCTAATTTTTTGTTCTGCTAGTAAATAAATATATAAATTGAAATATGTTTTCGAAGCAAGTGTAAGATCTCCAGAATTTCATCTTGATGACACTATGCAGTTAAGCCTTATCGCCTGCTGGCTATAGAAGAGAAGGTCGATAGTTGATCAACTGGTCGTCTATTTCAGCCCACCAGTTTCATTTGACTGGGTGAAACAAACATATTGTCAAGTGAGAGAGGCCATTTCAGCTTCCACAGGCCAGTTTCGTTTCATAAACTAAACTCAGGCTCCAAAGCACAAAAAGGAACTAAAGCTCAAGCAATTTCAACTCTGGGTAGACTATGCTCTTTATCGTTTTGGATCTGATGGTTTAACCTCCAAAGCCAAACCTAATCAGAGCGATCAACAGCAATCCACCAGCCAAAGATCGTCTCAGCGCTATATAAAAATGGCTTTTCCTGTCCTTTGAGTGTCTCACAGAGAGTGGATTGCAAGCAAGTACAGTCAATTATCAGGTTTATCATAGCAAAATGGGATTAATGGACAGTGTTGGTGATATCAAACTCGACAGCATCAAACCAGAAGATGTTTCTGTGGACAAGATCAAGAGTACTGCTTCTGAAAGGGCCAAAGACGTTGCTGGTGACAAAGTCAACGAGTTGGCCTTGGATCAGCTCAGCGAATTGCCTGTTTACAAGTACATCAAAGCCATGGTAGCTGTGCTCATTCTCAGCATACTCATCAACTTGGGCTTGGGTGGTTATGTTATCAAAAACAAATACGTTTGAAGTTGGTGCTGGAGCTGCTGGAGCTGCTGGTTTCGGTGGTTAGTTACGATCAGATTTCGAGTCTACATACTGAGTAATATACAAAAGTGTCCAGGAACACTTATAATTATAGTTTATTAACGGATTAGCTATTCAAGCCTTATCGTGTAGTCCACACAATCAAATTAATAGTACACAGCAAAAAAATAACAAATAAACAAAACAACAAAAATAACAAAAATAAACAAATAAACAAATAAACAAAAGAATAAAAAGCAAAAAAAGTATAAAAAAACAACATAAAAAAGCAAAAAAAAAACAGTTTTTAAAAATATAATCAAAAATCTAAGGTATATGTACAAAATAATTAAACAATGTTCTAAAAGTTTTTGGGCTTAATGGAGAAACTCATGTTCCACATTCTATCAGGATCTTTAACATATAATAAATGAGTATTCAAAAGTTCAATTAGTATAAACTCTTGTAGTGCAGGAATCAGAGACATGGTTATTCTTTCATTTGTCGCTAGATCTCTGAAAGAGTAAGAACTTGCAAAGGAAAACACTGAATCCCTTTTGTTCAAACCGAGGTTTGCTGCCGAAGATGGAGAGGCTGAAGCTATGTTGTAAGTTGAAGAATAATCCACTTGAAAATATTCCATATCTGATAAAATTTTCACAATTTTACTGTGTTTATCAAAATTGATCAATTTTAAATATCCAGCAATCTTTCTAAAATTTGAATTGCCTTCATTAATGAATATAACATCTTGCAAAAACAAATTAATATAAGGAACTAAGGGTATGTTACTAACCTGCTCTCTTGAGTTTAAATATTTCTTCAATTTTCTCCTATAAACATAAAAGTTTTTGTCTGGTTGGATGATGGAAATCAAGTAATTAAACATATTAGTGTATTTTCGGTGAAGAGAACTCCACATTTTTTGAATTCTGCTAACAGCAGCAGATTGCAATATAGTCATTATTGCAGCTAATGAATTAAAATTTCTTAAAACTAAACAGCAATACGCAACTTTGATCCAAAACTTCAAATTATTGATTCTATTTTTCATTGTTATATTGAGTTGTAAAATACTATCAACAACATATTCAGATAATAAATTTGTAAACAAAACCGACTTTTCAACATTTTTACTTTTCATCAAATATAGTTTTTTTTGAGTAAAGTTTTCATTTAGCATTTCCTCCGGTTTAATCGATACAAATATCTTAGACTCAATAATTGTTAATTGCTTAGATAATTCCATGCAGTGAAAATTTAATAACGAAGTATTTTTCAAAACAAGGGTGGGAACCTCTATTTTCTTTTTGCATATCATGAACCAAGAGTTAAGAACTTTTTTAATATCAATAGGACGATACAATTTAGTTTTCAGATCATAATTTGGCCATAAATTACCCAAAGCGCTTCGAAATTGTACAATAACTTTTTCAATTGCAACAATATGATTTTTACTTGACATTGATGCAAAATGATTGGTTGAAATCCAAGATGAAATTGTAATGTTAGATTTAATAGATGAGTTGGAAGATGAATCTGTCGTTGGAACCTCTTTTAAATCATTTCCGGTATTGTTGCTTAATATTGATACGCTAGAAATAGATCCGTCTTCATAATCTTTGTTAAACAAACCAATTCTTCGGGTTACTAGCTGTAAATCATCAGAAATACTATCTATTGGATCCATATTCTCAAATGGAGGATTAGCTGCAAGTTTTGCACAAACTTCAATAACCTGATAAACATCTTCTGGTAGATATAATATAGCGCTCTCATTAAGAAAGTTGATGATTGTGGGTAATAAAGGGTAATCCATTTTATAATTCCAATAACTTTCTAACCAAACTTTGAAAACATTTAAAATTAATCTTCTTCGACTTTTCACCCTAGAATCAAATGTAGAAAATTGTCTGTTTGTATCTGAAGTACCCTCACCATTATTTTCGCTTCCAGCTATTATAAGGCTTCTCTCCAGATTATCAACATCAAATCTTTTGATTAATTCTTCAACAAGATCAGCAGGAGTTGAATAAATTCTAAAAGTTAAAAAGAATGTCGAAAAAAAAAATTGATCTGGTTTATTTAACTCATTTACCAATAGGTAGATCAATGCTCTGAATGTCGCTCCAAGCAATTTTCCATTATCATCTAACAATATTTCATTCTCAATAGAAAACGGATTTTTTTTCAACTCACTGTCTTGGTTTGGTGAATCTTTATATTTTAAAAACCCTGATGTTCTAACGGTAAATTTGGAACTATCATTAAAATTGGGAAGCATTTCTTGTAATAGATTTGCTCCTGCCTCACTCAAGGAAAGTTTTCGAGAGTTTCCGGCTCGTACAATAGAATATCGAAGCGATTCACGCTTTGATTTTGATATAGTTCCATTGGTGCTAGAAGATAAGTTTGCTGAGCGACGATGATGGAGATATTCCAGAATATTACATTCTGAAGTACTACTACTAATTCTGCTATTTCTATTGTTATCAAGAATTCCTATTGAACATTTTCTTATAAAATCCTTGGGGGTTAAAACCATTTTCAAAAAATCTGGATATCTTCTTTCGCTACCCAATTTAAAATCCCCTGATAATTCTAATAAATAGCGGCAACTTTTTATTGAGTTTGAAACAGATCTAATCATTCTGGCAACAACACCTATTAATTTTCCTCCTTCAACTGTATAATAATAAGAACAACTTCTAGTGCCATTTAAATCATTCTGAGTGATTGTAATTGGTGATATTGGGGATAGTGGAGCCGAATTTTCTTCTAATATCGTCTTTGTTATCAATTGTTTAACACTTGAAACTAATTCACTTACCAAAGATAATAAATTGTCTAATGAGCTATCTAATGTATAATTGGATAAATTTAATAAGTTCGTAGCAGATTTTCCAATAAATAAGATTTCTCTTAGTAGTAAAATAATTTGGTGAACAATTGTTTCTAATAGCTCACAACCAGTATTGTTATGCTCGATCATATCCAATCTACCTAGTATCAAGCTCAAATATTGAAACAATAAATGGTTGATTTCAGTTAATCTTGCCTTTGCATTAGGAGGAGCATCTAGATAGGATATTTTATCATTTCTGCTTTTTCTTTTTGAAATTCTTTTTGAATTTTTTTGAATATGGTTAGGTGTCGAAATTGCTTTTCTTAGATTTTTGTTAAAATCTCTTTTATCAACTTTGAAGGGTGATAATAATTCTTTTTCGTTTTCGTTTTCGTTTTCTTTTTCTTTTTCTTTTTCTTTTTCTTTTTCTTTTTCTTTGACTTTAATGATTGATTTTCTTACTTTGGAAAAGTCGTTGGGATTTATAAGAGGAGGAGTAGAAGGAGGAGATTGATTGAGTGATGAGGGCATTTCATTCATAATGGCGGTTAAATTTGAAAATGAGATTTCATTTTTCATATTTTGGTTAATTTTTTGAGTTGAGCTTTGATTAGCAGGTAAATTAGTTTGAGTGGTGTCTAAATTTTGAGTGGTGTCGATATGTAAGGTTTTAAGAGAATAGTTTGTTAGAGATTTTTTAGGAGATTTTAAAATTGATTTTGAAGTAAAAGAAGGAGAGTCTGGTATTATTTGAGATAATTTTTTAATTCTATCGTGAGAAGCGTTTTTGGAAATGTCTTTAGATTGGGTAATCGAATCAGTTTTGTTCAAAACCGTCGAATCATTTGGAGGGATTATTTCATTTGAGATATCAAAATCTGTTGAAGTATCATATGAGTAGTTTAGGTGATTTTCATGTTCATGTTCATGTTCATGTTCATGTTCATTCTCCTTATTATTTTCATGCTGGTGTTCACTTTCATTATTTTCATTAGGATTTTCATTATATTGATTAATTTCATTAATATCATTAGAATCATCTTTGTGGATTTTTGATAATTCATCGGACTCTATACCCCAAATCTCTAGAAAAGCTAAAGATTTAATGATAACTTTAAAGAGTAATAGGGTGAGAATATCTATTTTTTTATCATTTGAAGTACCTTTATAGGATTCAGCTTTTGTCATAAGGTTATACCAATCGGCTAGTAGAGCCTTTCTGATTTTTCTTAATAGCGGTCTGTTTTGAATTGAGTAAGCTTGTCTTGATAAGCAATTTGTGTATTGTAGTAGTAATCTAACAGAGTCCTTTATTTCATTAATGTAGGTTATAGAGAAGGTGTACGTGTTTGAAGATAGCTTGTAGTAATCCTTTGGGTTTAGTAGGAATTTAGTGGAGGCAGCAAATAGAGGTTTTAGGTAGAGTTTTGAATCGGCAATTTGGGTATAGGATAAGTTTGTGTTGTTGTCGATATCGTTTATGGAGGATAGTAGAGATTGATCGATAGCTTTTATAAAGTAGTTCATTGGGACCCAACCTTTTTTTAGAGGGTTTAGTAGAGTTACTTCGCCCCAGCCTGATTCATCGATGTTGTAGACAAAAGCAATGTCATTTTTGTTGAAGGACAAGCAAATTTCTGAATCGTTAGAGTTTAGAGTGTTTGAGTCAAAGTTATGAGTAGCAACTACGAATAGAGAGGATAATTGGTCGTATTCTTCGGAGTGGAAGAAATCAGGAGGGGTTGTGGAGGATGAGATATAGAGGGATAAAGAATTTGATTTTTTTCTATTGTTTATAGTATGGTGGTTGTAGTTGTGATTGTGATTGTGATTATTATTGTGATTATTGTTTAATTTGTTGAGTAGATTTTGGTTACTTTGTTTTGTTTTTATGGGATTGTTGATGAAATTCAAGCTATTTTGATTTACATTTTTAGTATAATTGAGATTTATTGAGAAATCATTTGAGAAATCATTTGAGAAATCATTTGAAGAATCATTTGAAGAGTGAACTGATATTGAATCAGTAAAGGAGAATGACTTTTTCAAATTATTTGTATTATTTAGGTGATTGTTTTGGTTATTATTTTCGATATTCATTATAATTTCATTATTATTATTATTATTATTATTATTGGTAGTGGGGGTATGGTTTCTTTGAATATTTGGCGAATCTTTATTATATAATTTCGAGTTTTTCTTTCTATTTGTTAATATTTTCAAGGTGTTTTGACGTCTTATTGTATTTGCACTTATGGCCACGAAAGTTGAGCTGGCATCAAAAGTCTTGAAATCATCATTATAAGAGATGTCGCTGATGGCGCTACTCGTCTTTTTATGATAAACAGTGGAATCTTCTAACCTTTCGGTTTCCATAGTCTTGTTACAAAGAACAGCGGTAAATGTTGCGAATCAGCACCTCAAAAGTTGGAAATGTGTGTTTAAAGCAGTGTGGGGAATGGGAGCAAAGTGTGAAAGAGAGTGGAAGCAGCACAGGAAGCAGGGCCAGAGATAAAAGAGGAAGCAGAACAGAAATTAACGAGGGACTGGAGCTGGCAGAGAAAGAGGAAGAGAAAGAGGAAGCAGACACAGCAAATGCAATAGATACACTGGAGATGGTGAACATACGCCAAATCGCAAACCAGCGATAAGCGCCGACCGCCCAGAAGATGTTGTCGCTCGTTCGCAACGGAAGCAAAGCTTGAGCTGGAACCCAGAACCAGGCACACCAAACCCCAAGGCAAAGAGCAGGCAGCGACCCACAAGACTCTTACATCCACACCCACAGCACTGGGGTCTGTCTCAGCAGCTGCTTGCCAGCCCACAAAAGTGGCCTTCCTGGCGAAAGCACGTGCATCGAGATCCAGTGGTGTGGGTTGGTGTTGATGCATGTAGATGCATTAACACGCAGTGACGTGTTTTTGTTGAGAGGAATTTGCTGGAGGAGACGAGAGAGGCGTTAGTGCTGGACGATGAGAAGGTTGTAAGCAGAGGCCAGAGTGAAGAGTCGATGCTCAGCAAATACGTATGCTACCCTTGAAACGTTTTATCTTCCACTTTGATCTTCCACTTTGTTGTGCTGCTCCTGACAATCAGAAGTGCTTTTGATGCAATGGTCTACCAGAGCCGGTCAGTATTTCCTAGCTGTGTGTGTTGCTGCTCAATGTTCTTTAACTGCTGGTGCTTATTGGCGTAATTGAGCCTCCAGGATATCTTCAAATGCTTTTGCCCATCGATATTGAATAAGAATCGTATACATCAGGACTTTTCACCTTGAAATCGAAACTCATTCTTCTCTAATATCCAAATCCCAATCATAGTTCAACATGACACTGAGTTGTGACAATATCCATTATTTCAAGTAGTAGTGGTTTAGCCCTAGTTTATTCTTTTCTCTTATCTAATCCTTCAGTTGCGGATTCTGATTCTTGCCATCAAAATACCAATTTTAATATTTCAACATTTCAAAACTTTCAAAGATGGATTATTCTCATAATTTATACACTGGTTCTTCATTCCAACTACTCTTATGGGCTTTAGACCCTCTAGGTAAGGCAGCATGATTTTTTTGCTTGATGAAGTCTCATTTTTCTTTCTCCAAATCTCTCTTTGTGCGCTTAACAAAAAAAAATTAAATACAATTGCATAGTTGCATCCAACAATCATCATTGAATACAAAAACATTCCGGAAATAGCTTTGGTTTTCCATTGATGGACAAATATCCAGATCCAACTCATGATTATTTTCTACTTTTTTAATCACTGAACAATTAATTAATTCCATAAAATATTGCTAATCAAGATCAAAATAAAATCAAAAAAAACAACCAAATATAAAAGAACAATCAATTAAATATTTCAAAGTAAATATTTTAAATTCTTTGCACTATTGAATTCAATGACTAAACCAAAACTTCCAAAGAATATTCGCTTCAAAAGACAATGCTTCCAGACAGAATTGGTAAGATTACCATGCCCTCCATCATTTTCGTTTTTTTTTATTATTGTGAGATACTTTCTCATTAATAAAAAGGATATTTTGACTACAGGGTGCTTATACAGCAGCTGGTTGACATATTTATGTCTTTGCTGTAACTGTACTCTTCTACCACTTTTAATTCTAGTTTTATTATTTTTTTGGGTTTCAATCATAGTTCAATGTATCTCTTATATTTATTTTATGTTTTGTAAACCCAAAATAAATATCCAAGTCATTTTTGGAACTCATTTACCATCAGATGAAAATGAAAGCAATATAGGTGGAACAAACAATAACAAAGATAATAATAATAATAATAATAATAACAGTACTGGTAATTCAAACACTGACGCCTAAACAAACGGTAATGGGCACGAAGTTAAAAAAACTTTTTTTGGGCTAACAAAAAGATGGTCTAATATTCCTAATAATTATTCAGAAATTTCAAGTCTCAAAACGAAACTAGACCAAATATCTCTTTTATCTTTGGAATTCCCACTTTGGGAGTTTTATTAAAAAATTCACTCCAAACATATTCTGCTACTTATAACCAAGTTCCAGAGATAATTCTTCGTCAATCAAATGAGTGCTTCATTGGTTTTTTTGATGGTAAAATTATAATCGAAAGCATATTTTTCCGCGGCAAAAATATAGGTCTGCCACCCCAACTTGAGAGTTATTTTACTCCTGGAACAGAACTTTTACTCGATAACATTACAGATGAAGAATTAATAGAAATTTTAACATTAACAGACATAGATAAATCAATACCAAAAATCACTTCAAACCAATTCGATATATTGAGAAAAAAAATGTTTAGCAAAACTCCATTATTTAAATCTTTTAACCCCTTCCTCAGAATTACACACCAATCGACAACCGAATTGGCTATCATAGAAAGAAAAACTTCTATCTTAACTCGATCAATATTAAACCTCCAGAAAAACAATTTATTTGCAGATTTAAATTTTATAATAGATATTTATTATTGTATTCTCGGTTTAATTATCATTGATTATAAACATTATACAGACTTTGATTGCAATGAAGTAAACATAATGCTTGGTGGCTATCATTTTTGCCAAAATCTTTATTGATTATATAGATTTTGCTGATATATTATTGCTCTAACCCATAATTGAATTCCCTTTATTAACTTAATATTTTGGCTTCCAAAAAACGAGTTAAAAAATGCCCTATCCAAAAGATTTTTCTTTGATAAGTCGATTACATATAATAGCCAAGGTTATGCCAACATAATTGATCTCCTTTTAAAATAAACAAAAAATTGGTTTTGTTGGGAGTGAGTTATAGTTTTGATTACTTTTTTTATTTATATAATTTATTTAATCTATAGTTTAATTATAGAGCTTTAATTAGTTCTTTTATTTAACTATCAATTCTTGATGGGTACCAAACAAAATATCTGGATGATATCTTGTAAGTAACCTCTTACCATAATCTATCCTAAACCAAGTTACTATTAGCTAATAATGGTGGATAACCTTGAACAATGTATGGTTTAGTTATTCTTGATAATTCACTTGCAACTTTTGTTATTCCATAAACCATCATAAATATTTTGTGATATTCTTTATAGTTGGAAAAACTTTCTTCTTTATCAATTTCCACTATTGAATCAAATACTGAATCATCTTTCACATTCTTTTTGTAACATCATCAGTGTATACTTTTTTCTTGTTACATCATTCTCATACCTATTCAATTGTTCACAAATGATTCTATTCAAATATCGCTGCCAATCTAAAGTCAACAAGTTCTTTACTCCTCAATCTTCGCTCAACAGTATTAACAGTATTAACAGTATTAACAGTATTAACAATATTAACAATATTAAGTATTTCTTTGTTAAAACAAAACAGATAACAATGGAGTAAATGGTGATCCTTTATCTAAAGAAATGCATTTCAAATTAATCAGCTTCTTAAGAAAATTACTCTTTTAAAGATTTTACTTCAATGGCCTTTCGGTTATGAATTAAAATGCCATTAAAATAAAGCTCGGTAGAAGTTCATCTATTAAATATTATAAAAATCTGCATGATTCGAATAATGAAGAAACTGTGAGTAATTTTATTGATATGACATTCCTAGATAAAAAGCAGAATAAAACTGGTTTGGTTTCATCAATTGAAGAATATCCATTAATAATGTGTTTAAAGAAATTGGACCAAATAAAAGAGTCACAGTTTTCTTGAAGGTTGAATAGAATAAATAATAATTATAAAAAAATAATAATGAATGCTTTGAAAATGCAAAAGAAACACTGCTATGGTGGATAAAAACATCAGCACTTATATGGACTACAACAAGTACTCTGTGTGTATAACCCAACCCCTAAAATCCCACCTATGTGATATCTTTGGTCTTTCAACGAAAGTCAATTTGAAGTTTGGAAATTTATCAACTAACTTATCAAATTCTTCCATAGGAGCATGTACACATCTTCCTATTGTAATTACTTTGAGGTTAAGCAATTTTCGAAAATCTTTGCTGTTATTATATAATATTCTATCAGGAATTGCCAAGTGACTCAAATTAATCCATTGTGATAACCTATTTACTCGATTTAGTGGATTACCTCTTATATCCAATTCCATTTTGATTTTTGGATTGACAGGTAATGAGACCTTTTTATTCAGAAATGTTTTCAATATTTTACTGATCT